ATCTTGGCGAGCTTCTCTTTCATCTTGCGTATCTGCTCTTCCATGTCTTCACGCTTTCTTTCAAGCTGTTGTTCTATGGGTTTATTGGTGTCTATCTCGTCCTCCGGTGTGGTGAATCCCGAGGTTCTCGGAGAGCGAGTGGGGGATGTCGTGATATTGATCCTGGGTCTGGTATCGTTTCCGTTGGTTCTGTCATGGTTTGAGTGGCCATGTACGCTTCTTCTGGGATCGGTTGTGCGTGGGTTGAGAAGTTGCTCTCGGGTTCTCCGGCTGGAGCCTTTTCTCGAGCTTGTGTACTCGGTCCTGGTTCGGTGGTTGGTTCGGACAAATCTGGTAGCAGGGTGATTGCTACTGATAGTGGTGAACTCCTTGGTGTGTTTTGATTACTGGATGTTATTCGTCTGGTAGCTCCTACCCTTCCTGGTTGTGGGGCTTTGAAAATTGGTTTTTGTTGACCAAATATTTTCGTAATCGCCCTTTCCTGTGCTTCGATACAGGCCTTGTACTTGTCGTCTGTTCCTGCTGGAGGCGTTTGCGCGTTCCAGTATCTGGCTGGGCACCTTGCTGATGTGCAACTGCTCCACGTTCTGTTATTGTGATGTACGTCTCTCCCGGTGTCGGTATTGAATGCGTGAATTCTGTTCTTGCAAGCCGTGTCTGGTTCAGTCATGGAAGTAGTCTTGGATAACTCCCAACGCGGTCCGGAACTCTTGAAGCTCCTGTAGTCTTCCGAGGTATTCCGGGTGAACGAGGTTGTTGGGGAGGTCGAAGACAAAGTTTTCAAGGTCCTTGATGTCGTACTCGAGCCTTTCTGTTAGGACATGAATGGGAGCAGCTGGGTTCAGGGGAAGCTGGATGTGGTCTGGCGCGTCCTGCGGTGCTTCTGGAACTTGCGGGAGTACGTTGATGATGTTCTCGAGATCGCGCAGGTGACCACCGAAGTCCAGGAAATCCTCTTCGTTGAATCTTGCGAGTAGGAGTGGGTGGTCTGCGAGAATCTCAAAGTTCTGCACCCCTTGTTGTACCGCTCGAGAGAAGGTGTGGAGGTATGTGTCCGAGCTTCCGCTGTTTGATGTGGCGACGAGTGTTTCTTCGTGTTCCTCGTTAATAGGTAGGGTGTGGCCGCTGCCTTCCTGTCCTGGTCCTTGCAGTTGTGCTGCGTGTCTTTCCTCTGGGGTTGGTGTGAGGATAATGGGGAGTGGGTGTACTCGAGGGGTGTCCTGTCGAGCCTGGGTGTTCTGTGTGGAGTCCGTGGTGCCTGTTCTTCTATTGCGTTCTGCTATCGAGCAGTTCGCAACCTTCTGTCCTGGTAGATGGGTCCTCTGCACTTGAATAAGTGGAGGGTTCAATCTTTCGACCTAATGTTACGTCGAAGTCCGAGTTCCGTCAGGAACGAGGCCTAGACGCCGAGTGGTTATGTCCGTGAGAGATCTCTTGATGCCGACGCGAGTGAGCACAGTGCACTATCGAGTGGACTGGCGAGCGAGCGAGGTAGAAGGCAAGCAGGAGAGTAGATTGGCACTAGGCCAGAGAGGACGTAGCTATACAGGAGGTCGAAAGATGGGGAGCGCTATGCTGCGTCGTCCCTCTTATAAGTACAAAGGCCTTGAGGCCACGGTGCGCGAGAGGCGAGGTAATCATGCATGTACAATGAGTCCATACGAGTCAATACGAATCATGGTAACGGCGTGTGATAGGGTGTGGTACCGCGAGGTTGCCATGAGGCGCGTGCATGTCCGAGGCGAGGCTCCGCAGCAGCATGAGGCGGGGGATAGGGGTGGTGTTACAGTGGCCCCTGAGGGCGTGAGGCATAGTCCGTGACGGAGATGACGAGGGGAAAGGAAAAAGGGTAGGCGTACGCATGGTGTCCATAACAACATCAAGTCTCTTCGAAGAGTGAGTTGTTCACTATCATTTCTGCCTCAATTCTCATTCGTTCACAGCTGGTTGAAGTGGCAAGATCTGTTGTTCCAGAGACAGAATCGTTACGTGGTGCTTGTCCTTGACAACTTTACTGGGCACTATGTGAGGTACATGCCAAAGAACATCAAGATCAAATTCTTCAAGCCCAACATAACATCACATATCCAATCTCTCAATGGTGGCATCATCTGCTGCTTCAAAGCGCATTACAGGCACAAACACTGCCTACTTGCCGTCAAGCTCGACATAGCTGGCTCCGACAACATCTTCAAGGTCAACCAACTCCAGATCATGATGCTTGCAAAGGAAGCATGGAATGATGTCAAGGCAGAGACGATCTCCACATGCTGGAAGCACATGAAGATTGAAGCTGAGTATGTTTTCTTGGTTGTTGTAGTTCTGTGCTGCCATGCTGACAACAAGTCGCCTAGTGATACGCCGATAACTCCTCCAGCTGACATTACTGCTCCCACTACAACCTCCCCGACATCTTCTCGAAAGGCGTGGGCTGCTATTGCAGACTATGCTGGATCCGAAACTGTCTTGTTTCCTTCGGTCGAAAAGACTCTTCAGATGATACTTGGCAAGTCATACACATTCGACAACTGGTGCCATGTGTTCCATGTGATCGATTGCACTGAGGGGGACCCCTTCATCACACTACAAGCTGTGGCTAAGCTGGAGGCAGAGTGTTTCGCTGTGTCGACACTGCCTCATACAGAAGGTGATGCGCAAGCTTCCACTTCAAAGTCCGCGAAGATGTCTGGAACAAGTCCGCACATGCATCGCAGCTGCGTGAACACACCCGAGTTAGTGCACGCAGAAGCCAGTCTTATGGCTGCGGTAACGCAGCTTCATAATCGCCACTGTATCTGGAACATGCCCACTGTTGACGATCTCGTCGACTCACTCGCAGAACTCTCCATTGGAGAGGCCTCCAAGTTTGCCTTTCCAGGTGGCGACAATGAGATCATCAAGGAGGCTTGTCGTGCTGTTAGATCATCTGGGCCAGATTCCCAGACCGTGATAGAAGTCGATAGTGCCTCAGACCCCAAAGACGACAAACCCCCTCGTCCACCTGTTTCTGCTCAGGAAGCCTTCGAGCTTGTGGGGCGACTTGAGGACATTTGTATAGATATCCCCCTTCCCAATGTGCCCTGCCTGATGGCTCTCCAGCAACAACTTCAACGCCTTCGCAGCAGCCTCCGTCAGGAGATGTCGAAGTCTATGCATCAATCATTGTTGCAGTCGTTCTAGGGAGAGCCTAGTCATACAGTTTAATTGTCTATACACTCGCCTTATATACTTACATGATCCAGCACCAATAATGACCTGTATCTACTGTCATGGAACGGACTCTGGATGTGCCCTATGTATTATTTTTCGCCATTTCTCTGCCTTTTCTCTGCCTGTTACTATATTGGAAGGTTGTTCCCGCGCTTAAGCGCCCGTATCGCGGACTCACATAGCACTTGCACTTCGTGTCCTAGCCCTCATCTCGACCTCTTGGTCTTTGTGGGCTAGGTGAGTATCTCAATTGCCTGTATGTACGTAGAGCTATGTTGACTTGGTCTTTGTGGGCTAGACATCCCTCGTGTGACTCTAGCTTGTGTCTGCTTTGCACCTAGTGCCGGCGACACCTCTGCACCACTACATTGAGGTCATCCACCCTCTATCTACACCCATCCACCCTTCCCTCTCCTCTGATTGGCGTTCGCGGCCCGCTCCTGTGTCATCTACTTGTGCATACATTCTCATAATGCATACCAAAATAGTGTGACCGATGGTATGTGTTATGAGAATTTTATCTGTAGTTGCGAGAGGTGAAAAATAGTGGTCAAATAGTATGACTAGGTGTTCATAGTATGCTAGCATGAATAGCTAAGTTGATAGTGCTAGTGTTAGTTAGCCTAGAGCTAATTAGCCTGTTAAGGTTTTCCTGATGTGAGTGGTGCTGATCAGAGGTGTTCTGAACAGCTTGGTGAGGCTACATTCATACCCTACTACCTCTGAGCTGAGATCGGTGTTGATCGGAGGTGCTCTGAACAGCTTGGTGAGGCTACATTCATGCCCTACTACCTCTGAGCTATGACTGATGTTGATCAGAGTTGCTCCGAACAGTGACGCAGGAGCAGGCGGCGAACGCCAATTGGAGGAGAGGGAGGGGTGAATGGATGTAGATAGAGGTTGGGTGACCTCAATATAGTGGTGCAGAGGTGTTGCCAGCACTAGGCGCAAAGCAGACGCAAGCTAGAGTCACACGAGAGATGTCTAGCCCACAAAGACCAAGTCAACATAGCTCTACATACATACAGGCAATTGAGATACTCACCTAGGACACAAAGTGCAAGTGCTAAGTGAGTCCGCGATACGGGCGCTTAAGCGCGGGAACAACCTTCCAATATAGTAAAAGGCAGAGAAAAGGCGAGGCAAAGGCGAAAAATAATACATAGGGCACATCTAGAGTCCGTTCCACAACAGTAAGGCTGCACAGCAGCATGAGGCGGAAATGGGGTGGTGGTACAGTAGCCTCTGGGGGCACGAGGCATAGTCCATGATGGATATGAAGAGAACAAAGGAAAATGATAGGCCTACGTGGGGTGTCCGTAACATAATGCCCGCGCTCAAGGATCTCTCTTGCACCTTGTCCTCTCTGCTCCTCAGTCAAACTTCCATCCAACTGAGGTATGTCTTCCTACTTATATTCTACATCACTGTACTTACAGCTACTTCAGCTCTCGCTGATCACTGTGTGCTATTAGGTACAGTGCTTATACAGTCAAACTTCCATCCGACTGAGCTCTCACTGATCACTGTGTGCTATTAATGAAAAGTAAGTAAGAGTAAGTAAGAGTCCATCTAATGAAGTTGTAAACAATATTCTAACAAAACTGACACTCCTTGAGTCTTGCACAGCCCCAGTGTTATACTCATACCCACATTTGTATGTATCAATTGCACCAGTTCATTTTTTATTCCTCTGTTTGCTAGGTACATGGGTTGCAAGAGCATGACTAGGCAGCTGATGTAAGTGATCAAAGAGTTGAGTCTTGGTCTCGAATCTGTTCTGACACACATTACACACCTGCCAACATCATTGAGCAAAGCCATTCATCAAGAATACAGGTACTCACAGCAACAATGCTGGCAGCCTTCTTGGCGGCTTCTCGAGCCCGACGCTTCTCCCTCTTAGATGCTGCTTGTGCAGCAGCAATCTCGGTAGCTCCATTTGGAGTCTGTTCCCGTTCAAAAGGATCCTCCACTGCTGGCTCAGAACTTCCTCGATTCCGCCTCCGTGCCCGTCGTGCCGTTCGAGAAGAGAGTTCTGGTGAGGCCGTCTGCGCCCATTTGTCATCATGAACCCGATTCGCGGATGTCGCTGTCTCTTCGTCTAAACCTTGGGGTGGTTCCGAGGGAGCATCGTGCGCCGTCTCGGAGACGGCCCCTCCGTGGTCGATGTCGCTCTCGAGCTCAGGGGAAGGCGACGGCCCCTCTTCAGCTGCATCGCGCGCACCATCGGGAACCGCCTCCGCCTCCGCCTCCAGCTCGAGTTCGTCGTTCTCGAGCTCCATCTCCCGCTTCAACGCCTCGACGGCCTTGATGTGCTTCTTGCTCCGCTCGTGGCTGTCCCACGCCGCCTCGGTGCGGAAGCTCTTCCCGCACGCGACGCACTCCCACTCCTCGTCGTCCTCGCCCTCGCCGGCGGCCCAGTCGAGGTCCGCGTCGCGGTCGCGCGAGGGCGCCTTTTGCCACTCCTGCTCGACGAAGACCGGGGCGGGACCGGATGACGTCGAGGGCGTCGGCTTGGACGACGGCGTGCGCGCGCCCTGCGGCGTGGACGGGGCGGACGCCTGGCGCGAAATGTGGGCTTTGTATCGCGGATCCCTCTTGCGGATGAACGTGGCAAGGGACTGGGGCGCCGGTCAGGATCCGCAGGGGCGCATTGAAGAACGACAGACGCACCCGAACAGTCTCGTTGTACTCTTTTCGCGCTTCGTCCCTCGCCTTCTTGTTGTCACGTTCCATCAGACTACGAGAGATCAGCGGCGTTGCAGAGAACGATGAACCGAACTCACCGTCGGACCCTTCGATCAGGAGCCTCAGCGATGTTCCACTGGTCCACCCACTCGAACTCCTTGCTGGTGACGAAGTTCATCCAAGACGCATAGAAGGACCGCGCGCATTGATCCTTCACCTCTTTAGACGGAGGGAGCCAGGGTGTGTTCGATTCGCCGAAGGAGGGGAATAATGTGTCGGAAAGTTGCTTCTCGTCGTGGGCGAGGCGGTCGAAGAGATGGCGATACAGGGTGTAGAAGCTCTGGTGGGACAGGATGAGACGACGATGAGTCCAAACGTTGCGAGGAAACTCACGCCAGGACCATCGTCGAATCCGTCATAAACGGCGGTGTCGAAGAACTGGGCCAGATGTCGGACGCTGAGACCTCGATCCCTCGAACGCGGGGGAGGGGCACCCTTCTTGATCTCCTCGAAGACGTCGGCGGCATCGGGCTCGGGCACAAGAGAAGCGCGATGGCTGTCGTACCACGCCCGTTCCTAGGCCGCATGGGTTTGATGGTGTGCGGGCAGAAGAACAGGACATACCTGCTCATCGCTCAAGACCTGGCGAACCACCGAGATCGTTACCGGAGAATCGAGGGGTCGGAGGTCATGTCACGAACCTCGTACGCTTGCTGGATCGCGGCAAAACGTGTTGTGGCGGCTTCGATGTCGCCCACATTCTTGTCTGGATGGTGGATGAGGGCGAGTTTCCTGAAGGAGCGCTGGTGCGCAATGAGGACGGGGAGGCATATGCACGATTGCGCACGCTCAGAACTGACCTTGATTTCATCTGCCGTCGCGGATTCGTCAACTTCCAGCAGGGCATAGTAGTCTGGAGGGCCAGCAGGGGCATCTTCGTTTGCTCCGCGAGCAGTCGACTCGCGGGCACCCATCGAAGGCGGACGAAGACGGCGAGATGAGGTAGGACAGAGATCGGCAACGCAAAGGCGGAGGGTGGTAGAGGCGAGTGGAGAAGAGCAACACCGAGCTCAGTGAGGACGACGACCGAGGACGATCGAGTCTAGCGGCAGCCTCGGGTCCGGGCTCCGGGGGGCGCGTCGCGTCGGGCGCGTGACGTCGGCGTCGCGTAGCGTCGCGTCCGCCGCCAGCCTTTGCCACCAGCCTCTGCCACCTCTGCCACTGCCAGCCTCTGCCTCTCCCGCCTGCCCTCCGCTCTCTGCCAGCCTCTCTCCCACAATGACGTCCCTCTTCGGCTCCTCCCCAAAGCCCGCCTCGTTCTCCCCGTCGCCCGAAGGTGAGCTCTTTCCCCTTGTGCCCCGGCCGTCTCTCACCACCGTTCCACAGAGACCGCGGCGCGAGTGGAGATGCTCAAGACCCAGATTCGCAACGAAATGGCGATGCGCAATGCGTCAGAGCTTATGGGTGTACGTCCCCTACCGCGACGCCTACTTCATGTTCCCCAACCTGCCACACCCAGAAACTCACCGAGAAGTGCGACACCAAGTGCGTCACAAAGCCAGGATCCTCTCTCTCCGGTTCAGAACAAGTATGTCCTCTCTTCCACCCAAACTGGTCACGTATCCAGACTCCTTCGTCCTCAGAAATGCATATCCCAATGTATGGAGCGCTATCTAGAAGCATGTGAGCATATTCTTTTCCCCATTCTGCGTCCACTCAGTCCATTCTTCCCATCCCAGTCGACATTGTCAGCAAAGCATACGTTGCCAAGATCAGAGAGGAGAAGTCTTCATTCTGAGGAATCGCTTTCTACCCATTGACCAGTGCTGCATCCTCCCTCCAACCTCAGCGACTACCCTACTCATCTTGTCAATATTCAACACGTCCACTACACCCTCTGAACGTCATGTCCTCCTCGCCATTCTGTATCCCCACTGTGACAATGCGAGCAGATACACGTCTCAGATCATCAATAGACGGGGAAGTTTGTGTCTACATCCCGTGTCCACGCCTGCAGCCCGCCGATCAAGTCCTTGACGGCCCCAGTCCGCCCCGCTTCTCTCAGAGCGTCCGTGGCTAATTGCGAATCATTCCCCAACCTACAAACCACATACACCGTCTTGTCCGGTGTGCTCAAACATGTCTCATGAATCGACGGGTTTGCGAGGAGCTCTTTGATGGGAATATCTGTGCCACGGTTAAGACGCACAGCAGTATGCACGAACGTCGACGATGCTTACTGAGCGAGCCAGGCAGATGACATATACCGAACTCAGTTCGGGGACGAACGTCCAGCACGACTATCGCCTGCTCCGGGTCGTCGAGCGAGGCCCGGAGCTCCTGCATGTCTTAGGTCAGTCTTTGCAGGACACCTTCCTGACGCCGTCCATACGCACCTTCGGTGTGACACGGTCTCCATCTCGGCCAGCGATGAGTCCCCTTGACACCCAATCCGGCCTCGCGCCACCGCAAAAGGCGACGTAGTCCGTGTCTTCGATCTTCCCGACTCGTTCAGAGTCGGAACCGCAGGCCGCGCACGTCAGCCTCTGGTTCCGCAGCTTTACGGTGCGGAACGGCGACGTCGACAGCGCGTTGAACATCAGCAGCGTCGGCTTGCCCTCTGTGGCACATCAGCACAACCGCACCCCAGACCCCAGACCCTCAGCTATAGACGCACCGTGCAAACCGGTGAGGAGCTTGATCGTCTCGAGAGCCTGCAGGTTTCCGATCACGCCCGTGACGGCCCCGAGCACCCCCAGCTCCTCGCACGAGCCGACCATGTCTGGCGCGGGCGGGCTGGGGAACAAGCACCGGAAGCACGGCCCTCTCGGCGGCGAGCCCTCGACTCCGCCGTCGTCCTTCAGAGGGAGGTTGTATATGGCGAGCTGGCCTTCAAACCTCTGCGCCGCGCCGCTGACTAGTGGCCTCCCCAACCGGACGGCGGTGTCGGACAGCAGGTACCGCGTGGGCAGGTTGTCGGTGCAATCCAGGATGACGTCGTAAGGGGCCAAGAGCTCGAGAGCGTTCGCCTGGGTGAGGGCGTCGACGACGGGGTTGATCTTGACGGTGCTGTTGATCCTATAGTTTGCTCAATAGTATGCGTCGGCGGGTGCGTACATTCCGACGTACTGTCTGACCGCCTCGGCCGCCGAGACTGCCTTGGACACTCCGATCCGCGCCTTATTATGCAGCACCTGACGCTGGAGGTTCGAGAGCTCGACCGAGTCGTGGTCAATCACGCCAATGGTTCCTGTATGTGCATACGTTGATCAGTCCTACATCATAAACGAGGGGGTTGGTCGTACCTACACCGGCAGCGGCAAGATATTGGAGGGCAGGACAGCCCAATCCGCCTGCTCCTACGACGGCAACAGAGGCATTATGTAGCCGAAGTTGTCCTGATCCCGACGGATTGCTTCAGATATAGGTGAATTGCAGAAATCAGCGAGCGCACCTGGAAGACCGAAGCCATCGAGGATCATCTGCCGTCCATATCGCCGGTAGTCTTCAAGTGGGAGCTCAGGAATGGGCTCTACGGACGCTGCCGTGCTGGTCATGTCGACTGTTGGGTAATTTCCTCAGTCTTCCGATGGGAGATCGTCGGAGCCTGGAGAGGAGGGGCATGGCGGAGCGATGGAAAGAGAGCCCGCGCCTGCCCGCCGGACCCTCGCGCCGTGCCCTCGCACCCGGGTCCCGCGCCCCTCCCGCGGTCTTGCCAGCGCCCGCCATGTTCTCCGCTCTCTCCACCGCGCACCACGACCACTCTCCAGCACCGTCCACCCAAACATCCGCCAGAACCGCTGTCTCCCAGCTCAAGGCCCGCCATTGACCACCCTTTCTCCTCTCCACACGCCCCAAACCGCCATCCTCCGCCATGGCTAGTGCAAGTGCGGCCCCGCCCATCGCGCCCGGGACTATCACTGGCACACCCGCCGCAGGGGCTCCCATCGTCGCGCGACGGCGGCTCCCGGCCAACGCAAGCGGGTCCGTCGTCGCCACCGCAGACAGTGGCGCGCCCACCATGTATCCCGGTGCGCACCCGTTCAGCCCCCACCACCTCCCCGCCGTGCTCACGTCCGCGCCGGGTGCCAGGCAAACTGGCACCGAAGCTGCCGTGGCCCGACATCGGGTACCTCGCCCGGTGGTCCGTCTCGTCGTTCAAGTTCGGGTTCGGGGCGGAGTGCCTGACGGACGACGACCCGGACACGTTCTGGCAGTGAGTTTCCGGTGTGCCTCCCGGGTCGGACGTCGTGCGCTGACCGCGTGCGCGTCCGCGCGTAGTTCCGACGGACCGCAGCCTCACTTCGTGACCATCGAGTTCCCGCGCAAGGTCGCGGTCCAGGTGAGCGCGTCGGCACCGTCTCAGCGTTGGAGAACGGCACCTGAGCAGGTCGGTGTGGCCGGGGCAGAAAATATCCATGTACCTCAGCTTCGCCTTGGACGACTCGTACACCCCCGCCACGCTCGCGGTCAGGGCGGGGACCGGGCCCATCGACATGCAAGACATCAGGTTCTTGACCATCGAGAAGCCGGACGGATGGGTCACGTTCGACGTGTGCATAGAGCCGAATGACGACGGAGAGGGATTGTGAGTCCCGCGTTCCGCGACGCGAGGCTGCTGGCTGACTCCCGAGCAGCAAAGCCGTCGACGCGTATGTCATCCAGGTCGTCATCCTCGCGAACCACATGCACGGGAAAGACACGCATGTACGAGGACTCAAGATTCTGGGACCACTGGAGTGCGTGTCCTCCTTTCCGTGCGAGAAAGATCGCGCATATACTGACCGCGCATTGCGTTAGACGCAAACTGCGGGCCCATGAAGAGCTTTTCCCGTTCACGAATCCGGAGTTCAAGATGTTTGAGTGCATTCGATGAAGGGGCTTTGCAGAGTGAATGGAACAGTGTACTTGTAGCCGTTCGTCGAATTGCACGGAGGCCTGTAGTAATAGCAGTGGACTTGACTGCATCTAATTGAGGAGGCTCTCCGGACTGCAAGACGCGCCGGCTTGGCCTTGCGAGACCATCACGTGAACTGAAGCAGCAATCGCGTCTGCGTGGCCGCCGGCGACGCAACAGGACCGCGTTGTCCTTGCTTCTCTGCTTCCGTCCCTTCCTCATTCTGCACAATGGCGACTGCGGAGCCAGAGGCCGGGCCATCCACGAGCCACGAGTTGCGGATCACATCCCACGGCAAAATAACGCAGTGGGTGGCGTTCGCGCTGGAGCACTTCAAGGTGCGAGGTGGTGCTTTGGGTGGAGTTTGCATTACAGACAGGAAATCTAGGCACACGAAGACAGACCACTAGTGCTACATACACTGCCCATACAAAGAGATAGGGAGCCGCAACAAATGGCGGAGGGAGACGTGCAGGGGGAAACGGAGGGAGGGAAGAAAGAGAAGACGGAGCGCCTACACCCCGCGATGGCAACGATACCGCGACTGGTCTCGGTGACGGAGATCATCAAGAGAGAATACCTGAAGACTTTGGATGTCAAACAGGCCGAGGGCGGCGTGTTTTCCGGACTGCACCAGTACAACGAGATCGGAAGCTTGGAGGACGCGGGGCTGGACGAGCGGGCGGGGGACGAGGAGCAGGAACGGATGGCGTCGCTGGCGCGGGCGTTGCAGGGCCGGAACCAGTACGTGTGCAGTCCGCGGGGTGTTTGGACGAGAATGATCGAAAGCGCGGGACAGCCTGAAGATGAAGAAAACGGCGTTCATGCGCGTGACGCTGAGCCGGACGGAGTTGCCGGGGCTGGTGTTGCGCGGGGCAACGTGAGTGCGCTGTGCAGGGCGCGGGCGACGCTGACCTGTGGGACAGACACCAGCCGCCGGGGACGCGGAAGCTGAGCAGGTCGACGCGGGCACGGCTGAGGAAGAGGGCGGCGGCGGTGGGGACGAAGGACGAGTAATAGACCGTATTAGCCAGATCTAAACCATTTCTTATCGGCCTTGTTTGCGCGGAGCAAACAGTGCGAGCTGTGCGCGTCCGACTCCGCCCCGCCCGCCACCGCTGCCGCCTGTTCCTCTTCTCCTCCTCCTCCCTCCTCTCCCCGTCTCCCACCCGCTCCTGCTCGCGACACGCCCCCACCCCGCACCAGCGCCGTCTGCGGACTCCCGCCTCCCGCTGCCCCACCCGCGTGCCCATCCTGCTCCAAAACGGTCGGACGCCTGGCCTCCCATGCCTCGACGCACGGCTACGCCCGCCACCCCCGCGCCCGCCCCGCCCCTGCCCCCCGCCCCCCGCGATCTCGCTCTCATCGCCCAGTCCGACCCCGAATGCGCCGCCAACATACACGTCCTCCGCCGGCACTGGAAGTGGGCCAACTTTTCCCAGTTCTTCTACACCTTCGCCCCCCTCCTCGCCATGCCCGATGTGTTCCTCGTCGTGAGTCTCCCCATCCGTGTCGCAAGAGCGCGTCGCACGCGTCGTTTTGTGTCGCCACCGCTCCCCGCGCCCAACAACACGTATTGACGCGCTCCCCCCTCCCCCAGGACGTGGAGGAAGACCTCGCCCGCGGCACGAACCTCTACCTGCCCCGCATCATGCACCGTCTGCTCTACGTCCTCTCCCAGGACCGCAAGCTCAGGTCCGTCCCGCCCCCTCCTGCCCGCTTACTCACCCATCTCATCCCCCGTGCAGCATCGACAACTGGCAGACCTCCCTCCGCCGACAGTACCTCCGCCGCGCTCCCGCAGCCAACCCTATCGGCCCCGAGCCCAAGCTTCCGTCGCGCGGGTCGTCCCCCGCGTCCTCTGAAGACGAGAACCAGGGTGACAACGAGGACCCCGCCACCAGCGAACCGCCTAGCAACCAGCCCCAGGAGCTGGGCGATGAGGTCGACGGTGCCGTTGCAGAACGGGGTGACCCAGCGGAGGGCACTTCGGCTCCTGCCTCGGGTGAATCGTCGCTCGATCCCAAGGTAGAGCCCAAGGACGAAGACGACCCCATGACCAACGGCACAGAAGTCCCAGCTGCCAAAGCTGATGAGGAGGACGGGGAAGAGGAGAGCAAGGATTGGCTCGACCTACCGATGCTCGAGAAGCTGGACTCGATGCACCTCCTCACCGAGTGGCAGTTCCAGAATCCGTACAAGGTCAGGCAGCTCATGAAGGATGACGACGACATAGCCGACTGGGTACGTCTCCACTTTGCCTGTTCCCCTCGCATCCCACCAACCCCTCGTCCCGCTTTCGCAGCGCATAGAACCGATCGGTTATGACGCAAAGGCCAACGCTTACTGGTTGATTGGACGTATGTTCTCTTCCGGTGTCTGTGCTCGTAGCACATACTCACCGCAGGACCCATCCATAGCGGATCGGTTATGGATCCAACGCGTCCCGCCCAAACCTCCCCGCAACCGCAACCTAAAGAGAAAGAGGCCTTCAGCTCCCAAGAAAGCGAAGACCCCCGAGCTTGAGGACGAGGACGAGGACGAGGACGAGCCCGTCGCCCCTTCCAAACGGACCCGCACCCAATCCCGCGCCTCGCGCTCCCATCCCCAGCCCCAGTCCACATCCACCGGCCGCCGCCGCGCCGCGCGCCGCTCGACGCGCCCCTCCGCCCCATCCAACGACGAGGACGAGAACGACGACGGGAACTCGACCTCCTCCCCGCGCAAGAGCACGCGCGCCGCGAAGGTGCGGGCGAACAAGAAGCTCGACCTCCAGGCGAAGGAGCTCGCCGAGTTCCAGCGCCAGGCCGCCGTGCTCGCCCGCTCGAGCCCGCGCAAGCCGTCGGGGAGCCCCGCGAAGCGCGCGGTGGGCACGCGCGCGAGCGCCCGCCTCCGCCACGCGGGCGGCGGTGCGGACGAGGGCGCGGACGAGGAGTGGCAGCAGGTCCCGGACGAGTGGCTCGAGGAGGCGGCGCCGGTGCAGCGGCGGACCCGCGCGCGCACGCGGTCGTCGGTCGGTCGGCCGCGGCCCCTGCGACCGGAGTCGGAAGAGGAGGAGGGGGAAGAAGAGGAGGAAGGGTCCGAGACTGGTGCGGACAAGGCCGAGGGTGACGTGGAGGGAACGGAGCAGGCTGGGGACGCTGGGGAGGCCGCCGAGGATGCGGGGCTCTTGCACAAGGCTGGTCTCGAGAGCGGTAGCGTCAGCGATCTCACAGACTTGTCCGGCGAGGAGGAAGAGGAGGAAGAACCTGAGAAGCCCGCGAGGGCCTCCCGACGACGGAACACCCGCACCCGCGCGAGCGGGCGCAGGAAGTCCGCCCGCCAGACCCGCCGGACCCGCGCGCACGCGCAGACGCAGTCGAAGACCGCGTCCAAGAAGGGCAAGGCCGCAGCGTCTCCCCCGCCGGCGTCCGACGCCGACCCGGAGGAGGACCCGGAGGAGCAGGACGCGGGGGAGCCGCCTGTGCCCCCGGTGCCTGAGGACTTTGTCGAGTGGGAGGCCGTGAGTTTTGATTTTGATTTCGGGCTTAGGCTCGTCGCGGGCGCGAGCTGCGTGCTGATCGTTTGCCCACGCCCCCGCGCGCACCAGATCGCCGTCACGCTCGCGGAGTGGGAGGCGGTCGCGGAGCCGTTCGCGAGGGCGACGCACTACCTCGAGAAGGCGCTCTACAAGATGCTGACGCAGAACATCATGCCCGCCGTCATCGAGGACCTCCAGGTCGGTCTTGCGCGTCTCGCCCTTAGTGTTTCGCGCTGACGTCGTGTGGTTCGCCGACAGGAGGCGGAGAAGAAGAAGCGGATGGAGGAGGCTATCTCCTCCCGGAAACGCTCGTCGCGGATCGCCCACAAGGAAAACGAGAAGGAAGAGGCGCGGATCGCAGCGAGGAAGAAAGCCGAGGAGGAAGATAAACTGTCGCGGTCGCGCCGCATGGAGGCTCGACAGAAGAAGGAAGACAACGAGCGAGTCAAACAGGACCGCGCCCGTCAACAGCGGGCCAAGGAGCGGGAGGATCGGGAGGAAAGGGCGCGGAAGAAGGCTGAGCGTACCGAACGTGCTGCGCGGTGAGTGCAGTGCTGCACCCCATTCTGCCAAAGACTGACGCATTTGCCGTCCAGTGACGAAGACGCAACGACCCGCTCGACCGCTACTCCGTCGGTTACGGGGACTCATCCCTCCAGTTCTCTACAGCCGAGTCGAGTGGTCACTCCGAACGGCGTACGCACCCCCGACTGGATGCTGGACTGCGAAATCTGTCACAAACACGGTCTCAATATGGTACGTCGTTCCACTTGGAGTATCATATTCAGTCGCTAAATCGCCTTCTCCAGGATGACGGTCAAGCGATGGTCTCTTGTGGATCTTGCAACCGTTGGCAGCACATCAAGTGCCACGATGCATTTGACCACCGGAACCACCGACCACGGCGAGACTGGGACAAGCAGCAGTTCTTCTGCATCCGCTGTCGACAGAAGTACCAGAACGGCAGCGCGTACAGCAGTCAAAGTCGGACAGGTTACGCGCCGAATCAGCAGCCGTACTGGTCCCAAACCCCGCGTCCGGTCCAGAAGGCACCGTCAATGGATGGCTACCCGGCGGGCTCGGACCTCCGTTACTCGCACAGGTCTCCGATGGAGAATGGGCATGGGTACGCTCAGCAGCAGTACATGAGTGGCTCCAGCAGCGCACCCTACGCTAGGTCTGCGTATCCCTCCAACACCGGTCTTTCGTCGATGAACCAGTACCACGCGGAGCAGAATGGACTGGGGTACCGCTCGGTCCCGCACCACCCGCAGTGGACCAACGGGAGCAGCAATGGCTTCGCCGCTACACCAACTCCTCCTCTCGTCGGTCGGACGTCGTCGGGGCTTATCGCCGCGCAGTACCCGAACGGATACAGCAGTGGTCAATCAACACCATCTTATCCCGTACGTGTCGAAATGGATGTGTCCTTGGCGTGTCACTGACCGCTTGTTCTGCAGAGCCGTTCCTCGTCGTCCATGATGTACGGAGGGGAATCTGCGGCCGGGCTGTCGAGCGCTCGCTGGCCGGCGTCGACCCAGAACGGCTATCCGGCGTCGGCCCAGGGATCGGTGCACGACGCCGCACAGTCACTGGCGATGATGCAGGACGCCGGCGGACACCGCTACAACGGTGCGAGCTGGTCCCACCAGCCTTCGTACGGACACGGACAGCTCCCCGCGCCGACCCACCACTCGCCCGCCTATGTGTCGCCACCGCCACCGCCGGTGGGCGTAGACCCGCTGACGGGACAGCCGTTCGCGCGTGTAGAGCACGCGCCGACGCCGTCGACGAACGGCGGCTCGTTCGGCTTCCCTTCGTGATACCCTGTGGAGAGGCGGACGTGGACGGCGGGGGGACGGACGAGACCTTGGATGTACATAGCCTTGTTTTAATGGCTGTCCAGTACGGGCAGCGGATGGATGTGTAGACCTAGTTCCAACTCATCATGAAAGCGTGCAGAGTGTGCATGGCGGTGCCGGACCGCGCGCGCCGCCCGAGCAGTCCCAGTGGGACGTGCGCGTCCTTGTCCCGCCACTCTCCCTCGTCCCGCCCCCATCCTCACCATGAGCCAGTCCGACGCCGCACCAGCCACCGACGTTGCCCCCACCCCAGGTCCCTCGGCCGCGCCCGCCGACTCGTCCTTCAGGTACTTCCGCTCCCCGACGTCTGCCCAGCAGCCCCGCCGTATGTCCGTTCTCTCCCGCCTCCCCTCCCTCGCCCGCCTCTCACCCTCTCGTGTTCCAGCCAACCTGGACGACAAGTACTTTGAGCCGACCGTCGCCGACGTCCGCGCCCAACAGACGTCGCTCTCCGCCCGCCGCGACGCGCTCCAGAACGCGCCCCTGCGCACGTCCGCGATGCGCAAGGCGGACGACGACAAGCGCAGAGCCCGCTGGCCCAACGTGCGCCGCTTCCACCCGCTCGCACACTCTCCGCTGACGCGCTGACGACCCCCGCGCCGTGCACGCGCAGACAACGATCCGGATCAAGTTCACGGATGGGACGGCGCTCGAGCGGACGTTCCCCTCGACGGACAAGATCCGCGCCGTGTACGCGTTCGTGCGGGGCTCGCTCCGGGAGGACGCCCGGCCGCACAAGTTCGTGCTCTGTGAGTGAGCCCGTCCGCCCGTCTTCCTCCGTGCGCCAGCCCGCCGACCACGCCGATCGTGGGGGGGAGCAGACCAGCCGCCGAAGGACGAGCTCAAGGTGTCGGACCCGAAGGTGCGCGACCTGTCGCTGAGCGAGCTCGGGCTCGCCCCGTCCTCGGTGCTCCTCATCAAGTTCGTGGACGAGGAGTTCAACCGTGCGTGCTGCCTGCTCCCGTGGGGTCCGAATGTGCCCGCTCACGCTCGCGCAGACCCCGGCGTGTCCCCGCCACTGGATCCATCGGTCCTGGCCGCCATCGAGGACTATCCGACCCCGCCGTCCTTCGATTCGACGCCCCCCTCGTCCAGCGACGGCAAGACGCTCGGTGGCAGCAAGGGCGGCAGCAAGATGCCCGGCCTCGGCGCCCTCATGAAGGACGGCGAGGTCAAGGTGCCCAAGTGGATGAAGCTCGGGCCCAGTGAGTCCCCCCCGCTGGTCATTCTCGCGCTCGCCTCTCACCGACGTCGCCCCAGAGAAGTGACGATGTGCTCCCGATGCGCGGTTGATAGACACAGCTACATGTACAACACTCTCTTTCCTATCGATGCTGCACACCCCCTCGCCCTCACTTCCTCTCCAGCACGTTCTCCCACAAGAACCGCGCCGCAGCCGCGACCATCGCCGGCGAGCACGCGTGCCCCACCCCGTCCTCGACGACGACCTCCTTCACGCCGCCCGGGCCGACGTCGAGCGCGTCCACGAACGGGCGGGACGCCGCCCAGGGCACGAGCGTGTCCGCCCCGCCGCACAGCACGAGCACCTTCTTGCCCCGGAACGGGTTCGCCGCGTCCGCCGCGGTGTGCGGCGCCGCGGCGGGGTCGTGCGCCGCGACGTACTCGAGCAGGCTCTTGGGGAAGTACGGCGGCGCGATCGGCACCTTGGACTGCTCCGCGCGCGGCGTGATGAGCGCGAGGTAGTCGGGGCAGCCTGCGCGCGGTCAGCCCGTGTGTGGCATACGCTCTGGTGGGGGGAGAGGGGGCGCACCGATGATGGGGATCCCGAGCTTCACGCGGGGCTCTGCGGGGCGCAGCATGCAGTAGAACTGCGATCAGGATGTGCGCACTGAGCAAGAAGCCGCCGCCCGCGACGCACCGTTCTTGAGCGTGATCCAGGTCGAGTGCCCGCCGAGGCTGATCCCGCCCACGAGCCAGTCCGAGACGACGCGCTCCGCGCCCGGGAAGAGGTACAGAATGCATTCTCATTATGCATGACCTCATCACGCATAAATTCTCTTTGTGCATGGGAGGGGCCTGTGACCGAGCGTGTCCCCTGCCAAATATGCATGGAATCTAGAAGCGCATAATGCATAGGCCTGTCTATGAATAATGCATAATATGATGGTCGGTTTCAGTGTCGGCGACGTCATTTGTAACACCAGAATGGGCCTCGGATGCGTACCAACACTGAGCGAGAGTTTCACAATAGACATAACTGATATTTTCCATGCAACAAGCCTCGTTACAGTCGTTCTGGGGGGCTTCGGCAGGGCCCAGTCCCTCGCGGTAGTCTATATTATACGCATTATAGCCATTACGTTACTTAGCGCTAATATTCCTCAATAGACGCCTACTCTATTCGTGCATATGCGCCCATAATGCATACTGATATTGCGTGACGGACCGTATGCGTTATGAGAATGCATTCTGTACGCGGGCAGGAAGTCGATCAGGAAGCTCACGTCCTGCGCCGTCCCCGCTGCGCCCCGCGCCGCCGCACGTCAGCTTCAGCCTCGTCTCGTATCGCATCGCATCGGGCTGCGCACGCACTCTGGATCGCGTACATGTCGATTCTGCCCGCCCCCGCCGGAGCAAGTCATGAACGAGTCAGCCCCGGTGCGCGCCCGCAGAGCACCCTTGCAAGTCTCAAGTGCAGTACTCACGCGTGCCGGTCGTTCCGCCCGCCCACCAGGCCGTCGTCCCACGCCCGGTTCGCGGCCCCGTCGACGACGCGCGCGCCGTGGTTCCTGTGGTCCTATCCACCCCACCCCGCCCGTTCCGCGTTCAGTTCCCGACTCCGCGTGCGCGAACAGAGGACTCAAGACGCACGAACGTGACGACCCAGAGGTCCTTCCCGGCGTGCTCCGCGCCGCGCGCGTGCACCTCGTCGAGGACGGCCTTCGCGACGAGCTCGACGTGGTCCGCGCGGCTCGTGCGCCCGTGGAGGAGGAAGAGGATCGCGACGGGCTTCGGCGGGGTGCCGTCGGCGGCGGGCTTGAGCGAGAAGATGTTCACCGGGAGGCCGGCGACGGTCAGTGTCTGCTTGTCCATTGGGGGCTGTGGACGGTCGGTAGACGGCAGAGGGAGGAAGGGGGGTGGGGAAGCTGAGTCAGTGCGAGCGGTCTGCCCAGCACGTGCAGACACAAGTACCGGGTTGAGAAGGAGGTGGCCGATCCACTTTTTTTTTTGTCGTCTTCGTTTAACGCCCTCGAGGGCAGAGCCCTATGGTAGGCGTACCGTACAAAAGCTAAATCTACGCGATCAGGCTGAGTTCTCGACTCGGGGGAGAGCAGGCGTCAACTACACAAGTGGCCGATCCACTTGAGAGTGTCGTACGCGGTGCGGAGCGAGTAGCCCAAGAGCATCGCGGAGCAGAGAGGACGGGGCCCTTGCCCGGGGACAGCCAGCTTATCAAGCGGACAATGCCGCAATACAACGTTCAATGCGATTACGGGCTGTAGCTCTAAACGAACGCAACAAACACTCTGCCAACGACCACACCACCGGACTGCCCCACGATCCGCTCAATCACCAGCGGTCGTTGTTCCGCCCTCCGTACCCGTTGTCGTGCCCGCCACCACCACCACCGCCGCCGCCGCCTCCTCCTCCGCCCCAGCGGCCTCCGCCTCCGCCTCCTCCTCCGCGACCGCGACCGCCGCCGCCACCACCGTAACGACCTAGACACAACATGTCAGCGACTGGCTTCAAGGGTCGAGAGAACGCTCCACGTACTGCGACCGCCACCACCGCCACCGAACATCGACATCTCCTCAAGTTGAGGCGGCACGGTGGCCTTGGCCTCGCGGAGAATGCCAATCAGCTCCCGGGCTTGCTTGGCGTTGTCGGTCGTGAAGTAAGTGTACGAAGTACCCGTCATACCAGCCCGCTACACAAAGCGCGGTCAGTACTCAATATCCTCCCAAGACACTCCGAGAGAAAACCCACCCCTGTACGACCAATCCGGTGGATGTAGTCCTCGCAGTTGTTCGGGAAGTCATAGTTCTGCGACGTCCTCAGTCAGCACAGAGCACTTTGAAATCACAGCTGAAGAAACTCACGATAACGTAACGAACGTCCTTCACGTCTGTGCGTGCAGAGACCAGCAGCCGGACAAGCGACGGCCACGATATCGCAAGAGAGCACGCACGATCCGATCGCCCAGACGCCGGTTGCGGCACAAGGATCGCACATGGAACAGAAAGAGAGCAGAAACACGGTCAACAACCGAACTCCCAGCCAAGGAGACCACAAGCGCTTCGCCGACGCGACGACCACGGCACGGCGGCGTTCACCACCCCACGCCCACCGCGCCCAGTCGACGATCGATATGTTCGTGTACAGGTCACCTCGCCCGCCACCGCGGCCGCGAGGTAGTCCACGTCCGAGCTTCAGACAGGCAGATCTTGCACGCGCGCGCCGACGTTGACGAGGTGAGCGAACGCTTGAGTCCCAGGATCGACAGCCCATGAGTCCATGACCACAACCATACCATACAAGAACGGAAGAGTGTTCATGTGATGACGGCCCAGACAACTGTCATGCGTCCGTGTTCGGACGCATGCAGCCAAGTCCGGGTGGAGGGCAGAGGGAGCTGTGCAATGATCAGAAGGGAGTTCGCCATGTCTCGGTGCGCGCGTTGATGCTCTTGGGCCTGTCTTGCTCCGTCGACGAACCTATGACCAATCCGAACGTCTCGACCGCTGTCGTCGCCGTCCACGACCGCATCCGAACCAGAGCGGACACCGGTCGCGTCCCAGCGACGCACCGCCGCAGCACTTCACGGAAGATGAAAACATACCGAGACCACGAGACGCTACGTCCGTAGCGATCAGGATGGGTGAACGCCCGGCCTTGAACTCTCCTAGCACCCAATCACGCTCGCGCCTAGAAATCGGTCAGCCTGCATTCACGTATCAAGAACAGTGCCACGTACTGCTCCTTGTCGCCGTGGATGGCCAGTGCTGGCCACCCATCTTGGCGAAGGTACTTGGTGATGTCATCCGCGACACGCTTCGTGCCGACGAAGATGAGCACTTTCGCGTTCTCCTGGCTGATCTGATCGAGGTGCTTGATGAGCTTCGTGCGCTTCTCAAAGTCGCTGACGACCTCAATGATCTGCTGGATGTTGTGGTTCGCGGTCAGCTCCATCGAACCGATGTTGACCTGGATGAAGTCCTTCAAGAAGTCCTAGAAGCAAAAGAGTGAGACCCGGATACATGCGCGGGGAGGAAACGAGAGACGAACATTGGCCAGCTTTTGGACGTCCTTCGGCCACGTGGCAGAGAACATGAGTGTCTGCCTGTCTGGGCGAATTTGGCTGACAATCTTGCGGATCTGAGGCTCGAAACCCATATCAAGCATACGGTCGGCCTCGTCCATGACAAGGTAGGTGATGCGGCGGAGGTTGGTCTTGCCCGTCTCGAGCATGTCGATAAGGCGACCAGGAGTGGCGATGACAATCTCGACTCCGCGCTGGAGGTCACGGATCTGGGGGCCCTTGGGGGCACCGCCATAGATGGCCGTGTTCCGGATACGGGAGTTGGAGCTGCAGGGCGAAGGGTGTTGGGTCAGCGTCGGACGCGTGGCATCTGATATGGGAAGGCGTACCCGAACTTGGTGCACTCTTGCTGGATCTGGACGGCGAGCTCACGAGTGGGAGCAAGGATGAGGGCGATGGGACCGTCGCCGGGAGCCAGGAGCGGTTGGCTGGATGGCACACAGGAGGGTGAGACGATGGATGACAAAGCAAAGAGATGGTGGGGACTCACGCGTTGATGTGCAGCATGGCGGGAAGGGCGAAGGAGATGGTTTTTCCAGAGCCGGTCTGGGCGATGGCGACGACGTCGTGGCCGCTGAGGGCCATGGGCCAGGCCTGACACTGGATGGGGGTGGGGCTGGGGAAACCCTGGGCACGGATGGTGTCCATAATGTACTCGGGGAAGCCGATCTCGTCGAAGGAAGTGACGGGGCGAGGAATGTCGCGGCCTTGGACCTTCATCTCCTTGGTCTTGCGGAACTCCTCGATCTCGCGCTCTGAGCGGGCGGAGACGCGTTTGTCCTCGTTGTAGAAGTTCTTCTCGAAGTGGGTGAGCTTCTGGGTGCTCCAGTCGACAGAGCGGAGACCACCGCCGAGGTTGCTCATGCGGTCATGGCTGTCGCCGCCCCAGCCTCCCCCACCACCGCCGCCGCCGCCGCCGCCGCCGTAGCCTCCACCGTAGCCTCCACCACCGCCGTAACCGCCGCTGCCGCCGTAGCCGTAACTCTGGAAAAAGGGTGAGTCGACGGCGAGCAGACAACAAGAGAAACAGACCATTATAGCGGTAAAAGAGAGAGTGATACAAGTACCAGAGCGTCGTCTATGGGAGAGGGCCGGGACGCGGGAGGGAGGGGGATGGGGGCGGGAAGAAAGAGAGATGGGACGGGCGCCTGTCGTCGCCTGCAAATTCACGCCCCACTTACGTAAGTCACGGCTCGGTCTTGTTCCGCTCTGGACACGCAAAGGGAGAACTGTAGACTCCCCTTCAACTGGCCACTGGGTGAAAATGAATGTGTGTAGTCCGTGTCCACTAACTATCTACCAAGCAGTCGGGTATCGGGGGGTGGCCGCGGTCGAGGGGCTCACATGAGGATGCACTGGTCTCGCTTTCGGTGTTTCCGCTTGGGCAGCCCGTTCGGATACTTCTTGCGCATCTGGCTGAGCAGCGTCGAGAACACCTCGCTCACATGCCACCCATTCTTGGCCGACGTCTCGTACACGGGCATTCCCCACTGCTGCGCCAAGTCCTGCATCACCTGCCCAGAAATCTCCCGCTCTCCCGCCTCAACGCACGCATCAGCACTCGTCGTGCTCACCAACGAGCAACAAACTCACCAAGTCCATCTTGGTCCCCACCGCCACCATCGGGATATCCTGCCCGTCTTTGTTCAACCCTGCCCAGACGCACGAGACCGCCTGGAGAGACCAACTCACCTGATCCCCTCCTCGCAGCTCGCGTATCCGTTGCCGTATGTGATCCGCATCCCTCAGACTGGCTTCTTGCGTCAGGCTGTATGCGCCTCGAATGAGTCGGACGGCGTGTGTGTGCACGGATGAGACACACCTGAAGACGACTATGAAGCCGAGACCCCTCTGCCAGACGACCGCGGGTGAGCCTGGAATGCGGCCGACGCACGCAGTTCGGGGCACGACATACCTGGATGTAGCTCTCGTTGATCGCCGTAAACTGCTCCACGCCAGCGGTGTCGATGATCTCGAGCTGGACGCGCGACGCGTCAGTGGCGCAGCGTGACGGACGACTCGCGCGGGGCTTACGTGACTGCGGACGCCGTCGACCTCGACGGTGAGCTCGTACTCCTCTGTGCACACCGACGCTCTATGCTCAGTGTGCAGGGCGTGTTGGGACACGCGTCGTGCGCACCTTCGATTGTTGGATCATACTGCTCGAGGAACACGTTTTTGCCGTATCTCATCACGAGCGCGGACTTGCCCACCCCGCCAGCTGCAGAGTCGCGGTCATGTTAGACGAGCACGCGCGAAGGGGGACGGAGCGCGCACCTCCGAGGACGACGATGGTGTATCTGGCCATTGGGCTTACGGCAGGTGCGGTACAGCTCGAAGCTGCGACGGAGGGCGTGGAAGGCGGGTGGAGAAGACGTGGGCTCCGGTGGCTGAGGGGGTTAAGGGGCCTGGCTTGTCCGAGGGGGCAGGAGGACGCGTGGGCTGGCGGAGGAGATAACGGCGGAGAAAGTCAAACTAGCGCGAGAAGAGGCAGGCTCCCCGCGATGCCTTCGATGGGACTGTCTGATGAGGGCCGCACGCGGTGGGCTGCTGTCGCCCGGAGGCGAGAAGGAGAGTGGTGAAGGAACGGAAGGAGAGCGTGCAGGAGAGCTCAGGGAGCGAGCACGACGACGACAACGACGAGGAGGCTAAACGAGTGCGGAGGGCGAGCGCACCGACCAGCCACGGCTCACGGTTGGAGGACAAGGTGAATCAGTCGACCCAGCCGAGCGCGGTAGGCGGGACGGAGGTTGCTGGACTAGCGAGCACGCCTCTCCTCCCGCTCTCCGTCGCCACCGGCGTGGACGGCACCGTGCACGGACACTCGGAGAGCAGGGCTCGCCGCAGTTCACGGCCTCGAGGACGATCGCGCGCGCGAGCCACGCCCCGTCGCGTCCAGCCACGCGCGTCGCGGTCCGGGACGCGTCGAGCTCGTGGTCGCTGCCACCAGCCGCCTCTTCCTCTTCCTCCGCCCACGCCGTCCCGCCTCCCGCCACGGCCATGGTCCGTCCCCGCGTCTTCTTCGACTTCACCGCCGACGGGGAGCCCCTCGGACGGTCAGTCGCCCCCCGCCTGTCTCTCCTCCGTGCTCATCCAGCCTCAGTGTCATCTTCGAGCTCTACAATGACACCGCTCCCAAGACTTGCGAAAAGTCTGTGCCGTCCTTTCTTTCCGCCTTCCGCCCCCTCACCCTCGTCCACCAGCTTCCGTGCGCTATGCACCGGCGAAAAGGGCCTCTCCCACATAACAGAGCGTCCGCTCTACTACAAGAACTCCATCGTCCACCGTTCTATCAGCCGCTTCATGATCCAGGGCGGAGGTGCGCCCGTTCCATTGTCACACTCCCCCCATCCCTAATCGCCCTTCCCCCAAGATTTCACCAAACGCAACGGCACCGGCGGCGAGTCCATCTACGGCGGCCCCTTCGCCGACGAAGACCTCACCCGGATGCTCGACTCTGAAGGGCGAGTCCCTCCCTCCCATCTCCCCACGCGCTCCCCCTCACCCCTCATGCGCCCGTCAGCCTGCTCTGCATGGCCAACAAAGGCCCGAACACGAACAACTCCCAGTTCTTCATCACCCTCGCCCCGTGCCCCCATCTGAACGGTGCGCCTCCTCTCCCTCCCGCCCCACCGTCGCTCATCCCGTCCCCCGCGCCTCTCAGGCAAGCACGTCGTCTTCGGCCGCGTCGTCCGTGGCTACGACGTCGTCGAGCGCATCGCCGAGATCCCGACGGACGCGAAGGACCGCCCGCAGGTGCCGGTGGTGATCGCCAGCTCTGGCGAGCTCATGCTCCGCGCGCCCCCGCCTGCGCAACCCGAGCGTGCGTCTCCCCCCACCCCGCTCGTCCCCCCGATCCAAGTCCCGTTCTAACCCGCTCTTTTCCCGATCAGCCGCACGCGCCGCCCAGGCGGCGAGCGAGTCCGACCCGGACGACGACGACGCGCGCAGGAAGCGGGACCGGTCGCGCTCCTCCTCCCCCGCCCGCTCCCGCTCCCGCTCGCCCTCCGCGGACGGCGACCGGGACCGCAAGCGGCACAAGAAGGACGAGAAGCGCAAGCACAAGTCCAAGTCCAAGCACAAGTCCGGATCCAAGAAGGACAAGCCGGCCTCGCCCCCGCCCGACGGCGACGGCGGCGCCCCGAGCGAGACCGAGTCGCAGTACGACGCGCGGCTGGAGCGCGAGGAACTGGAGCGCGAGGCGGACGCGCGCCGCCGGGAGCTGGAGCGCCTCGCGCGGCGGGCGAAGGAGGACGAGGAGCGGCGGACGCGCGAGAACGGCGGCGTCCGCTTCAAGGGCCGCGGGCGAATGAGGTTCGTGGATCCGGAGCTGCGGCGGGGCTAGCGGTCGGATGCGTGGTTGCGAACTGGGGAGAGACGGGGCAGGTGGGATGGCGAGGCAAGCGGGATGCTGCTGTGAGTTGCATTTTTGGCTGGCTGTCCGTCCCCGTGTGCTGATCGTTTGGGCGGTTCGTTGTATGCCCCCCTAGTTTCTATCACATTCACATAGTGTTCCTACAACTCTTCTAATAGAGAGGGGCGTAACGTTGCCCCCCGGTACAAACCTGTCCGACGGCGCATCTCGGGCAGTCAACTGCCGGCTTCTTTCTATGTCAGGTGCGCGTACACGTCGTGGACGAGAATCCCTCTCGATGATCATCAACGGGCTCGACCTGCTTCAAGCTTTATAACGTCCTCTTCCTCGTTTGCATGCACTACGCCAGCGATTCTCCGGCCTCCGTGGTCCCCGACGGTAAGGCGATAAAAATCGACGCGTTGCGGAGCTTGCTGTTTGTGCTTCCACTTTGTTCACCCACACAGACCCTCCATGGCATCAACGACAACCGCAGCTCAAGTAGCCAACATAGCCGAGTCCGTCATGGGAGGCATGTTCATCGAAACATTCATTGCATGCCTGTTCGTGAAGGGCGTGAAGTACCAGGTAGCCTCTGCTAATGTCCTTGATGGTCAGGCTCTACGGCATCACCACCCTGCAGACCGCCTATTACTTTCAAACATACTCGGATGACGAGACCTTCATCAAGTGTCTCGTGCGTGCCTTCTCTCACCAGCTCTAGCTCTATTCAAGACACTGACACGGTCCTGTCCAGGTGGCGATCATCTGGTGCGCCTTTCAGCCTACATCAGCGCCGATATCTGACTTCCGAACCTCAGGATGCTGGAGACTGCCCACACGGCCTTCTGCGTCGAGTTCGTCTACGAGTACCTCATTGAAGACTTTGGCAACTTCTTCACCTTTATGACCATCAAGTGGTATGGACCCTTTCTCTGTCCGTGCTCGGGTGCCAGGCACTGATAGGGGTACTGGTGTTCTATCGTCCAGGGGCGTAGGGGTGAGAGCCACCGCCCGGTGATCTTCTCGATCTGTGCTGATCCCACGCCGGCTCGTTTCCAGGCCACGGTCATCTGCAGCGTCCGTCCTCGATCTGTGCCTCGATTCCGATTGACACACTTAAACCACCTTCAGGTTGGCATCGCCACCTGCGTTCAAGGGTGAGTTGCGTCCCCTCCCCTCTCGGCACTCCAGTGTTGATATCTCTTTAGATACTATGTATGGCGGGTGTGGGTCTTGAGCGGGAGGTCTAGGATATGGGCTGGACTGGTGGTGAGTTTCAAATCTACCGCCCCGTTCCTCCACTCACGAGCTTTTTTCTTCTAGGGTGCCCTCATAGTGACCCGCGTTGGTGCGTTCTACACTCCCTTGAGTCCCGCTAACCACAACTTATTGAAACTTCGTGCAGTATTTGGAATTGGTGACTTTCACACGCACTCTCCACCTGTCCGCAACTGACGTGCCACGTATAGCTTCTGCAGTCCTGTGCTACACCTGTCCATCATGGCCGGTTCTCCGAAGCAAGCGGTTTTCTCTCGTCCGTCTCTTTCGCGATTTTGACTACCGCTCCGTTGACTGAAGCGCCCACGTCCAGGTCACCGTCAGCGGAGGACTTGGGGCTGCCGCTCTCGCTGATGTCGTCGTTGCCGTACTCTTGAGCTTCTATCTCAAGCGAGGACGGCATTCCGCCCCTCGGTCGCAGTAAGCCATCGCTCTTGATGCACCATCGCTGCTCAGCCTGAATTGGGCTCATTGAACCTTCCCTCCCATCACAAACAACTTGACAGGCAGTCCGATTCCACCATCAACCGGATCCTCCTCTATTCAGTCAACACCGGCGCGGTCACCTGGTGCGACTCTCGCGCATTTGTCAGATTCCAATGTGTATCCCGGCGTTGATGCGGGCGTCCACAGCTCAGCCTCGCTGCTCTGCGTGATCCTCGTACGTGATGTTTTTGTCCTGGTCCACCTCATCGCCGCTGGCGCGACCCTGACCGACTGCATATGATTTGTTAGTTTGCCGTGCAGACGAACAGCCTCAACTTCTTAGGCCTGGTGGAGATCCAAGCCAAGCGTACGCCCGTTTTCATTCTTTGATCTACGCGCGCTCACGCCCTGACATGTATCGCCGACGGCCCACAGTGTACGCGAACTCTTTCCTGGGCTCGCTGAACGCGCGGATGCTGCTGCGCGACACGCGCATCAGGCAGCCCCTGTACTCCCAAGGCGATGGCTCAGTTCGGCTACGCACGCCCGTGGTAAGTGCTTGCAGCATATCGTTGCAGTATCACTGCGTGCATAATCCGGCTGTTATCACAACGATGGGCACCTCCGGTGGCAAATCGGACGCACGGCTCAGTCACGCTTCGGTGGGACGTCTCTATCGGAGATGCTGCGCCCTCGTCGCAGCACGCTTTGCCGAGGGCTGCATCGCTATGATGACAACTGTCATCGCCGGTCTTTTCTCGTCTTCTGTGGTTCATCAACTCACACATGATTTGCCAATTCCTGATGAAATCCGCCTCACCTCCAGATTGCAGTCTACCAACAGACAATATCCCGTACGGACCGCTCGGTGTCGAAGGGGTACGTCGCTCTTTGCTCTCGTTGTTGTGCTGACCGATGACCCCAGTCCGTCAGGTCTTCTGACTTTCGTCGTTCGGCCGACTTGAAAGAGCTGGAGTCACCGGCCTGAGGCGGCGCTCTTGGGTCAGCGTGCCGATTCTGCGCAGATATCTTCGGTTTGTAAAACTCGTTATCGTTACATACGGTGTTCCTGATGGCTTCGGAGCAGACTGTGGAGCTCGGATGTGCTCATCCTGTACACGTAGTGAGGGCCGGCAATCGACTGAGCCTAGCTGCACGCATTCTCACTCGGAGAGGGCGATCTGCACAGCGCACACACCACGAAAGCGCGAGTCCGTCGTGTCGGTCGGCCGTAGCCTTTGCGAGAAAATTGAATGGTGGCCGCCGGGCCGAGGCTGCAGACATCTCCTGGCCACTTCCAGGCACGCACCGTCCCCGCCCGAGGGGGTGCGGGCGCAACTGCGCTGTGGCCACACTCCGGCGGCTCAGCCCGCTCACCCATCGCTGCAGGCCCATCACGGGCCGGCGAGCGAGCGCCCCACCCGTAGATGCGCCGGGCGTCGCGTATAAGGGCCTTCTCCAGCTTCTCGCCGCGCCGATTCCGCACAATATGCGCCGGGGTCCACCGCGTCCTGTTCGCACGAAATAGAGTCGAAGCGTACATAACTAGGCGGCTCGACATATCATACATATTCCTCCCCGCCGCGCTTTCCCTCCCCTTTGGTTCCGCTTCCTCCTGCCTCCCGCACTACCATGGACTCCGCCGCGAACTCCACGACTGGGACAAACGGCACGGGCGCCGGCGTTGACCCTACCCTCGCGCTCCTCGCCTCGCTCACGCCCGCGGAGATCATGGGCGGGCTATTTGTCGAGATATTCGTCGCATGCATGTGGGTCCTCGTCACTCGATGGTCTCTCCCGTCCCCCTGTGGTGGCCGATGCGCCGCAACGCCAAGGCTCTACGGCCTCACCTCCCTGCAGGCGTTCATCTACTACCAGACGTACCCAAACGACAACAAGGTGCTCAAGTGGCTGGTGCGTCTCTCCTCTGCACGTTCGGCGCGACGCGCGCGCTGACCTGGGTGCCTCCGACGCGCGCTCGTCACGGTGGTGGTCCTGGCAGGTGGGGATCGTCTGGGTGCTCGAGTCAGTGCACACCGCGGTCTGCATCCAGTTCATGTACTCGTACCTGATCGATGGATTCGCCAACCCGCTCGTTTTTCTGGTCGTCGAAAAGTGAGTGCTCGCTGTTGCCGTTCATTCGCTTTTCTGAGCGCTCCATTCCTCCTCCCCCCCTCAGAGGTGTAGGGGTAACCATCGTGATGAGTGTGCGTGTCTTCGTTTGCGCATGGCTTCGCTATAGGCATCGGACTGACGCTGCACAGTCTTGTATTGCTCTTGTGGTACAAGGGTAAGTTTCAACGCTTGTGGTGGAACATCTCGGGCGCTAACATGGGACGTCCCCAGGTATTATACTTGGAGAGTGTTTATCAGTATGTGATCTTCCTTGGAAAATGCGGTCTACTAACGCTGACCACGGCCGTACTAGTGAGCAGCAGGACGTATTTCTTGACAGGCGTCATCGTAAGCTTTTTTCACGGAACTATATACCTCGAACTACCGACCAAATTCTTCCAGGCTTTCTTTGCCTTGGCAAGAATTGGTACACCTGCAAATATGAGAGTTTGTATTGCAAAGCGCTAATCTTGTCTCCCCCATTTCCCCAGGATTTGGTATCGGTGAGTAAGCATTCCCATGCACACTGACATCACCCTCTTCACGCTCCCACTTCGCTTACAGCGTGCGCCATTTTGACGTACAAGTACCCTAACTGGCTTGTGCTTCGCAATCTCACCATTTCTCTCGTAAGTTCTCTCGAGCAGTGCATGTTTGCACGAATCAACGCTGAATGCGCGAATCAGACTTGCGTGAGCGGCGCACTAGGGTCCGCGGCGCTGGTCGATCTTTTGGTTGCGCTCACCCTGACGTACCTGCTCAAGAAGCGGTCGGACGCCTACAACAGGTGCGTGACTGCCTAGAGTATGGGCCCACACGCAACCTTGACCAGAGCCGTCACAGGGCGTCGCAAAGCATGGTGAACAAGATCCTCATTTACACTGTTCACACCTGTGCCATCACTGGGTGAGCATCTTGTCGCTCTTCCAAATGGCCCCAGTCGTCATTCGAACCTTCTATCTTCTAGCACGGCCTCCCTGCTCTGCGTGATCCTGGTACGTCCACGCGTCTTCCCGGTCTACGCCCGCCTGACGCCCCGCACACAGTTCGGGACGAACAAGACGAGCCTCGCCTTCCTCGGCCTCGTCGAGATCCAGACCAAGCGTGCGTCTTCCTTCCTCTTGCTCTCGCAGACTTCGCGCGCCCGCGCTGATCTTTCCGCCTCGGCTACAGTTTACGCGAATTCGTTCCTCGGCTCGCTCAACGCGCGCGTCCACATCCGCGGCGTCGGCACAAGCGAACGCTCCGGGCCGCGAGTGACGACCTCGACTAACAGCAACCACACAGGGCCCGTGGTCCGTCCCTCTCTCCCTCTCATGTCCCCCAATTAGAATCTTTCACTGATTGAGTTCTCCCGCCGCGCTGCCGCGAATGCGTTGCGTTTCAGGTCGAGATCCTCCGCTCGACGACGACGCAAGTCGACCGCGACTTCGCGGTCCAAATGCCGATGGTCCGTCCCGCCGTGGCGCTCCGTCCCAGTCGCCCTTTCGCTGACGGTGGAGCTTCTGTCCAGGACGTGTACGACCTCAAGGATATGAAGTCGAAGCACCCCGCACTCGCATAGGTCACCTTCGCGCCGCCTAACCTTATTACTTCCTATCTCGGCCTCCTGTCTTTACATACTATTTGCATCGCTCTGTCTAGCTAGAGGTCGAGAACGACTACACTCATAGCTGTTGTATTCCCGCCCTTGTCCTCGCATACGGTCGTATTCCGTTATAACATATCATACATAGACACAGTGTACAAGTCATACAAGCCGGACCTCGTCTCGTGTCATCTCACCCACTCACGGGCGAGCGAGCTCGGACTCAGAGCGCGAACGTGGACTTGAGCGCGGAGATCGACGGCGAGAAGAAGTACTCGCCGCCGCGGGGGATGACCCACTCCGTCACGAGCGCGAGCGGCGCGCCCTGGTTGCTCGGGTCCGTCCCGACGAGCGTGCGCGCGGTGATCGCGTTCCCGTCCTGGCCGATGATGGCGTCGAACCCGGGGGTCGGCACGCCTGCGCTGGCCTTGGGCGGGAAGTTCTGGTTGTTTGCCCAGCCTGCGGCGCGCAACGTCAATCGACTCCCACAAGCACCGCAAGAGGAGAAACGCACTGTGCTGGATGAACTGGAACCCGTTCACGATGTTGCTCTGGTACGCGGCGAAGATGAGACCGCTGGAGGATACGGTCAGCGCATGGTCGCGCACACGCAACGGCGAACGGCGACGCACCGTTCGTGTAGCGTCTTCTTCGCTGCCTTCTCCGCAGGTGTCACCTCAGGCCCGAACTGCACGCCGCGGCGGATGATCCGCCTGTTCTCGTTCGACACGCTGATCGGCGGGTCTTCGAGGTCCGCGCGCGGGTTCGTCTTGCGCGTGTGCGCCGCGAACGGGCACCGGTCCTGCGTCGTCTGGTCGTCGGGGAACGTGTACCGGAAGTCGTTGTTCCGCGCCGGGTCCACGCCCGCCGCGGGGTCGTCCGCCGTCGGGAACACATCGATCGGGGCGCCTTGGGGCGGTCAGCATCGTCGGCGGACGGTGGTGGCCGTGAGGAGACGTACCACTCTTCCAGCGCCCGACGAGGCGCGCGCCGAGGAGCTCGCTGCCGGCCGCGGGGGTCAGCCCGGTGCTCGTGATCGGGTTCTGCTCCAGGAAGGTGTTGAACTCGGGCACGAGTTGGGCGAGGAACCGGAGGGCGAGGAAAGATCCGTCGAGTGCCCACGGCGGGCGCGTCACCGGCTGCTTGGTGCGCGCGTCCACGTCGTTCTCCCGTCCGCAGAGGATGACGCCCTGGCGGACGGTCTCCTGGCCCGGGTGCGGGCACTTGTCAAAGTCCTTCACGGCCGGCTGCGAGATGCCGTCGAGGAAACCGAAGCTACACGGGGTCGTCTTTAGAGCGGCGGCACTGGGTGACTGGCAGAGCTGGACACTCACTGCTCGTGGGCCTTCTCCTTGCCTGGGCGCACGGTGCCCTTGATCGTCTGCACCTCGTGCATCGTCGCCTTGGCCGCACCGACGTTGAAGATGCCCTTCACGATCGCCTGCGTCGCCGTGACGGTCAGCTCCGAGTCGCCCGAGATGATGACCACCCCGTCGAGCTGCTGCTTGAACGCGGGGATCCAGTTCGGGATGAACTTCCCGTCGCTCCCGACCACGCCCGAGTCTGCGAGGTTCTGGGCATCATTGAGCTGACCACCGACGAACGCGGTGTCGCCGATGTTGTCCGTGATCCCGAGCTACACGTGCACGCATCAGCCATCTGCGTGCCGTTGAAAAATAACAAAACAGCCGACCTTGGTGAGCCCGAACTGGGAGAAGGCGATGTTCACGCCCGAGAGCTTGAGGAGTCCCGGGGCCTTGCCCGCGTCGGCGGCGGCCTTCTTGTTCTCCGCGATCTTCGCGCGGTCCCCGACGACCTGCGTGGTCGTCGTGATCTGAGGAATGAGCACGGCCAGGCGCTTGCGGAACGCCCGGACGTCGGGGCCGATCTGGAAGAGGAGGTAGTGCTGGACGCGCTTGGGCAGCCCCGCGCTGTTGTTACGTTGATGGTCAGACTGACAGAGTACGCACGTGGACTAGTGAATACTCACAGGATGTCGCCCTGCACGTTGGCGGGGTCAAAGGGGGGAATGGTGGGAGTAGACATGGTTGGTATCGGTGATGTCTGTGGATGGACGTCAACATAAGCTAGCAGAGGAAGAGAGGAGGAGTGCGTACGAAAGTTGGGATGGTCAAGACTGGCGTTCCCCCACACTCTTTGGGCTCTTAAATCCCTGCAAGAGCGCCTTCGAGACAGCGCAGCAACGCCCACCGCACGGAGAGTTGGTGAAGGGTGGCGCGGCCTAGCCCACAAGCGTTACCTGGAACGTCCACCATTGTCGGGAGGCGCAGAACAGCCCCTTGAATTTGGCGCGGCCGCTGCACCTCCGCAGACAGATGTCCCCATTCGACACTCGCCGTCGACCGGAGAGTGAGAGGGCCGGTGGTGTTTGTGAGGTTTGTCAACGCCCAGTGGCCTTGGCTCAAACCGCTGGATGGCACTCACCAGCTCCGCTCGCAGCTCGCTGTTGACCGAGGCTCGACGTGCGCGCGGCTCCGAACCCCTCGAGCTCCGGGGCACACCGGAACTTGGGCTGGTTAGCCGCCGTGGTTGACGAGCCGGAATGTAATGTCACCTCTCCATCCTTCGCAGAAACGCTCTTTTGCGCAGGAACCGACCTTATGGTGTCGTTGTTGCCATCCGCAGGGCACGAGGGCGCGGGGAGAGAAGCGGACGGTGGACGTTCTTGTTCAGCCGTGAGAAGAGGTTACTATGTCCGACTGCATTGCATTTCCGGGCGCCGGGCTCGCACGCCACTCTGCTGAGTCCTCCTCCCATCATGGGACGAACTGAAGACCTCAAGCACGCTATAGACAGCGTGCCTCCGTTATTCTGGATCTCTCCGAGCTTCAGGCCTTCCAGCAGTTGGTGTGATCTGTCAACGACGGTTTGTATACTTAGTCGCCGAGGGCCGCCCAATGTCGCTGCTCATCCTAATTATCACGCAGCCCTCCGACCCCCTCGCGCCGTCCCGCACGGACGGAATCGCGTACGCCATTCGCCAGTCTGTGGATGCATCGGGCGGCCCGTGTCTTTGAGCGGTACGCTCACGGTCGGAGACCGGCCAGTTACGTTGTCGGACCCCAATTCTTTGTCTCTCGGCAAAGGTGCGTCCACCGTTCGTTACGTGTCGGGACGCGCTCGTCACAGGACCACAGGGGTGCTCCAAAGCGCTGTCAGTGACATGCAGAGCTACGACTCGGCGCGTCCCTGGAGTGCTGAATCCCTCTACGTTGGTCTGTCTGCTGCCTCGCAAAGGTCCGCTCCGGGGTCAAAAGGCACCGCTTGCTAGATCCACCGCAGTACTCCCACTGCCTCTTCGGCCCCATGGTCGTCTGCGCCGCACCCCACCAGCATGCAATTCGCGCCGCTCAAGTGGTGCACACACCACTGTTACACCATGCCCGTCTATGTGAGAAAACCAACACCAAGAGCCAGAGTCGCCCATGAACCCCCGCTACGCCGGACACCCCCCGCACAGGCCATGCCCGCACCCCCAACACCCCGCGACGCCCACGCCCGCCGTCCTCAACCCGAGCGCGACGATGCTCACCACGCCCTCCCCCAGCACGAACCCGCTCGCGACGACGACGAGCCGGATCCCCGCGCGCTCGCGCCCGCCGCGGCGCGTGTAGTACCAGTGCTCGACGACGCCCCCGACGAGCCGCGCGAGCGAGAACGCGGGCGTGTTCAGGAAGCCGATCGCGAACGCCACGCCCGACGGCAGCCACGCCGCGTGCGGCCGCCCAGCGCGCGCGGCACGCGCCTTGAGGCCCGCGAGCGCGCCGAAGAGGAGCGCGGAGAGCGCCATCGCAGGCGCCGCGTGCGGCGGGAGTGCGCCGTCGCCTGTGCGGGGGTGGGGAGGGCGTCAGCGGTCAGTGCGCGGAGAGGGGGGCAGACGCACGGAGGAGGCGGGCCAGACCGAGCCACACGTAGGCGGTAGGCGCGGGGAACGACGGGCCTGGGATCTCGTACGCGCGCTGGTAGAGGGAGTAGGCGGTTGTGGTGACGAGGATCGAGAGGCAGGAGCCGATGAGCTGCCCGTAGAACTGCGCGCGGGGCGACGCGCGGACGAGGTGCCCGGTCTTCAGGTCCTGCATCAGGTCGCCCGCCCTGCGCAGCAAGGCCGACGTCGGTCAGCGCGCGAACGGGAGACGGGAGACGGGAGAGACGCACTGCTGCGCGCCGGCCTCGGCGACTGCGCCCGCGATGATGTTCGCGACGACGTTTCCCGGCTGCAGCCACGCGAAGAGCAGCTGGCTGATCTTCCCGAGCCCGCTCACCGGGTTCAAGTCCGTCTCCCCCAGCGCGCGGACGCCGAGGACGCTGAGGAGCGCCCCGAGGACGAACCCGATGACCGTCGCCCATGGCTTGATGCCCTCGTCCCCGAACACGAGCCAGACGAGGAACGTCCCGAGAACGACGCTGCCCCCGAGGCCCCAGAGGACCCAGCTCATGGGCACGAGCCGGTCCTCCGTCTCAGTCTCGTTGCTCTCCTTCGGCGCGCCGCCGGCGGAAGGACCGAACACGGCCGGCCAGAGCTTGGTGGAGACGACCTCGGCGACGACGGGCACGAGCGAGACGAGCGAGTCGGCGCACATGATCGCGAGCGAGACCCAGAGGATCCAGCCGCGGGCGCCGGTGGTCATGTCGCCCACGGGGCCGGGCGCCCAGCCCATGTGCTTCGAGAGCGGGGACAGAATGCCCCAGCCGACGAGCATGCCCTGTTTGTCCGTGTGCGAGTGAGCGTGGAAATGGGGATCAGACTGGGGAGCACGTACGAGATTCATCGAGAGGGTGGTGGGCAGGCCCATGATGATGCCCTGGCCGATGTACGACAGCGAGGGGGTGAACGTCCAGAGCCACTCCGAGGCCAGCGTCTGGCCGAACAAGGGGATTGCGAAGATGACCGGGAAGAAATACGCCGCGAGCTGCAACCGTCGATCAGCTCACGCCGGTTCAACGTCGGACGGAGGGAACCGACCGTCATCACGCCAGAGGCTGCGAAGCTCCAGCCCAGTGCGCCCCAGCCTTCCTTCTCCACCCCAGAGTCTGCGAAAGTGTCGAACTCTGGCGATACGGGGCTCTGTAGCATCGTCGATTCCGGAGCCTCGTCTGCGGCGTCTGGTGCCTCGTCTCCATCGGGTATCGCGCGGTAGCCTGCTCGCCGCCGGACGCCTTGACCGGCAACGTTTGGGGGAGGGATTTGGTGCAGCACCGAGATCAACTGACCAGTCGCGGTTCCGGAGGGGAACGCGAGCTGCTCCTCAATGATCTGCGATACGCACATTGAGCCTTGTAAGCCGCATATGTGGCAAGTAAACTACGTACGACTTGTTTTCGGAGAGGGGGGGAGAGGAAGACCCTGTGAAATCAAGGATCAGCACTGCCTTCGAGCTTCAGGACGGGAGGTGCCAAATGACCGCTGGCCGAATATTATAAAGAACATGGCTTCACCATGTTCCCTGTGATAGTCACGTCTGAACTGTACGAGGCAAAGACTAGTCAGCATGTTCATGACATGGTCCATTGCGTTTGTTTGCCATCGAGCGCAAGTGTTCAAGGCAGACCATGCCATGAACATGTTAACTGGTCTCGGTCTGGTCTCGCAGATTCCCGTTATGCCCCGGTATTCATCACCAGAATATGTTCTCGAAATGTGCCACAGTCACGGTCCAGACAGAGACCTGGACCGTGACAAGTACCATGGCCCTGTCATGGTACGGATCCCATTCCGGCCCCGAATTTTCGGCTCGTGTAGGAAACCAACATACCCAAAGAATGCCACGGCGCACGACCAGCCCACAGCCGCGATCCAGGAGAGGTGCACGGGCGGCACGCCGTCCCTCTCTTCATCCAGCAGCCCGAGCGCGGGCAGGATGCCCACGAAGCCGGCAGCGAGCGGCATCTGAAGCGTGTCGAACGTCCCTCAGTCGACAATCGCAGCCCGCAGGACCAGAAAAGCACGCACAGTGCCGGTGGCGACCGCGGTCGTCTGGAGCACGACGTTTTCCTGGGGCGTCATCGGTCGCCGGAGCAGCTTGGACATGAGGAAGCCGATGAGCGCGGACTGGAGCGACATCCTGGCCGGCGTCGGGTCGGTGAGCGGTAGGCCGGGCGCCGGGAGCGGCGCGGTTGACTCACATGCTGATCCAGCCGGTCTGGAGGCCGAAGTAGAGGTTTGTGAAGCACAGGAGGCATCCGATAAGGAGCCCGAGCAGCACGGCTCTGAGCTGGAAGTCGGTATCATTGTGAGCATGAGACGCAGGCTTGGACGGCGTAGAACGCACAGTAAAGTCAGTCTGTGAGCCGTCGAGAGGCTCGTCGGAGGCCTGGCGGCGGGCCGGCCTGGTTGATCTGAGTACGGCAAATGGGTCAGCACCGCGTCGTCTTGTCTCTCTCAGCCCCAATCTTGCCAGCAGACGCACCTGAGCCATCCCAAGAGGCTCATGACGGAAGATGGAAACGAGCGAACTTGGCGGAACGGACGTGACCAACGATGCTCTGGCCAGCTTTCTCAGCCGCTCGCTTGCTCAGCAGCGGTGCTAGAGGAGGCGCCCGTGGGTCGGCGCACACTTGTCACCCGTGCCGGCCTGGGCGTCTAATGGGCTTGTTGGCAGGCTCAAATATCATTCGTTTCGCAGGGTTCTTGTACACACAGACGGTTTATTCGAAGCAGAATATGTGAGAACTTTTTTGAGAATAATCGGCACAGTATTAAGGGAAATAGGGGGCAAACAAGAAAGTGACCCTGTCACAGCTTGTGACATCTACAGCCCAGAGGGTGAGCATGCATGAGATCGATCGCGATATCTATAGTAGGGAATAAGAGCCTGTGATGGGTACTATACTCTTAGGTGGTCCGATATCTGCTCTGTGTCAATATTTGATGGGGTATGAATCCCTGGTGAAGTAATAATTGAGCAAACAGGGTGTGTGCGTGCTGCCGGAACTCAAATCCAGCCGTTTATTCGTACAAGAACCTGGTTGGCATTCTGACAATCTGGAACGATGAAAGAACCATGACGCTCCAAACCCCGCACAGGCGCGAAACGAACGATATTTATGAAGGCCCTTAGACGCCCAATCCGGGCATTTTTTTTTTGAATCAGACACATGATGACGTTAGAAGTCCGATAGAGGATGGATTGGCAGCGGAAAGGAGTAGAATACATGGAGGACAGGTGTATGTCAATACAGGCAGCGCTCATGAGCAATGTGCGGTCGTGGAATGTTCGTGAACAGGGCGTGTGATCTAAATCCGTGAAGTGTAAAAATGTCCGAAACGTGGAAAGCGGGGTGCGACAAAAAAGCATCGAGAAGCGATAGTAGTCCATTGCAATCCGCTGCGGGCGAGCGCGGGCTGTGATCTGTCTGGGACGTGTGATGAAGAGCGCGGAGGCGGTCATGCGAGGGCGAGCCAGGCACCCCCTACAACCCCTGCTCCCAGAGCGGCGGTGATGGCTGCCCAAGACACGGAGATCGGTGCGCGGGCAAGGCTGCCGTTGGAGACCCGGACGACAGTGTTAGTGCCAAGGCTCTCCCGCCAAGAGCTGTAGTCGAGTATGGTGCCGGGGGGCGGAAGTCCGGTGTAGGAGGTGGTTGCATACGTGGGCGTGAAGGTGCCGAGGAGGGCCACGGTGTTACCTGTCAAGGCGTAAAGGACGAGATGAGGATGCAATTGAGAGGTAGAGAGAAGAAGAAAGGACACGTACCGTTGGCGTTAGTGGTCGTGTAGGTGTACACCGTCTGCGTCGCTCCTGCCTGCCCTGTTTGCGGGACGCCGACGGGCCCTGCCTGACCCTCTGTAGTGGTCGTCGACGTCGAGGTAGTGGTGGTGAGCGTTTGGCTACGATGGATGCCTAGTCAGCATGTTGGAGAATACATGCGGGATGGAAGACATACAGCGTCTGCGTTGTCGGCAGGCCGAGCTGAGGGTCGACAGTGATGACCTCGACGACAGTCTGACCAAAGCTAAAGGGGGAGGTGAGGACAGCGAAAATCGCGAAAGGCGGATCGCTCACGCGTCGATAGTGGTGACCGTCTGGCCGGCGACGAGTGCAGCAGCCAGGGCGAGAACGGCAAAGAGCGAGAACCTCATCGTGCGCGTCGTCGGGCGCGGGGTCGTGGTCGGTGCGAAAGCGCGAGAGCCGCTCCTGTGGAGCAGCTCGGGGGAGGTGAGGCGCAGCAGCGAGCATAGCGCACGCACACATCGCACGATGACGCAGGCCGGGCCCTGCCGATGCGCGTGGGAAAGCCACCCGGAGTGACCTCGGTTTCGAACCCCGCGAGCGCCACCGAGTTTTTTCGTGCACTTTGCCAGCGGCCCCGGGTCGATGCAGGCAGCTGATCGATTCCGATGGCTGCTCACCACCTCTGCGTCCTCCCCCCGCCTCGCGCCCCGTCCAGGCGCATTCGCCGTCCTTGCGTGCCCCCGTAGCCTCTTCCACGCCTCCTCCGCTCTCGCAGCCAAGAAACGCAGCATGCCCCCCAAAAAGGCCTCCCCGGAGAAGAAGACCCTCCTCGGACGACCGGGGAACAACCTCAAGATCGGCATCGTAGGTCCGTTTTCTCGCTTTTTCTCCGCCCCCTCCCAGCTCACACGCCTCGTGCAGGTGTCCCGAACGTAGGAAAGTCCTCGTTCTTCAACACCCTCTCCAAGACCGGTGCGTGTCCTCTCGCCAGAAACCGCATACACCCCCTCATCCACACCCCCAGACCTCGGAAAGGCCGCCAACTTCCCCTATGCCACCATCAACCCTGAGGTATGTTTCTTCGCCCTTTCCACGCGCCCCGTCGCGTCTGCTCAATTTTCACGCCACTAACCCGCCCGCCAGGAAGCGCGTATCCCCGTCCCCGATACCCGCTTCGACTGGCTTGCGACCACCTACAGGCCTGCGGGCCGCGTCCCTGCCTTCTTGACCTGCATCGATATCGCCGGCCTCACCGCCGTACGTCCCCTCTTCCCACTCGTCTGTCCATTCCCTCACCCTTCCTTCTTTCCAGGGTGCCTCAACAGGTGCAGGTCTCGGCAACTCCTTCCTCTCACATGTCCGCTCCGTCGACGGCATCTTCCAGGTCGTCCGCGCCTTCGACGATGCCGAGGTCATCCACGTAGAAGGCGACGTCGACCCCCTCCGCGACATGGACATCATCTCCACCGAGCTCCGCCTCAAGGACATCGAGTGGGTCGAAAAGTACCTCGACAGCATCAAGAAGTCTGGCCGCTCCCTCGGCAGCAACTCCCTCGCTGACAGGGCACGCAAGGAGGAGATCGCCACCGTCGAGAAGATCTACAGCGTCCTCACCCAGGACAACAAGGACGTCCGGAAACACGACTGGGTCGGCAAAGAGGTCAGTTGCCTTTCCTTCTGCGATGCCCCCACAGCGACTTCGTGTTTGGATATTTATGTGATGACAAAGAGCACCTACGCTCGAAACCCAGCTCGTTGACGGCGGGAGTAACGCCCCATTATGCCTATGAGATCATGGATCCCTCTGACTTCTTCCTTCCCTCCCTCTCTCGTCTCATCTCCTCAACCCCCGCTCATCCTCTTCTCCCAGATCGACGTTGTCAACAGCCTTCAGCTGCTGACCGCCAAGCCCGTCACGTACCTTGTCAACCTTTCTGAGCGCGACTACATCCGCAAGAAGAACAAGTGGCTCCCGAAGATCAAGGGCTGGATCGACGAGAACAACCCAGGCGACCCGCTCATTCCCTTCTCCGTTGCCCTCGAAGAGCGTCTCATGTCGTTGTCGTCGGACGAGGAGCGCGCCGAGGAGGAAAAGAAGGTCGGCGCCACGAGCGCGCTCGGCAAGATCACCACCGCCGGCTACGCGTCCCTCGAGCTCATCCGCTACTTCACCTGTGGGCCCCAGGAGGTCCGTGCGTGGACGATCCGGAAGGGCACCAAGGCGCCACAGGCGGCCGGTGTGATTCAGTGAGTGGATGGCATACTTCCGAGAAGACTAATGCTGATCGACGCCTATAGCTCGGACTTCGAGAACAAGTTCGTGTGTGGTGAGATCATGTCCTACGAAGACCTGCGCGAGCACGGGAGCGAAGCGGCCGTGAAGGCGGCCGGCAAGCTCAAGCAGCAGGGCAAGACTTACGAGAGTACGTCGTCGTCTCCCTCTCTCACCCATGCCCATGTTGACAGCCTTTCTTTTTCAGTGATCGACGGCGACATCGCCTACTGGAAATCCGGCGCATAGCGGAGCTTCGGGGGTGACGTAGACCGGTCTCGTTAGTAACGTAGTCTTGCGGGTGTAAGTTCGTGTACAGTGCAGTCGGCAGCTCAATCAACCACCATCCTACTCAGCATCATGTGCGAGATTTCTACCTCCCCGCCCCCCTCGTCCAACCCCAGCCCCTCACAATGTCATCGGCGCCGCTCTCGTATCGTATATCGCCGCGCGCGCCACACCCCGTCGCCCGCGCCCATGTAGCAGCGCGCCTCAACGCTCAGCCCCACCTGCGCGATCCCGCCTCATAGATACCGCTCCGCGTCCGTGGCTGTGGAGAGCGGCGCGCACCCCGCCTGCGTGTCCACAAAGCCCACAGGGTTTCTCGCCGCGCGCGCGGGGTCCCGAGCAGGCTCACGGACCTCGTTCGCGTCCTCGTCCCCCTTCTTCCCGCTCCCGCCGCGCAGCTCCTCTGCCTGCGGACGGGACGTCGATCCAGAACACCCACCATCACGGGCGAAGGCGCAAATCCGTGTTCGCAGCGGCGAGGACGATCGTCGTCGCAGCGGCAGATCAAGCGGCGATGGGGGACGGCGGTTGGAAAGAACGGACATGTAAACGGGTATATAAACTGCAACGTCGCGGCGATTCAGGCGAGCGACCCCGCTTTCCTGCCCGTCGTGTACCCACCGTCGTCCTCCGTCTCGGTCACGATCTTCACTTCGACGCCCTCGGACGCGGGGCCGGGTGCCTGTAAGTAAGGGCGTATGGTCATGGTCCACGGCTGGGTGTCTGCACGGCACGCGCGCTCCTGCTCACCTTGGGCACGTTCCAGAGCTCGTTCTTCGCGTCTCGTTGGGCGTGGGCGAGGAACACGGGCCTGGACGGGTCCACGAAGATCTCCATGCCGGCGAGCTTGATCTGCCGTCCGTTGAGCCTGCAGCGCGGTTCCGTCAGTGCGCGCTCGGGCTCAGAGGGTTCCGAGGCTTACACGCTGAGCACGCTGATGGCGTACACTGGGGGGAAGAAGTGAGCTTCGCGAGATCGGCATGAATGCGCGAGAAGGAAGGGACTTGCGTCGGGTGCCGACTATGCTCAGCGCGATGAACCCGAGGCCGTGGGGATCCGAAACCGCCTGCGCGTTTCGTATGTTCAGCACACTCGGCGCCAGTCAGTCCGAGGCACCGCTCACCAGAAGAACGGTGAGCACGTTGAAGAGGCTGAGGCGCGGCTTCGATCAGTTCACACGCAGGACGGACGCGCGCGTCACGCACCATGTCAGGACGCCTTCCAGACGCACTGTCAGCATCGCGCTTCCGCACCTCGAAGCCAACGGGGGACGGACCTGTGTTCACGATGTACACCTCCCACCAGTCGATCGGCGACTCGTGCTCGGTCCTGTTCGTTCACCGCGGTTCAGAAGGGACGCGGGACTGCGAGAGGGACGCCGGTCGACGCACCGTGTCCCGCCCGCGCGGGCGTGTCTGAACGCGAGCACCATCGTCGTGGACATCATCAGCTCCGCGATGGCGGCGAGGACGAGGCCGATCCCGGTCACGCTCTGCGCGGAGGACTCGTCAGAGGCCGTGACGACCCGAGGGACGGACCGGACCCGCTCACAGTGACGATGGTCCTGTTGTCGAAGAGGAACCTGTGCGGCGTGCGCCCGTCAGTCGCGCGGTCACCGCTGGACAAGGCGGGTTGGCTCACGCGACGATCGTGCCCACTGCGTATCAAAAGGCCTCTCAGCACGTGCATAGGATCGCAGGTCGAGGAGGGTACGTACGGATGGCGAGCGCTGCGAAAACAGTCGACACGATGAGTGATGGTTCCCCAGTGGTTGGGACAAGCCCCGGCGAAAGCGCGACTGACCTGACTCAGCCACACAGAGGACGATCTGAACGCGCCGTCAGTGCCGATGGCACGTCGCGAAGAGACAGAGGGGGCTCACGGCGATGTACACCACGATCCGCTGCACCCGGCCGACTGGCGTGATGGATGCACAACTCTCAGATCGCAGGCGGAAGGCAGAAGAACGCTCGACACGTACGCATAGCGACGCGGCGGGCGAGGATGCTGCGTGGCGTGAGCGGGAAACGGTTGGTTGGTCTGGTCCCAGGAGACAGAACGGCACTCACAGCTGAGACGTCAACACAATCGCTCCCTAATTTGGCGTCAACTCGGAGGCGCCCAAAACAACGAGGTGGGAGTACATACCGCAATCGCGGGCAGCACCTGGGCGAGACAGAAAGGAGGGCTGCTGAGGGCAGTACGGCACACGGACGAAATCGACTCACGTTCAGAGACCTGCAGGCAGGCGGCGGTCAGTGTCGTCCACGTACAAAGAGAAGCCAGAAAGAGGCACTTACACACTTCCGGTCGCCAGCGCCGCTACGTTGCCATAATTCAGGACGAGATAGAAATAACTCGAAGGTTGTCAGCGAGCTGGCCGGGGTAGTGACGTGCTTGACGTACACAAGGTGCATCGTGAACGCAGTGTGCACGGTTTCGAGAAGGCTGAAGGTTGGACCACAGGCGTCAGTACCGTGGCGACGATTCGGAGAGCGGACTTACACCATCGCGAAGACCTGCGGAGAAGAACGTCAAGATCACACACGGACGCACGCACAGTCCGATAGAGACCTACCAGCATCTTGATGAAAGGAGAGTCTCGAGGGAATGAGCGCGCATACTTGTAGGCTTGGTGCAGCGTCGAGCCATGCAGTCTGCGAACGGGTCAGAACACGGCCGAAAGACCGGGGGAGCGCACTCACAGGATGCCAAAGACGACGCCGAGAAGGAGGACCGTCAACGGTGAAGGGGGCGCCGGGCCGCTGGAAGTCAAAGAAGAGGGCGAGGGCGACATCATGGCGCTGCGGGGGCGGCTGAGATGCGCAGGGTGTCTATAAGGAGCCCGAGGGGGGCGTACGCGCCGGTGAAGAAGCCCTGACAATGCACAACCGTCAGATGGAAGAGAGCAGTTGGCAGATGGGGGACTTCTCGGGGGACACAGCCCGCAGGTGCCCAGCCACGGAGACGTAAGACTCGAATAAGCTCATCCTTTGAGCTCTCGAGGCCTCGACGCGATGGTCTCCGTTACGTTATGCACGCCTTCGGACTCGCGTTTTTGCATCTGCCCGCTCTTTGAGCAACCGACACATCCACCATCATGCATCCTTTCCCAGGAATGCCCGCGTGCCTGAATATGAACAAGCTTGATGAGAAGGTGGCAGCGGCAGCCGCGTCAGATGGGAGCATCCGGACAGAGAATCAGAAGGAGAGAGGCCTAAATAATAGGAGCGCATCAGCGCATACTTACTTCTAACGACTGCAACATCGCACAAGGCAAACGGGCGCTGCCCTGCGCTGTCCAGTCCAACGAACGTCGATCTCCGGACGACGACGGCAAGAAGAGGCGCACGCGCTTGCCGTTGGGCCAGCGCCAGCGAACTCGCCACGTGACTGGAACACCCAAACGGTGACCATGTGACGAATCAACCTTGTCGGGCGCAGGCTGAGGCTGCAGCAGCGCCGCTAAGCCTTGTAGGGATTTGGCCAATAAAAGTACAACAGGCTATGCTACCCGCGCGTGGCCCGCCTCGGAATCAGATCAGATCTCTGCCTTCCCCCAACTACCGCCCCCACCCGACTGGCTTCACCGCCCAGTTTGCTGCACACTCTCAGGTTTGAGTTCACCGCAAGACCAGCCGCTCGCTCTTCCAGCTCGCGCGGACTGCAACCACGGAGTTCGATCACGCTCCACATGGGATCTGCACTCCGACCGTTTACCCGAGATCGGTAATGGTCTGGAGGTCATGTTCCAAAGTCATCAGCGGTTTGACGGTTGACCGGGTGTTATGGAGAGCCTAGCCGTCCATTTCCCACTCTCCGGCTCGCCGCCCTTATGTACCTCGGGGTCGCCTGGCAGTCTTTCGTCTGCTCCATGGCCACAAACGCGAGTACAGGCTCCGCTTCTGCGCACACCGAGCTCCCCAGCTTGGCGCCTACCTTCGGTGCTTTGCTGATAGGTAGTTGCATCTCGGTCGTGTAAGTAATTCCTCCAGCTTGGCACGCAGCTCCACTCAGATCCAATCTTCCGCTCAGCTTGTACGGCTGGTCTCTCCATCAAGGATTTGAGTACGCCCGCACCAACCATGGCGACTCGGCGAAGTTGAGAGTGCTGGTCCGTCTCTCGTTTTCCTCTCTGTGCCCCTGTGACGTTTCACCCCCAGGTCTACTCAATCTTGTATGCCCATCCTTCAGTCGGCGCCTCCGCAAGCTAAAGCCTATACTTCTAGAATCGCTAGCACTGCCCAAACCGCTTTGATGGTGCATGCGCTGTGAATCGTCTCCAGTCGCCCTCCCTTCTCTGCCATGCTGACGTCCTGCAGGTACTACTACCTCATAACGCATTATGCCCAGCCCCAAGCACTCAGCGAAGCCATCTGGTATGTGGTCCCCGTGGACGCACGATCTGACCACTCACATCAGCCCACAGGTCACTCAACGTAAGATGCTTACGATACCTCCGAAAAGCCCTTGCTGACTTACTGCACAGTTGACGCCCATGTTCGCGGTGAGCCTGGGCCGTGTTGACGTTGCGTTCTCGGCATTAATCGCGCGCGTGGACAGGCTTTGATCACTGTCGGGTCACAAAGGTATGATCCTGTCTCGCCCCGATCGCGCTGAATCTCGACAGCCACACGCCAGCTTCTTCATAGTCCGTGTGTCATTGAGTGCGTCGGCCAAGTTGCCATCCTGTCTCGTTCTCGGATCACGAACTCCTTGGTTTTGCAGTCAGCTACAAGTACGCCGTGGCGGGTGTCACTGCGGTACGTCCTTAGTGTCCCGGCGTTGCGCGGGCCAGAGCTGATTCGCGGTCAAGGCGCTGTTGATTCTCGCCAAACTTGGTGAGTTTGCTTTCAAAGCCTGAGAACACCCTCGCTCAACATGAACTACTGATGCAGCTTGCGGATTGGGTACGTTTGAATTTCCTTTTTCTCACTCGCTGTTTTAACTGCTGGTGCTGCGTCCAGCGTTCGCCGCGAAAGGGTGAGCCTCATTCGTACTATTCGTTGCCGAAAGGCCGCGATGGGTGCTCAACCTTGTACAGATTTATTACGGGATCAACGTCGTTTTTCTTGCACAACGTCGTGAGTAGCCGGTGCATTGTCGTCTGGACGTTGCGTTAACCTGGTCCGTTCAGCTCCTTTTCCAGCTCGCGCTGGGCTTCGCAACGCTGGCCAACATCATCCTCTCCGGGTCGCTTCTCACCGTGCTACTTCGGGGACGGCCGGGTGCGTCCCGCTCAGATTCCAGGTAAGTGGTGCTCTGGCCAGCGCCGCATAAGATATTCAAGCGTCTGTGCTTCAGTAGCATCGAAGAGTCCATCGGATCACAGTGGATCGTCGTATGGCTTTTGAATCCTGGTATGTGAATCAATGCACTCCTCCACTCCAGAAATCCGAATCACGTTAACCTTGCGTTAGGTATCTTCATCCTGTGAGCGATTTTCTGCACTCATTGGCATCTCGCTCAACCATACTTCACCAGCGCCTGTGACGCCCTGGCGTTGATCTTGGTATGCCGGTCTACGCGGTGCGACGGTGTCACACATACTGACAGGCTGTCCATCGCAGTCACTCGCCGCCCCAGTACGCTCTACTGGTTGATGTTCTACATGATCACTTCACCATGTGCGTATCACCACATTCCCGTGGGACGCAACCACTGACATCACCGCCGCAGTGGACGTCATCACCCTCCTGAGCGTGTATGTGCTCCTCCCCACGTCCGCGCCCCGTACCTGACTGCGTATCCGTGCTGCAGGCTGAACACGCGAAAGATCTCCGCAACGCGCGCCATGTTCTTCCTCGACCCCGGAGGGTTCAACCGGAACGCGATCGCGCGCGCGGACCGCCAGGCGCAGCTGGAGCGCTACAACGTCCCCCAGGTGCGTCACCCGCGCCCGCCGCGCCCCCGCTCCGCTCGTCTGACCGCGGTTCCACGACGGCGCAGCTTCCGGAGGAGCTCCACACGCCCGCGATGATCGACGTCAAGGTCGACACCGAGGTCGAGCGCGCGCTCTCCGAGACGCTGGGCGTCGAGCTCCCGCGCTCGATGAAGCGCAAGTACAACAACGCCTTGCGCCCTTCGCCGGTGTAGTGCCTGTTTGTGAGCCCGCTCACCTCGTGCGCTTGATTTTGGTGTTGACGGTACCCCGTCGCAGCGGCGCGTATCCCTCGTTTGTGGTTTCGTGTGCACGTGTATCTTAAGCATCGTACTTATTGGTTTCCGTTCCGAGAGCCTCAGGCGCTCTCCGTGTCTGGGGCTGGCTCCCGAAAGTCACTCATTTCAGCATCCATGGCACTGTGTTGCAGGAGACAGGGCTATACCAGTGGTCTTCCTCGTCGCCGCCACTTCACGGCCAGCACGCAATTCCGACACGGAGGAGTGAGTGACACTGATTGTACTGTCTCGTCCCTCCGTCTTCTCTGGCGCAGCAAGCGCCTTAGAGAGCAACGCGGTTGCTGCTCTGTCTCCGTCTTTTCTCGTCGGGTATCTCCGGAGGGCGATAATCTGCGCATGGGATATCCTCTCGGCATGACAGCGCACATTGCGCAATGTTCATCATGAATGGCGACGCGCGGCGAAGGGCGCAGAGCGCGGTCGAAGACTACGCACTGACTTCTCGATCAAGCAGAGGATTTATTCCGTTGGAAACCATGAGCCATGAGGGTCTTGTATAATACGCACTACGTGCACCATAACTTATATTACAACCTGAGACTCATATACTGACCGTACTCGCGTAGAGTCGCTTCCCCGAATACCATTCTACATTCCCGAGACCGCCCATCTAGACTTGCGCGAACGCGTGCCCAACATCCCCCACTGCTCAAGCCGCCTCGGCAGCCTCCAACTTCGCCAACAGGTCCTTCATCGTCAGGTCCGCGAGCAGCTGCACCTGCGTCACCGCCACCAGCGGCCGGAGCGCGAACGACAGCGCCGCGGCGGACAGCGAGTCGAGCCCGTACGTCGTCAGCGGGACGTCCACCGACGCCTCCGCCTCCTTCACGTCCAGCACCCGGCACACCGTCTGCACGAGCGCCGTCGGCCGGTCCCGGTCCGCGCCCGCGCCCGCGTCCTGCGAGTCCGACGGGGCGTCGGCGGGGACGAGGTGGTCGTAGAGGTGGGAGGGGCCCATGCCGTCGCGCACCGCGCGCCAGTCGAAGCCGGGGACGTACTGCCACACCGGCGCGTCGCGGAGCTTGAGGATCCCGTCCCCGATGCAGTCGCAGAGGTCTGTGGCCGGGAGAGTGAGCGATCGTGGCGGCGAAGCGAGGGTGGAAAGCGTACCTCGCGCGGTCATGCCCCACTTGAGCATGTGGCGCACGCTCTTGTTGTACGAGTCGTCGCTCAGGGTGAGCACGCGGCTGTCGTGGATGATGGGCGCGACGATGGAGAAGGCGTTCGTGTACTTGCGCGTCAGCCCCGCGAGTGCCGAGTTCGCACTGCAGGGAGATTTGAGTAATGGTACGATCGGACACGGACGGTGTGGCTCACGCGGCATAGCTCGTCTGTCCCGGATTCCCGAACATACCGGAGACGGAGGAGAAAGTGACGACGAAGTCGAGCGTGTTGAGGTCCACCGCGTTCTCCATCGCTTTGAAAGCGTCAATCTTGGGAGGGAAGACGCGCTCGAACGACTCCTCGGTGTGCGTGGTGAGCATGCCGTCAACGAGGAGCGCGGCCAGCAGAACACAACCGCCTAACGGACGAGAGATGCTTTGAACGATGTGCCGCATACCATCCTTAGACGTCCCATCCACCGGTACGGTCTCGAGAGTGAGGTCGCCGCGGGCGCGGAGGTATCCCAGGATGCGCTCAGCGATGTAGTCTCCACGCCGCTCGAGACTCTCGACGCCCGTCCTGGACGTGAGAACTAGGTGACGAGCACCTCGCTATAAACCTCACATTAGAAACTTCTGGGATGGGAGCAATGGCGTCTATACGCACCTCGTACATCCACAGAGCCATGTGGAAGCCCAGACTTCCGATCCCGCCCACTAGGATGTACGCTTTCTCAGGATCAAAGAGGTCGGGTGATCGGGCAGCAGTGGTTGGAAGTCCTTCGAGCAGAGAGGCCGGCGGGCTGAATGGCTGAGAGCTTTTGCACTCATGGTCAACCGAGGAGCGAACCGCGTCTCCTAGCGTCCAGGGATCGTTCGCGATGATTGAGGCGATGTTCTTGTCGGAGTCGGGGTTGTTCCACAAGCAAAGGCTACCACGAGGGCTGAGGATGCCGCGGAGGGTGGCTGCGGTCGTCGCGTCGCTTGTTCCGGAGATGACGTAGCGCGCCTTCTTGTCATAGCATGACTCTAGGTCCTCCCGAGAAAGCGCGGTGGCTGCCAGAACGTCGAGTCCGAGAGAGGAGCAGATCTCAGCGATCTGTGCACGGAGCTGTTGATCTTGCTCGACCACGACGATGCGAGAGCCGGCGAGACGGCGCGGCTGGGAGAAAGCATTTGAACCGACTGTCAGCGCGACCAGAGCGAGCGCGAATATGGGGGGTGTTCGCTCGAGGATGGGGAAATCCGGTGAGACCTCTGCAAGAACGCCCTTGTGAACGACGAGATGGCTCGCGAATGGCCCAGACGCGAGGCCGACGACGACGTTAGAGGTGTGATCGGCGACCCCCATGAAGGCGTAACATTCTCCGCACCGAGGGCCCACTTGACTAACGCGCACGATAGTATGATCGGAGGAAGGTGTGTGAAGGAGGGGGAGCTGAGCCACTCGGCCGTTCTCGACCTTCCATGGCTTCTTGGTGTCGAGGGAAGTGACGTCGCTGGGGCCATCTGTGATGTCGATGCGAGGAACCAGGACTTTCCCCTCTTCGTCGACGCGCATCTCCACTTCGCTTGTTACGGACTGCAGATGCGATACCCCCTTCATGCGTTGGCCCGGCGTCCATGAGGGAGGGAACGCCGCGACACGGACAGTCCAAGCCGGGAACTCCTTGCGCAGCGAGCGAGTGAAGCCCTGTGCAGCATCGCCGTCGATGCCGGTCTCGGCGACGAAGAAGACAGAGAGCGGCTGCAGAGGGTCGTGGTGGGCCAGGTGCTCACGGAACATTTGCACCTCTGCGCCTCTGACGTAAGGGAGTACTAGGTTTCCTGTCTTGACTTCCTTGTCCGCGTCGCCGTTGGCGTATCCGTTGGTGTGGCCGTTGGCATATCCATTCGGGTGACCGCTGATGTCGCCGTTGGAAGAACGGACGATAGACTCGAGCGAGACGTCGATGGGGCGATAGACAACATCGCAGCGCTGCTGGAGCGGTTTCATGCGGAAGCCGTGAAGAGCGATCTCGAGGCCTTCGACGACGCACAGAGGAACCCCTTGAGGGTCTGTGATGGTAAAGTTGTATACCAGCGACTCTGAAGGGTGATTGGTGAGAGCTTCTTCACCAGCACTGACATGAGACGCCTACCTGGTGTCCAGCTCTCGAATCTAGCATGCGAGAATATCGTGTCCGGGAAAGGTCGATCGAAATAGCCGGGGCACAGACGGAACGCGCGAACCCTGGAGGGCAAATGGTAAAGGTTCGGATCGTAGTTTCCTGTGAACGCGGGATGAATTGGCGTGTGGATGGCGGCATCTAAGATTGCAGGATGGAGGCGGTAGTCGGCACAGCTATGGAAGCGTGTCAGTATGGAATATAATGCCTAAGACGTGCCGCCGAGACATACTTGGGGATGTCGGGAGCGTTTCCTTTCAGCTCAGCGAGAGCATCCACGGCGCCACCAGGCCGGACTGCAAGGTAGCACTTCTTGATGCGACGATACATGGGTCCGTAATTGGCAAACGAAGTGATGTCCGAGTAGAACTCTGGACAATATTCTCAGAAAGGGGACATGAAAGCTTGTTTGGTAAACACTCACTCTTCATGTCCATCGGTTTCATACCCCCTCGGATGGCGTTGAGGTCCAAATGAGCATAGGGAGTGTCTGGAATGGGGTCCAGAGAAAGGAACCCAGTGGCGTGCAGGCGGTTGTACTGCACCATCGCGAAGATCAGCAACATCACACGGCACGGAGAGAGACGTCGATATTCACCTGAATCGGCCATGTAGTCGTATAGTCGGTCGAAGAGGCGCTGCTCACGCTCCACTTCGTACCCTCCAGCTTGACCTGGACCGGCGTCGGCCGATCTGCAGACAACGCGAGCAGCCCGTGGAAGGTCACGTCATACACCGCGCTAGCGCCAAACTCCAACGCCTGGGTGGAAGTGAGAACAACCCAAGATCAAGTATATGATGAGCGACGGACCTGCTCGATGAACCCGGCAGCAGGCATGATCGGCTCGCCCTTGATGATATGGTCCGCGAGCCCCGGGTGCGTCCGCACGTTGATCGCGAGCTGGGGAAAGTTCATCGGCCCGTCCCGGTGCTGCCGCTGCCGCGCGATCTCGGGGCTCTGCACGAACCACGGGAGGCGCTTGGGAGCGAAGGGGTACGCGGGCCCCTTGGCGCGGCGCGGCGCGAGGTGGGCGTAGAGCACGTCGAAGTCGACGCAGTTGTGGCCCGCGCCGACGATCTTGCCGAGCGCGCCGACGAACTCGCGCACCTCGACGCCGGGCTCGGGCGCGCGCGGACGGCGCAGCGGACACGTGGCGGTGGGGGAGGTGCCGCGGTCGAGGAGGTAGGAGGAGAGCACCGGGTGGGGGCCGATCTCGACGAACGTCGCGGTGCGGTGCTTGGCGACGAGCGCAGAGAGGGCCTCGTCGAAGCGCACGGGTCCGATCGTGCCGTCCCAGTAGTACGCGGGGTCGAAAGCGCGCGAGAAAGCCGCGCCAGTGGTCGCGGAATACGTCTCGACTGTCGGGGATCGGAGGGAGTCGGCGTGGCGCGCAAAGGCGGCGCTGACGAGGCTGTCGAATTCGGTGCGGCAGAGCTCCATCATCGCGGAGTGTACGGGGACGCGCGTGCGTAGCTTGCGCGCGAAAACGCCACGGGCGGTCGCCTTCGCCACGGCAGCGTCGATGTGCGTCTCGCTTCCCGAGAGAGTGACGGCAGAAGGGGTGTTGAAGCAGCCGATAGTGAGGACGCCGTCGCCAAGCTCAGCGCAGACCTCTTCGATGATCGCCTTCGCGTCCTTCGGAGAACATGAGACGGCCGCCATGGTCCCCTTTGAGGCCTCCAGGAGGGAGAGGGCGCGACCGCGAGCGATCGCGAGCTCAAGAGCGAGTTCCTTGGATCCCGCGCCCGAGGCAGAGAGCACGGCCGTCTCTCCCGCAGAGTGACCGACCACGACATCGGGGGTCACACCGACTGCTTCGAGTGCGTCTACGAGCGCGAGCTGGAGCATCGTCAAGGCCGGAAGTGTGATCGCGATGGGCCAGGGGTCGCCCAGCGTGTCCTTGGCATCGGCATCACCGGTTGTGAACAGGCCCGTGGATGCAATGAGCGAGGTTCCAACGACGGCTTCGTAGTGATGATCGAGCGCTAGGATGCTCTGTCTGAAGGGGAGGCATGCTGCGAACAGCTGGCGGCCCACTAAAATCCAGCGTACAGTGAGAAAGAATCCTGATTGGACGTGAGAAAACAAGCGTACTTTGGAAATGCTGCGTCCCCTGGCCAGAAAAGACGAAGACAATCGGGGGACGCGTCTTCGGTACCAGCGCGGGCTTCGTGAAGTTGGCTGCCGACACCTGTTTCGCGCCGACTCCGCCTGCGAGGGCACACGCGCGCCACGTCATGGAGCGCGCGCGGCGACCGTATGCGCGAGCGAGAGCGGTCGCGTCGAAGGAGGTCGACTCGGCTGCGCTAGCAATGCTCTCCACCACGGCGGCTGCCGACCGTGGAGAAAGACCTCCCGCGACGAGGAGCACAGGCACTTCCGGTATCGCATCTTCGGACCAGTAAGGAGCGGGAGAGGAGGGAGTGGGAGGACCTTCTACAACTGCGTGTCCGTTTGCACCCCCGATGCCGGAGCTCGTCATCGCGACCAGTGGGCGTCCAGAAGAAGACCTGCTCTTCAGAGGTTCGGGTGACATCGGGACACGAAGCTGGTACTGCTTCCAGCGGATGGCGGGATTGGAAGTCTTGTAGTTGACGTTCGGTGGTATCATCTTGCGTTCCAGTGTACCGCAGACCTTGAGGAGCGACGCGAGAAAGGCGGTGATCTCTAGGTGACTGTGAACCAAATGACTGAGCTCATGATATCCTGAATAATAACGATAGACACGGACCCGATATTGCCTTTGACGCTCCCGATGACCAACTCGTCATCGCGTTTGAACTCAGCCCCAACCCAGTTGGCTTCTGTAGGATCGCCTTGTGCAGTGCCTGCAAAAGCAAGTCGTCATCTATTGTCAGTGCGCTGCGCACAATACATCCGATGCATGCATACCAGTGGCGTGCAGCTCCAAGAAGTCGACTTCCCGCGGCAGCCGGCCAGCCATACTGAACGCACGCTGCATCGCGTCTCGCTGCGCCACCGAAGATGGGGCATTCGCAGGCACGAGAGCTCCAGACGAGTTCACGCCAGTCCCGAGGATCTGTCTGCGTTTGAGCGTGACGACCAAACAAGAATGAGATGGTAAACGTACCGTAGCATAGATGTGATCGCGATCTCGGAGTGCGGCATCCAGCGGCTTCAGTGTGATGACGACCACGCCCTCTCCACGTCCGAAACTAGAAAGATATCTGAGTGTAACGTCCCACGGAAACTAAGGACACCGTACCCATTTGCTGAAATATCAAACGGTTTGCACTTGCCATCCGGAGAAAGAATACCGCCCTGGGTATAGGAAAGCCATTCGGCAAATCTGTACACCAAATTTAGTCCTTTTCACCACGATAGCAGTCCCCTTAAGGACACACCTTTGATTCAGTTGGCAGCCACCGACTACGGCCACATCGCACTCTCCATGACGAAGGGCTTGCACCGCCATATGCGTGGCGTACAGACTCGAGCTGCAAGCAGTATCGACGGGCACGGTGGGCCCTCGAAGATCGAGATGGTATGAAACGCGGTTGGCGATCATCGACGGGACATAGGCGAAGGAGCCCGAGGCCTCGGTGTCGTCCTGTTCGCAAAGAGCCCGTTAGAAGTTTGTTGTGACGAAGGACAGGAAGGCCGTACGTGTCCTGAGACGCTGAAGGTGTCATACGCCACTCCGGACATGTAACAGCCGACGTTCTTCCCCCGGTAGTCGATGCCAGAGTCGCAGAGCGACAAGAAGGTGGTCTCGATGAGTTTGCGGAGGCTGAGGGGCATGAGTCGAGCGTCTTTGGCGGTGATGCCGAACTCCATGTGGTCGAAGAGGTCGACATCTTTGAGAAAGGCGCCAGCGTTAGCGAGCACCTGCCCGACGGCGCGTCCTTGAATGCTGACGCGACCATCAGTGTCAGATGGGGTGGGAGAATCATTTTAGGAGCGATGCCCACCTCTGAATGTTGAATCGACTTGAGGGGATGGGCTCGTAGGCCTCTCCCTTGTCGAGAAGGAAGTCGAAGAACGCGTCATAATCGAGGTTTGTGTCTGCCCAGCGGCCGCTCGGCAATTGAGCGGCGATGCCCACCTGTGGACGACTGTCAGCGGCGCCCGGGAGTGGTGACGGTAGGACAGCTTACAATGGCAACAGGAGTTGAGGGGACGGGCATGGGTGTCTACGCCGACGCGACGCTGTTTCTGGGCTGTTTGCAATCGTAGTCGTGTTTATGAGGGCATTGTGTCATGTCCGAGGAGACCCCGGAAACTGCACGATATGTCAAACGCATCAGAGAATGGACCCTGAGTGCGACGCACACATCGGAAAGCGGTGGAATAAGGACAGGGTTCCATCGCGAGTGCTCGGAAGATGGGACCCGAGGCATGAGTCTATCAGCTTCTCACAGACTCCTATCAGCGCACAGGAACGACGCGGTGTGGATCTCGTTGCTCACTCGGCAGCTGCAAGGCGGAAGGGAGACCAGGGTGGGCAAGTTCGCGTAGGAGCGGGATGGCAGCCATTGCGAATCCGCGAGCGCCCGCCACGCGAGCGCCCGTCGCCGTGCCATCAGCGGACCCCGGACACGGCTTGCCTCCGCCCGCTTCCTGCCACACCGTGCGCGTCCGACCCGGAGGAAGCGAGAAGCTCAGCGGTTGCAAATAAGTATGATGTAGCGCACCCCCGTCCCCCGCCCAACGCCTTCATCCCTCCGCTCATCCTCTCATCCACACGCCCACCATCCTTTCCACAATGACCGACCACTTCACTCCTTTGGAAAATATCCCCCAGGCAAGCAGAGGTCGCTGCTTCGCCCCACTCCTACGCCTCACCAGTTGTCGTTCCAGATTCACGCGGCGGCCCGAAGCGCCTTCTTCGATGGAAAAACCAAGTCCATCCCATATCGGAAGGAACAGATTGCGCAGCTCGGATACCTCATCAAGGATAATGAAGACCGCATCCACGAGGCGCTCAAGCTCGACCTTGGCCGCCATCCCCTCGAGTCCGAACTGTGAGTCTTCGCCTCCGGGACTGCGCATTCGGCTGGTCGCTGAGCACGCCCGTCAGGTACGACTTCGGGCCGTCCTTCAAGGACATTCGCATCGCGTACGACAACGTCGAGCGATGGACCGCGCCCCAGAGCGCCGAGTTCAACATGAGCTACTTCTCCATGGGCCCGAAGACGAAGGCGGAGCCGAAAGGCACCGTGCTCATCGTCTCGGCGTTCAACCTGCCTGTCTTTCTTACCATCAGCCCCATGGTGAGTCGCCTTCTCACGTCCTTCCCCGGCAGAAACTGACGCGACATCAGGCCAGCGCCATCGCAGCGGGGTGTACGTTCGTCTTGAAGCCGTCTGAGGCAACTCCAAACATGAACAAGCTGTGGGCAGAGCTCTTGCCCAAGTACCTCGATCCCAATTTGTACAAGATTATCCTTGGAGGCCCAGAGCAGATGAAGAAGGTTCGCGCTGTGTTCTGAATCGTCTTGGTCGGGGTCGCTCATGCGCAAGTTCTATCTTAGGTCCTCGAGCTCCGATGGGACCACAGTGAGTTTTCTCTCCTCAGTCAATGATCCAATCTCTAACACGCGTGCGACAGTTCTGTACATCGGTAGGCGCATTCATAGCTACGCTCGTAGCCTGAGGTGCTAACTATGCGCCAGGGGGTGAGCGTGTTGGACGCATCATCGCGGAGGCAGCAGCCAAACATCTTACCCCTACAACTCTCGAGGTAATTTGTTTCCTTCACTATCACATTTAGCAGTACTAATTGTACTGTTTGCAGCTTGGAGGTCAGAGCGAATATTAAATTCTATTATGTCATCTAACGCCCGCCGTCACAGGCAAGAATCCGGTCGTAGTAGACTCCAAGGCCGACCTGAAACTCATGGCAAAGCGCGTTCTCTGGGGTCGCTTCGGGAATGCGGGTCAAGTGTGCACCGCTCCGGAGTACATTCTCGCGACCGAAGACGTCCATGCACAGCTCGTCGAGGCTCTGAAAGAGACGTGCGTCTCTTTTCAGTTTGTTTCACGTGTCATCTTCCGACTTACCGAGGTCGCCGATCCGCAGCTACGCGTCTTTCTACCCCGACGGCGCAGACAAATCGGAGTCCATTGCAAAGATCGTGGCGAAGTCGCACGCAGAGCGCATCAAGCGTCTGCTGGACGGGACCAAAGGGTCCGTGATATGTGGTGGGACGAGCAACGTCGAAGAGCGCTTCATCGCTCCGACGATCGTCGACAACGTCTCGGCAGATGACACCCTGATGAGCGAGTGCGTGTCCAAATTCTTCTCATGGCCAAACGCTGACGCCATTTCAGAGAGATCTTCGGCCCAGTCCTCTCCGTCGTCCCCGTGAAGGACGTCGACGCAGCCATCGAGTTCATCCGCGCACGCGAGCATCCGCTCTGTGTGTACGTGTTCTCCTCGGACAAAAAGTTCCAGGAGCGCGTGTTCTCGAACACGAAGAGCGGCGCGGCGGTCGCAAACGAGGTCGTCATCAGCCCCGCCATCCCCCACCTCCCGGTGGGCGGTGTGGGTGCGAGCGGGCGTGAGTTTGACCGGGGGCCGTTCTTGGATGCGCGCTGAAGCCCTTCGCGTTCTTCACAGACGGCTACTACGGCAGCAAGGGAGGGTTCGACTCCTTCACGCACCAGCGTGTGTCCTTCGACAACCCGTGGTGGTCGGACACGTTCGTCACCGGCTTCCGCTTCCCTCCGTACGCGATGAACTTCAAACGGGGCATCAGTCTCATGTATCCCGCGTTGCCGCCACGGCCGAAGGGTGGCCAGCACAGGTGGGCGTTTTGGCTGGCGTGTTGTTGCGCAGGACTCTTGGGCATGGGACTGATGACAATCGCCGACTTCAGCTAGAGTGGCCGTCTGCACTCGATGTATGCCACCCGTGTAGCTGTTCTACCGTTCCGTCATCCCGTATACTCCTATTCTTACCCCTATCGAGCGCGCCGTTGTGCGTCGGTTCTCTCCTTGCCCGAAAGCTTCCGATCACGAACTTTGTGCACTGATTCGTTGTAGGCACTGATACGACAGACGACCGCGTATTTATGGTGCGCGTTTGGAGTTGGAAACGTGCGTCTGGCCACCTCCGTGCTAATGAAAGAGACTCCCGATCGGACAAGGTGGAGATAAAAATTCAGCAGTGTCAGGGTGTCAACTGATCCTCACTCGACCGGGATCACCTTGCGCTCGTCTGCTCCACCGCGAATCACGTACTCAGATATTTCCATAAGTCAGTAGCTGATGCACACCCGCCGATAGCAGATGTGCATTTCCCAGGCGAACTACACCTTGGACAACCGGAGGATGTAAGTATGTCGCCATGGTAGTCGGCGAAACTGCAGTCGACTCTCTCGTAACGCCCACCCCCATAACGCATAAGGCATAGCTCGAGGCCCTCCCCGAGTCGCATCATAACGCATGGTGCATCGGTCGGCTACAAAGCATACGTGCCCATCTAATCAGGTCTGGCCTCGGGATCTATGCTCTGTGTACCGTGTCACTGAAGTCTGATTGACCTGCGGCTTGCGAGCACTAGTCGCCGGGGCCCGGCAGAGGTTGAAGCAGCTGGCCGGTGGTTAGATAAACCTCAGGTCCGCAGTGCTCACCAGCTGGAGGCACTTGGAGGAGGCGGACAAGTGGACACCTGAGCCATCACTGATTTGTGTGAGGATCAGCGTTGCACGTTTGAACGTTGATCCGTCAAGCGACGACTCCCGGCGCGAACGGCGCTTCTTCCATCGCACTGCTTCACGCATACCTTCCGGCGAGGGATATGCGTCATGCCAAGACAGTCGACTTTACTACGAGGGGACGACAACCCAGTGCGTCGCGTAGAAGAGCCTTCGATCGGGACGTGCTGGAGCGTAAGTGCACGCCGCAGGCGTTCCAGTGGTGTTCAGGCCGCAGGCTTGATGATGCTCACGACGCAGATTGTGGTCCGCGTGGGACCGAGGGAACGAGGCACACGACACAGCACTAGTGGAAGACGTCGCGCGAGCGTTGCGTCCCGAGGATCGCAATCATGCAATAGGCGCGCTGGTGGAGCTCAGGGTGCGGGGCGAGCTCAGTACTACGCGCCCACTCACGAGGAGGACACGAAGCGAGCCGAGGCTGATTCTGATACTGGCCGAGGCTTATCCAGTATCCAATCCCAGCAACATGGCGCTCAGGCGAATGATCGTAGCGCGTACATAGGATGCGTTGCACATTCGACGGTGTTAGTCACCCCGTCGCTGGCCACCGCGGTCGACCACCCACTCATCCCTCGGCCCCCTCAACTCGTTTTTCATTGCCTGTATAATGTCTTCCCCTCCGGCACTTCCACCTAGCATCGGTCTGCTGTGAGTATCGACTGTCCAGATCCGTCCAATGGGCCTCACTTACGGATCCGCGCAGAGCCGGTCCCCAAGTATATCCGCATCTTCCTCTTGCATTCCAGATCTCTGATTCTATACTGAACAGCTTCTTGGCTTCTTCTTCTCCTGGGCACTGCAAGGGATCCTCACCACTCAGGCGTGCAAGTACCGTCTCGCGTTCACGGCCGCGAGTTCCATCCGGCTGACATTTCACATCCTCGCCTAGATATATACTGCCTCTACTTTCCCGATGACCACAGATGGACCAAGTGCTTGGTCGCCGGCGTGGTCATCTGGGAATGGATTCAAACGGGTCTCGTGACGCAAACCGCCTTCGACATCGACGTCACCCACTTCGGCGACATCTCCGTGCTCACCGCGTACGGCAACACCTGGTTCAGTGTCCCGGTCATGTCCGCCGTCGTCTCCTTTGTCGTGCAATGTTACTTCGCGTGGCGGGTGTGGGTGTTGGGCAAGTCCAAGATTGCCGTGGGCGTGATCCTCTTCGTACGTGTTTCGACCACTGCCTCACTGGTCCGTGGGTTGAACTTCAGCCTCCACAGTTGTCGTTCTCGCAAACGGTTCTGGGCATAGCGGGAGGAATCACGGTGCGTGAGCTCGCTGTTCTACATAGAAATCGCTGCAATTAGTCCCGTTGCAGCTGAAGATCATTGATGCCAACGCCGTGGAGGCAAGTGTCAACCGACCGATCGTTGCAGTGAGTGGAATTCACTTATACATGCACAGAGACTTGTGAGTGAAACGTGTGGGCGTATAGGCAGGACTGGTCGTTGCCACGGTGGTCGACGTCCTCATCGCCGCTCTAATGACTTACTACGTGAGTCTCCTCTCTGCCTTGCATACCTTCGACTAACTCGCCGTCCAAGCTTTTGCAAGCCAGAAGCGGAATGAGACAGACAGACGCCGTCGTTAACAAGCTGGTCACTTTAGTGGTAGAGACAGGAGCACTGACCGGTGAGTTCATCTCTGCGCCGTCCCGACCCGTCTAACCCCCCGTGCAATCAACAGCGACCGTCGCGTTCCTGTACTGTGTTATCTTCTTGCTCGACACCGTAAGTTCCTCTGCGACCGCGTCTTATAGCCATGTACCTAACATGCATTCATCCTACTTCCAGAAGGACCTCCTGTTCGAGTGCCCGTACGCATTTTCGTCTATCCGCGATGCCCGCTCGGCTGACCCCACCCCGCTCGGGCTTCTCGGACACACGGGCGCTCAGTGCCCTCGTCCTCCCCAAGCTCTACTCCAACACGCTCATCGTCAGCCTCAACAACCGCGCCTTCATCCGCGGCGCCATTTCCAAATCCCTCAGCTCCGGGTCCTACACGTCCGGGGCTGCTGGCCCGACCGTCTTCTCCCGCAACACGTTCCAGAACGCGAGCCGCGCCCGGGGCGGTGTCGAGTCCGGCGTTCACATCGACATCGACGTCGTCGAGAACGCGTACGACGGCCGCCCTAAGCCCGCGGTCGAGCTCGTGTCCATGGGCGCAGCTAGAGACGCCGGATCCGGTGACGCTATGCACTACGGACGCCAGAAGGAGTAGCCGGATCGTAGTGCTAAGAAGTGCGCATGGGCCGAATGCCGTTGTTTTCGAGCTTCGCTTGTATACCTTTATTATTTGTTTATAGATGTAATGTACTCATCCGTGATGGTTATCTTGTTTGGAAATGCCTACTCGTGTCTACACCGCGCTCTGCGACAGTCACCGGCTCTGCACATTGGCAAGCCACATTCCCACACACGACATCAAAACTGCCCCTCCGCATCCAAGAAGCCCGCCGCCCGCCACGCGGACAGCCAGCTCAGCGCGACGTCGTCTCCGAGCTCCGGGAGGTGCTGCAGCGTCGGCGACGCCGCCTGCGCCTTCTCCGTCGACAGAGCGACGAAGTGCGTCATCTCGTTCCCCTGCTCGAACTTGCGGGTGCAGAAGAAGCCGAGGAGGATGAGGGACGGGTTCCGGCGCACGGCCTCGACGTACTCCTCCTTCGTGCTCTCTGCCAGAAACGGGGCGACGTGAGACCGAATTTTCAAAGGAGAACCACAGCTCGGCTCACCGGACCCGACGTCCTTCACGCACCGCGCGAGCACCTGCAAGTACCGGTCCCACGAGACCAGCGGGATCCCGAGCTCGTCCGCGGTGCTCGACAGCAGCGTGCGCAGGCGGACGGAGCGCGGGTGCGTCAGATGGAGCACCGCCTCGGGCGACGAGCGCATCTCCACCAGCGCGCGCGCCGCCGCGTAGTTCGGCACGAACGCGGCGTCCTGCCACGAACGTTCCGTCAACGCCCGGAATAGACAGGGGGAGGGAGGAACGCGGCGCGCACTCACCCCGTCGATGTCGGGGAGGCAGCGGGTGAGGAACGCGGATTTGACCATCGCGGGGAACCATTCTGCCGCGTTCCAGTACCCGTTGCGGTCGCCGCAGATCTGCGCGAGGCGCACGAGCTGCACGGGAAGCCCGGTGCGCTCCCGGAGGTTCAGGAGCATCTGCTCCCCGACCCATTTGGACTCGCCGTATCCAGACCCCAGCGCCGATCCCGCTCCGACGGGCTCCTCTTCAACAGGCACGGGGACGTCACAGCCTGCCATCTGATGTGAGCTAGAAGGACGAGCGGATAACGAGATGACACTCACTTTGAAAAACGGTGATGGAGCTAACATACTGGATCTTGGGGAGCTCGATGTACGGGGAGCTCAGCGCGAAGTCCGCGAGGTAGCGGAGCGAACGCAGGAAGAGATCGAAGGATGCAATGGGCAGGTTAAAGTTCACCTGCCACGCTGGAGACCGCAAATCAGTGATGTATCCACAACTCGGCCACAAGGCGGCTGACCGTTGTGGACCAATACGGTCACCGAATTTCGAATCTACTCCCGAACGCCGCACCTCGAATTAGCTCACGCCAGACACATAGCCGCGCGACCACCCACCTCATCGAGAAGCTCAGGCTGGAGGCCGAAGTCGGGACGCGAGATGTCGCCTTCGACCATGCGGAACTTGGGCGATTCCAGGAGGTCCGCATCCAGCTCGCGAGAGTGGAAGGCCGCCTTCTGGCGCTCGAGCGCGTTCGAGCCGCCGCGGTTGAGGGCGTAGACGAGCTCGACGCCGTCGTCGGTGAGCAGGGCCTCGAGGAGGTCGCAGCCAAAGTTGCCCGTGGTGCCCGTCACCAATATGACGTCCTTGCCGCCTTGCGCTCGGTGCCGCAGAGGCGAGGGGCGAGGAGGGATGTCTTGGCTGTATCTGTTGGCGAGGGCGCGGAGGGCTTCTGCGGACTTCGTCGCCGTCGCGGCGTGCATGACTCCGTCCAAGATCGGTTCCATGTTCAAGGCGCTGGAGCGGGGGCGTGCGGGGACTGGGGTGAAGTTGAGGAGGAGGGATGGGACTTGCCGTTCTGCTGGCCGCACTGATCACCTCGAAAATCAGAGACTAAATTCGCGAAGATGTACGAGCCGCGTCCCGATACTCGGAAATGACCCCAGACCTTGGCGGTTGCAGCCCAAGATATTGCCGAATTTTCGCAGACGTATTTGGGATGTCATGACCCCAGGACCCCGGACACCACGCCGGCCGGGAAAAGCAGCATCGCGGAGGCAAAAACGAGCCATCAATATGACTGCTGATTGATGTCGTACTGCCCTTGGAGGACGTCAGTGTCCAATGAAGTAAAAAGTAGTACATAGATATACAGGGTACATATCGTACATGCCCGAGTCGGTCAGAGTAGTGTGAATGCTCGGCATTCAGAAATCGGGCACTGGCTCCAAAGAAGCCTTCCACGGGTACGCGGTATACTGCAAACGCGTCAGCGCGCAGCCAAAACCGAGACACGGACATCTGAATGAGAATGCTCACCTTCCAAAGGCTAGCATACTTCCAGTACAACATCCAGGGTCCAATCACGGTCTTGACAAACCCCGGAGCAGGAGGGAAACCGCAACCGGGTGGTAGGCTCTGAATGGCCCACACGTTATGGGCATTCGTGAAGAACGTGATGGAGAAACCCACCTGCACGACGAACGGGAGCGCGAACTTGTTATCGTCGCCACGCTGCGCCATGTGAAGCGCGGTGTTGAGAGCCGTAATCTCCTCTTCGGAAAGCTTATCGCTGAGCTGCAGAAGAGTCCCTAAGCACCGAAATGATGTCTCCACGCCATGCGTACTCACCTTGCCAGCCTCAATTGTGTCTAGTTCCTCGGCCAAGTGTTCCATCACAGCAGGCAAGATGGCGTCCATCTGGGTACTCGCTCCATAAGCGCCCGTTCGAGTGCGCACATGAGGCCAATGGACGTACCTGACCCCGGAACGTCGCAGCATCGAATTTTTCAGCGGTTGAAGATTCGACGTACTTGAGCATATCGCCCAGCTACCCCGACCTCAGTCCACCGCTGTGACCACGCTCACGGCGCTCGAGAGGCACTCACCGGTCCCAAAAATGCTTTATGCTGCTCCTCGTTCTTCGCCATCGACCCCGGAATCTTCTTCTCGAGCTCAGGAAAGAGCGAGCTCTCCTCGGCGTCATGATGCTCAACGAGGAACTGGATCGAGCGCGTTGCGTATTGGTGGAAGGCCTCAAAGTCGCCAGTGGGAACCTTGTCTGCGTAGAAGTATGCGGCGCGCCACGAGTTCCAGACGACGAGGTGCGTCCAGGCCATCGCCCACGCAGCCTTCCCCGCCGCGGTCGCAGGGCGAGGCACGTCGGCGACCTTGCTGCGATGGCGAGGGTGAACGAACGTGAGAAGGAGCGGGTAGAAGACACGAACCGGATCTTGGCGACCTCGGCGAGGACGGTGGAATCCGAAAACTTGGAGTTGCTGAAGACGGGGTGGGAGGCCATGGTGGTGGATGCAAGAGAATGCTGGAGGACTGTTGCTGACACTATGGTCAAGTACGTACTCAGGAGAACGAGGCAGCTCGAGCTCGAGGCTCGAGGCCAGCTGCGCTCGAGCCGGCCTATGTCCCACTCTCAGCCAATCAGCAGTCTGCTATTTGTACCGCGCCACGCGTGGCCTTTGTGCGCACGTGATCGCGTCTGGCCCCAGTTCAATTCGAGTCGGCCTGGTTTACTTATTTTCAACTCTTTCTCCCGCTTGTGCCCGCCCTATACTCCGAGTCCGACTCTGAACTGCTCCAATTGGGCTCTGCCATTGTACTGGCTGAAATTGTGAGCAGCTCTCTCAATGAGGAACCTAGGATGTCCCCGACTCATCTTATGTCGGCTTTGGTTGCGCATTGTACTCAAGCATCTCTCAGCTACATGGGATGTTCACAGGTACCATGAACAAATTGCAACCTTTGCCTGGACTGCGACCGGCGTGACAACTGATCTCCAATAAAGCTTCTTCTCTGTGAGCAAATTAACCTCATTCGCACGCTTTCTTTCGCCTTTGACACGAGGCTCTTCGCACTGTCAAATTTGCAGTGCCGCAGCCTCGTCGGCATGACGAGATGGCCGCGACTGCTGAAGAATCGTGGTTCTCCCGCACCGATATTCGAACGAGGTCTGTAGATGTGCCCCGTCACACGCAACGCATTACCACCAGTCTTCCTCAAACTCCACTCCACGTGGGAATAAAATGCTCCTTATCGGGACAATGAGGTGAGTCATAATCTAGTCGATATAACGCACAGTGGCCCTTCTCAATCTCAGCCATCCCAAGCCCACCATGTCTCACGGAAAGCAATTCACTCTCTACACTCTCCCCGGAGGACCGAACGGCCTGCACGTTCATTTCCGCACGCTTTACCACATCTCACTCACGCTAGCTGCTTTCATCTGAAACCAGGAAGGTCGCTGTCGTCCTCGAAGAGCTCGGGCTCTCGTACCACACCATCCTCCTCGACTGGGCCAAAAAAGAGCAGAAGGATCCGGACCACACCCGCTTCAACCCGAACGGCCGCATCCCGACCCTGATCGACCACCAGAACGGCGACTACGCGATCTGGGAGTCCAACGCGATAATCCTCTACCTGCTCGAGCAGCACGACCCTGCACACAAGCTCTCCGTCACCGACGCGAAGGAGAAGTCCGACTTCACCAAGTGGCTCTTCTTCCAGGCCTCGGGCCAAGGGTGCGTGCCCCTCCCTCGCGCGTCCGGACTTCGCGCTTACGCCCCGCGCGGGGACGCAGCCCGTACTTCGGCCAGCTCCGGCACTTCCAGGCTGCGCATCCCGTCCAGGTCCCGACCGCGCGCGAGCGATACCAGCGCGAGGTCCTGCGCGTCTGGGGCGTGCTCGACGGCGTGCTCGCCGCGGCGCCCGGCGGGTGGCTCGTCGGCGGCAGGGTGACCGCCGCGGACATCACGTTCTTCCACTGGAACGAGAACATGTTCGAGAACCGCTGTCTGGACGGCTTCCCGGACGGCGAGGTTAATGTCGCGAAGCAGTTTCCGGCGGTCTATGCGTGAGTGCGCTCGTTGAGCGTTGTGCCGGGGAAGACGCTGATGTGGATGTGACCGCAGGTGGCACGAACGGATGAAGGCTTTGGACTCGGTGAAGAAGGTCGCTGCCTCTCCGATGTAACTAGCGCCAAGCTCCCAGGGGGAATGGGGGTAAGTGTGAGGTCATAAAAGAGCTTGTACCCTACGACGGTCGCGCATCACATGCAATAGTGTCAGTATGCAGGTTTATTGAACTGGATAACTTACATAGAAGATTCCTTGGGCATCCGTGGTCCGCGTAGGAGTGCTTCATCGTGCCCACGATCGTCGGCGACGATGCTGGAGCCGACATCTGGCTGAAGAGACGGGCCATCCGCGGTTCTTGGTGCTAGCGGACGTAAGCCTTGCCGTAAGTGGACCCCGAACACCTCTCTGGGCTTGCCATCGGACTGTGCGTACCGCTGTCCCGTTCCTGTTCCGCGACGCCTCTACCCCTGTGGTCCTCCTTCCATCGACACGCTCATCGTTCAGTCATACTAGGATGTGCATACACAGCTCATCGAGGTTCTCAAAGAGACGTGCGTACCTTTTCTACAAATTGTTTCATATGATGAGCGGCTTCTGTCATCTTCCAACTCGCCGAAGTCGCCGTTCGGCAGCTCCGCGTCTTTCTACCCCGAAGGAACAGACAAGTCGGAGTCTATCGCAAAGATCGTGGCAAAACCGCATGCAGTACGCATCAAGCGTCTGCCCGACGGGACCAAAAGCTCCGTGATATGTGGCGGGACGAGGAACGTCAAAGAGCGCTTCATCACTCCGACGATCGTTGACAACGCCGCGAGAGATGACATGCTTGTGAACGAATACGTGTCCAAAATCTCCTCATCGTTCTGCCCGATTGTTGACGCCATTTTCGAGAGATATCCGGCCCAGTCCTGTCCGTCGTCCACATGAAGGACGTCGACACAGCCATCGAGTCCATCCGTACACGTGAGCATCCGCTCTGCGTGTACGTGTTCTCCCAGGGCAATAGACCTCCAAGAACGCGTATTTTGGAACGAAAAGCGTCGTCATCAGCCCCACTAGTCCCCACCTCCTAGTGGTCAACGTAGGGACTTGGCTGTATTCTGGCTCGAATCCATCATCATCATCACCCACCTCCTAGTGGGTGACGTCGGTGTCGGCGGCTGGTCTCGTCCGCAGCCGTTCTGTACCGCACCCGTGACCACCGCCCTGTGTAGGTGCGGTACGGAGCGGCTGCAGAAGATACCACGGCGGGCGTGGGTTTGACTGCGAGCCGTTTTTACATGCGCGCTGTAACTTTGGTTGCATAGATGGCAGGAAGGGAGGGTTGTGTCTCATTCGAGTCACAACCTGTGGTGGCCAAAGACGTTCGTCACCGGCTTCCGCTTCCCTTCCTACACGATGGACTTCAAACGGGGAAGCCCATGTACCCCGCATTGCCCCCACGGCCCAAGGGGGCAAGCACAGGCAGTGGGCGTTCCGTGCTGCTGTGCAGGACTTTTGGGCATGGGGCTGATGACATTCGCCTACTGCAGCTAGAGCGATGGCGTCCACTCGACGTGTGCCGCCCGTGTAGCTCAGCTGCTCGTTATCCCGTACCCTTCTATTCTTGTCCATAGCGGGCGGCCATTGTGGGTGAGTTCTCTTCATGCCCGACGCTTCCCGATCACGATCTTTGTGCACTGGTTCGCTGTGGGCTGTACGACACGGCCGACCGCCCGGATTTCCAATGTGTGTAGTTCGAGTCGGGCCGGAGCAGGATGTGAAATCGTGCATCCGGCCATCTTTCATCCTGGAGAGAAGCAATCCGCAGTGTCCGGGGTACCAATTCCGCTGGGCCGGGTTGTTCGCTTGCAATATTCGCGTTGTTGGATCATTCCACCAGCCAGTCACCCACTCAGCAGAAGGGTGTCTTTCGCCTCGAGCGAGGGTATCTTCTCCTACTCGCCAGGGTGAACAGTGAGGCGACACTCTGCCGGAAGCACTGCAAACCAGAGTCCGTCAAAGCGTCGGCCTGTCGAGTCAGAGCTTGACAACTCCCGCAGCTTCTGATCAATGGATTCTCGCAATTCCGTCAGTACCCGATTAACGCCTCGCCGATCCCCGACAACATTATCAAATCCGAGCAAAGCAGCGCTCCGGCAGATGAATATAGCGCTTACATAGGGTGTGTCGTTCGTTCGACGGTCTTGGTCACCCCTCGCCGGCCACCCCGCTCCCCCGCCGCGGCCTACCTCCCTCTCCCCCTCTCCTCCCCTCATCTCACCGTTCATTTCTTGTATAATGTCTGGTTCCGTTTCTCCCCCGCCGCTCCCCCCTAATATTGGTCTCTTGTGAGTATCGCCCGTCCAGATGCGTCCAGTGGACCTTACTTACCGATCCACACAGAGCCGGTCCCCAAGTAAATATGCACATTCCTATTTGATTTCTGGCCTCTGATTCAATCCTCAACAGCTTCTCGGATTCTTCTTTTCTTGGGCACTGCAAGGGATCCTCACCACTCAGGCGTGCAAGTACCATCTCGCGGTCATCGCCGCGAGTTCTATCCGGCTTACATCCTTGCGTAGACATCTACTACCTCTACTTCCCCGACGACCGCAGATGGACCAAGTGCCTAGTCGCCGGCGTGGTCATCTGGGAGTGGATCCAGACGGGCCTCGTAACGCAAACCGCCTTCAACATCGACGTCACCCACTTCGGCGACATCTCCGTGCTCACCGCGTACGGCAACACCTGGTTCAGTGTGCCGATCATGTCCGCCGTCGTCTCCTTCGTCGTGCAATGCTACTTCGCGTGGCGAGTGTGGGTGTTGGGAAGGTCTAGGATCGCCGTGGGAGTGATCCTCTTCGTACGTGTTTCAATCATTATCCCATCGATCTATAGGTTGAACTTCAACAGTTATCATTCACGCAAACGGTTCTTGGAATAGCAGGAGGGGTCACGGTACGTGAGGCTTGCTTTTCTACATAGTAGTCGTTGCAATTAGTCCCGTTTGTTACAGCTGAAGATCATTGAAGCCAACGCCGTGGAAGCAAGCGTGAACCGACCCATTGTCGCAGTGAGTACTACCTTGGTCATACATGGAGACCTACTGTTGAAACATATGGATATACAGGCAGGACTGGTGGTTGCCACGGTGGTCGACGTTCTCATTGCCGCTCTAATGACATACTACGTGAGCTTCCTCTCTCGCTCACCGCTTTGCATACTCTCGGCTCAACTTGTCGTCCAAGCTTTTGCAAGCAAGAAGCGGGATCAGACAGTCGGATGCCATTATCAACAAGCTAGTCAGTTTGGTGATAGAGACAGGAGCACTGACCGGTGAGCCCGAATCTACGCCGTCCCGACCCCTCTAAGACCCCGTGTAATTCACAGCGACCGTCGCATGCTTGTACTGTGTTGTCTTCTTAGTCGATACTGTAAGTTCCTCCCCGATAGCGTCTCACTGCGGCCATACAGCTTACATCCATCTATCCTACTTTCAGAAGGACCTCCTGTTCGAGTGCCCGTACGCATTTCCGTCTCTTCGCTCCGCCCATTCGGCTGACCCCATCCTGTTCGGGCGTCTCGGACACACGGGCGCTCACTGCAGTGCACTCGTCCTCCCCAAGCTCTACTCCAACACGCTCATCGTCAGCCTCAACAACCGCGCCTTCGTCCGCGGCGCGATCTCCAAGTCGCTCAACTCCAGCTCCCGCGGCACGTCCGCGGCCTTCGGCCCCACCGTCTTCTCCCGCAACACGTTCGAGGAGGCGAGCCGCGCCCGAGGCGGCATCGAGTCCGGCGCGGTGCACATCGACGTCGACGTCGTCGAGAGCGGCACGTACGACGGGCACCCCAAGTCCGCGCTCGAGCTCGTGCCCATGGACGGCGCTGGAGCGGCTGAGGCTGGCGGATCTGCACGATACGGACGCCGGAAGCAGTAGCCCGGTGTCGTCCGCGGGGTTGTGGGGATCGTGGTGCTCAGATACCAGGCGGAGGGGCCCTCTGTACACCGTTGTAGCTCAGCTTCGCTCGTACACCTTTATTTATTTTTAATAGTATGATGTAGTAGTCACTTGTCGTATTTGCATGCTCCGCAACTGCCGCGGGGTGCACGTTCGTCTTGAAACGAACACGAACACGAGCAAGCTCTTGACCGAACTCGTACCGAAGCACGTCGACCCGGAGCTCTGCAGTGTAACCATTGGACCGATTGAATCATAAAACGTTCGTTATTCGTTCTGGACAGCCTCCGATGTGGTAACTCGTGCACCGCTGTGGTAGATTCTCATTGATACATTGATTACTTAGATGTCATGCTCTTCGGAGAGTTCTTTGGTCCAGTACTGGGATTTCATCTCTCCCTCGGGGAACACCGCCCGTGGAGCCGTGAAGGAGGCGAAGGCGTCGGTTTACACCCAGGTGACGATGTACTCATTGTCCGCGGCGGCGCTCCTCGTCCGCCCTCCAGCCGCTGGTTACGGTGACGCAGAGGCCCGCGGATCTAACGACGAAGGACCCGTTGGCGAAGATAAAGAGCGAGGCGACCCTGAGCATGACTGCACAGCGTATGAGTAGTCGGGATCTGTCAGCGAAGGCGTGGCTGTCTGAGTGGCGTTCAGGGAGAAATAGAGAGTTGATGTACGGCATCGCTGAGATGATGGCAGAAGTGGTTGCTGGCATGTGTTTATACGTATACTTGTAGAGTATAATGCGACCAACTACAGCACGATGCTTATATCACCTGGAACTATCAGTGACGATGGCGGGCAGTGTCAGGCGACCAAGAAAGAAAGAATCACGGACAGGCAATGGTGATATTATTGAAGAGCATAACGTGGAGAAGTGGCAAATGCGGAGCGAAATCACCGGACGGTCCAGCAGGTTGAGCTCACGAGTGTTGTCGTTGTACACCCTGTGTCAGGGGGAAAGACCATTCATTGACGTTGGTGATACAGCACTATGCTCTGGTAGACATCATGAAAAGCAAGAATACAGCTCGAGCGCACACACACCTCATCGCACATTCGAGCCTCCCAATCCTACGCTCGTCCTCATCGCTCCCAAATTCGACGGCCCCTCGCCCCGATCCCCACCGTCAAACGCCGGCCGCCTCCTCGCCGCCCCTCCCTGCGCCCCTCCAAACCACGTTGACCGCCCTACCGGTGCTCCGTATCCCGGCCGCTCCCGCTCCTCCCAGTCGTACATCCGCGCCGGCTGCGCTTGCCTGTTCTGGTTGAGCAGCGTCGCCCCAAGCCCACCCAGGGCCGCCCCCGTCCAGAAGCCCGGTCGCCATCCTGCCTGGGCTTGCGAATGGGTGCTGTCTGGGGGGTCCTTGGAGTACGGGGGCGGTGGGGCGCGAGGATCGTTGTATGGAGCTCCTCGACCCCCACCACCACCCGGGCCAGCGAACCAACCTCCGGATGGACCGCCGCCGCCGCCACCGGCTCTTCTGGTAGAAGGGGACGTGCGTCGTGTACGATCCGGGTCGTTCAAACAGGCGTTGAGGAACCCGTATAGGAGGAGGGCGGCGAGGATGACCCATATGACCATGAAGATGGCGCCACTGGGGTCGTTGGAGAAGTCTAAACGGGCCCAGAAAGAGAGTAAGCGAGGTGCGGTGCGGAAGGGATCGGAGGACCGATAGATACAACGTGACAGGCGAGAGCGGAAGGCGGGGTCATCCGCACCACTTCCACGCAATGCGCCGGGGACGTGGACGAGCCTGTACTGCAGGCCGCATGACCCTGGAGTGGCTGGTGAGTGGAGAAGAGCGTGTTCAGAGGGTATATGCGCACCTTTGAGCACATAGGAGTCTCCAGGACCATCCCATCCTTCGCATGAGACCTCTACTCTGCCAAATCGCAGCGCTTCTGGAAGATCGGCTTCGCACTGAGACAAAGTTGGGTGTCAGTAGATAGAACGTAGCGGACTGGTGGCAGTAGACGCACCTTCCAGTCGACATCGGTGCCAGAGCCACCTAGATTTGTGCATCTGACAGCCTCCGGCTGGTACAGATCGCAGGCCTTGCCAATACAAGTGAGCTGTGGAACGGGGCTTGCACGGCGCGCGAGGGTGTCGGAGTCACGGTAGAAAGTGAGAGCGGGGATGCTTGAGAGGGCAACGCGCTGGTTGTTCATGGTGGGAAAGGTGGTGCTGGCCAGCGAGTAGGGTGCAGAAATATAGCGAGAGAGCCTGGAGAGTTGTGGAAGGGAGTGAGACGGCATACTTAAGGTGAGAGCCGGGCGTAGAATGGCAGTGGGAAGTCCTAACCCCACCGCAGGGGCAGGGTTGGACTTGAGCGGAGCGGAGTCCCCGGCCATCCGACGCTCCTCCTCCTCCTCCTCCACCACCACGTCCTCCGCGTGAAAGCCGACATCGAGCTAGAGACGGGTCTCCGACCGCTCCTCGTTCTCTGCCACCGAAATCCCATAAAGCAGGGTTGCACCGGGACGGTCATCTTGCCCGCTCTACCACCCTCGCATGCGCTTTCTCGCACTCAATTTTGACGTGCTCGCGCTCGTCTGCTCCCATCTCCATCACGCCGACGCGCTCGCGCTTGCGCTCACCTCCAAGACCCAGCCTCTGCACGCCCTCGCCCTCGCCCGCGTCCCAGCGCGCGTGCGTCTTCGCGATGCCGCCCAACTCTGCACGCTCTGGGCACGCGCCGACGACAACGACAACGCCGCGCGCGTCCGGAGTCTCTCAGTCGCTGCCGACGCCTTCGAAGTTGGGAAGTCCAAGTGGGAAGGCCGCTCCCTCTCTGCAGATCATGTCGACTTTTTGACCGACATCCTCGTCTCGACCACCGTGCTCACACATCTCGACCTCGCTCTCTCCGGCCTCCTCGCCCATAACGCCCGGATAGAACCCGTCGTTACCTCCATGCAAGCCCTCGTCCACCTCGACCTCCGTCAATTCTCCACGAACGCGTTGAATCTCATCCAGAACCTTTCTGGGCCGCTCGAGACATTGCATGTCGACTATCATGGTGCGCGTCCCCACTGTCCCCCTGACTTGAGTCCCCTCCTCGCCGTCGCACTCTCCTACAAGTCCCTCCGCGCCCTCAGCATCCTTGCGCCCCAGTCTTCGCCTCCGCATGAACCCAGGCCCATCTTCCTCGCCCCGCATGCGGCCCTCCGGACGCTCGTATTCAGCAGTTCAGACATCCTGCCCGCCGACGTCCTCGAAGCATGCTTCCGGCTCGACGCCCTCGTCCTCGGGTCCGTCTCCAGGCTCCCGTACGACCACGACCTCCTTCAACCCCTCCGCCAGCTTTCCGTTGGCCACGCCGACCTCCTCCGCCTTGTCAACCAGAAGCGCATTAGCACCGTCCGCTACCTTCACGTCCGCACCTCCGACGAGCTCGACACAGGCCTCGGCCCCGACCTCCTGCATGCGCTGCACGAGATCAGCCCGCTCGGGCTCCACATCCACATCCCATTCAGACCGAGTGACCACCAGTGGGCCGTCGATGTGAACGCCGCGGCCCCACGTCTGCGTTGCCTCACCCTGCACCTCTACCCCGCATTCCCGCACCCGCACAACGGTGGCTTCGAACAGCGCTTCGCGCAGTGGCTCGTGCGTCCCTCAGTGCTCACATCCCCGCCCCAGTCCCCTCACCAATCTCTTCCTTCTCCTCCCAGCGGGATATATGCGCGCTGTTCTCCCCGCTCGCACTGATCGCCCTCCGTCTCCACATCCCTGCTGTCTCGCTCGCGCTCTGCGCCGAGACTTTCGCCCCGTACGACCCCACCACCGCCAACGCCGTCTTCGACGCGTCAGGGGGCCCGCATCCCCGCCTCGCGTCCAACCTGGTCGCCACCGCCACCACTGCGCTCCTCTACGGCCTCGCACGCTCCATGCCCACTCTGCGATACATCGCGTTCTCGACGAGCGTGCCGGCGCCCGTCGAGCATTGCCGCGACGAGATGTACGACGGCCACGGGGAGCAGAAGGGGACGTGCTGGTGGCGCATACAGTCTGTCCCGCCCACCGAGGGCCCCGCGGAGGGCGGGCACCCGGACGGTGGAGAGGACCCTGACCGAAAGCTGGTGTGGATCGCGGGGGAGGAAGGGGAGCGGGTGTGGCGCGAGGTGTTGGACGCTGCGGACGAGGCCGCGGTCGCGGAGGTCGTTCGTGAGTACATTGTTCCTGCAGTCATGCACACGACTTCCTCCGTGCGGTTCGAGATGCCGGTATCTGAGACGTGCTCTTCGCAGGTCGAAGCGCGGTGTAGATCGAAGATCAACTTACACCGTACAGAATCTCTCATGTCGCCGGCCCCTGGGCATTTGGTTAGAAGAGACCTTTGGACGGCGCAGTATTGGCTCGCAGCCAAGACAGGAACAATAAGTGGTACGCTCGAGTCGACCGCTCCCGTTCGGCGTTGAGATGAGGACCGTGAAGATCTCCTCGTCCCCAAAGACGCGTACAATCGGGTTTCAGCACCCGGTGGAGAATCCTCAGCGAAGCGCGACGATGTCGAACGTCAAGCAACTTGGACGGCCCCGAGAACCTACACCGTCCCCTCCGCGTCCACCCAGCTCCCAGCAGGCCACCACCAGCCACCACCCTGGAGCAGCCCACGTGCGCCGCGCCGACCTCCGACGCCGTTGCCCACGAGTCCAGACAAATTCGGCTAGCGCGACGTTGATCAGCGGCGATCGACAGACCGTCAGAGCCAGCCTCCCGCGCCGGTGAGGTCCTGGCGCTGCCACAGCCTGCATCTCCAGATTCCGTGATCCTCATCACCCTCAGGCTCCCGCCGAGTGTCGGGCAGCCAAGTACTGCTGGCCGTCGGATCGCACCGTGGACGCGAGTCCGACGCGGAGCTGATGAAGATGCACGACCGCCGACGCACCGTGGTCCGCAGGGTCTGCAAGGCGCACAACGCCCACATGCAAGCCGCGCGGGCCCGTACCCCGAGCGGTCGCCGTTGGATGTACACGCGGTGGACGGCACCAGGCCCGATGTGGATATCGTGGTATCGTACAGCATACACAGCGTACAGAGGGTATAGCATACCGTACAGCAATAAATTACTGTGAAGGCGGGTGGACACGCGCCGCGTGCCATCCACACGAAGTCGTGACCCCGTTCCCTCCTCCGCCCACCTTCCAGTCATGATCACCAGTGTTCGCGGTGGCGGCGGCGGAAGACCACAACGAGATCGAGAGGGAGCGAGAGACGGACGCATCCACGGAAGCCGACCGACGGCCCACGCGGCGTGCTACTGCACGTAGCTCTTGCGGTCGTCGCCCCCCATCTCCGTCGTGACTTTGATGTTGATAACGGACGGCGCATCGTCAGGAACCTAGCGGAGCACGGAAGGGCGCGCGGGTTAGCCGACGGGGAAGCACGACGGGCACGTGTGGGGCAGGCACGTCAGATGCGGGAGATGGAAAGCGATGCGCGGGGTGCATGGCGAGAAGGACGCAAATGCAACGGACGAAAGCGGAGTACAAAGCCGTGCAGGCGGGTTGGGGTCGCAGGGGAGGGTGGGGGACGCACCTGCGGAACGTTCCACCGCTCCTGCTCCGCGAGACGGTTCGCGCGCGCGATGATGTTCGTCATGCCGCGCCCCCCGCTGTCCTCGAAGAACTCGACGCCGCGGTTGTAGAGCAGCTTCCGCGAGTTGAGGCTGTTTCCGGGAACGGGATCAATCAAATACACGGGATGGAGCGACTTCGGAGGCGTACACAGCAAGGAGCGTGTTGGCGTACACGCGAGTCGTGACTATGCTGATGCTGGCGTGGATGAGGTAGTTGGGGTATGCGAGGACCTGCGCAAGTGTTTTAGCCTTCGACGATCGTGAGCGATCCCATCCATGTACTCACCACGGCGAGAGAGAGGATGTTAAGGCAACTGAGCACGCTTCGTGAGCGCAACCCCTAGTTTTCGAACACCTCAACTTACTCGTGAAGTAGACCCGTGTTGACCACATAGACGAGGATCGTTTCGAAGACGCCCATTTCCGTGCTGCGCGAAGCAGGTCAAAGGCAGCAGGGACATTCAGGCAACGAACATACCGGCGACCGCTGCCCTTCTTGCGACTCAGGTAAAGCACAGTGATGAGGGAACCCGACAACAGGGTGTCACCCAGAGCCCCAGCACCGAATGTTACAGCAAGCAGATGCTAGTAAACCTACTGTTCAGGCGGTGATGAGCTCGGGCGCGTCTTTCGAAACTCACGTTGACTTGGTCGAGTTCCCCAAAGGACGAAATCTTGATGCTGAGAACAAGGCATCAACCTACAGGACACATACAGCAGATACAAGACTCACACGCTCACAAGAGCAGCTGGTGGCTGGGATTAGTGTGTCGTGGCAACCTTGGGATACTAGATAATACGCATACCTATTGAGAACGCTGTGACACGATTGTACGTGAGTTTGCAATTCGAAAGTGACTTCGACCTTCACTCACCAAGCTCGACTCCGAAGAAGATGACAGCGATCGCGACGATGTATCGGTACTGCTTTCCCACTGTGACGCGTTTTAAGGCGACCGGAGAGCGGAATGATGACGTTCGACGCACTCAGATAAACCCTCCGCGCAAAAAATCTGAAGGAAAATGAGTACTTTATGTCGAAAGGTCACCAAAGGAGTTTACGAACAGTTGCGAAAATATCATGTTCACTCCGACAATGAGAGGGGTCGCCTGCAGGGTCTCAGATCAGATGCCGATCGTAAACAGTGTCGGACAACGTCTCACATTGAGTGACCTAGGGGATATTCGCGGTTAGGTCTACATATCCCACTCGAGGTGCCTCATACACATACCAAACGCCGATTTGCAAGACTTCAGGTTGGAAATAATGAGAGACGAGGTAGTAGTAGCTGGGCGTGGAATCAGGTGCGGCATCGACATGATCGAGGCCGACGTCACTCACCAAGAATGCATAGTAGCTGTTGCGTGAAGCGTCTGAATGATCCTGGAACATCGCGCACGACGTTGAGTCTCTGCTGTCAAGCCATCAACAGCTCCACTCACATGACAACCGATACCTGCGATGGCAATGCGTACCTCGTTCAGCCTTCGTCCTCCCGACCGCGAAGGTATAAGAGCACTCACCAAAAATCGTATAAACAGGGTATCGGTTGTGAAGAGTCGTGTATACCGATACGCTTGATGCAGGGCGAATCCATAACAACTCCGTCGTCGTTCCCGTCAATCCAGAGGAAGCAACGAAAGTCCAGTACACTCACATGAGTCCAAGGTAGGTCCCGATGAGGTACGAGCCGTAGGTGGGATCTAAGCTCGGGAGGTCCACCCCCGCGAAGGGGTCCGCCATCGCCGCTGGGTCCGTCGCATTCGGTGCCGAAGGGTCTGCCATGTCGAGCGGCGGACAGGGGCGGAGCCGAGGGCACCGAGGGAAGGCCGGGAGGGGGAAGGCGTCCGAGTGCCCCCGCGCGCGGACATGATATCTGCCCGCATGTGTACGGACTGATCCCCGGCGGAGACGTGATAGACTCCAGCGAGCTATGGAAGCGGGAGGGCGCAACGACCCGCTCGCAGGGTCGCGACGTAGGCGCCTTCGAGAGGACGACACGGGCTCACGCTGCGTCATGTGGTGGGCGCGCAATCTCCGATCACCTCGACCTGATTCTCCTCCACCAGCACGGGTAGAGGCCACCCAATGCGGCCACAGCTATCATTTCGGTCTGATCTGATGTCCATCACGATGCCGTCCCTTCTACAGGGCACTACACCATTGACGGCGTTGGAGTAAGTTAAGGCTCGCTGGGCCGTGACTGTATGAGCTGCATGAACAGAAGCTGTGGAGGAAGCAGATGAATCGCACCGGTTTATGTGCAGGCTCTCATAATTGTCAAAGTAAGCGCAGCGGGGAAGAGCGGGGAAGTCGTAATGGACGACCAGTCGTTTGATCCTTGTACCAGATAAGTACTAATTCTGCAACCAAGAGGAGAGTTCAGCACAAAAACGTTCTGCGCCGCGTGTCTACAGACATCGGCGCGCCAGCAAATACAGAAAAAACCCAAGGCAGACCGATTGTATCTGCCTGCAATCCCGCGGCTTCTTCCATTTCACGTCCGGCGTTCCGTTCGGCTCGAGCACGCCCACAACAACCGCCAGATGCTGTGCGGACCATCCCCAAGTCGTCGCATCGTTACGCCGCCCGCTTGGCAGTGTGCAGCGAGCGGTGAGATGACGCGGCTATTGAGCGAGCCCAGGAGGTTCAAACTGGAGTACGGAGCATATGCAGGAATGCAGGTCACAGCACCAGTCGCAGAAGAAAGTCATCCGATCCAGTTTATGAGGCATCGACTCGCGACACCACCAGTAACGGACAATAGGTCCTGCTCGCTCTCCGCTGACGAGGCCTTATGTAAGTATCTGTGTGCTCTGTCCTGGATCGTTGATCACAACCGTATGCTGTGGAGAGCACACGATGGTGATCAACGGTCGGAGCCCATAATGACGAGGAACATGTCTCAACCATACCTCAAATGCCGCACATGGACACACGTTCGTGTCAAAGACTAGTCTCAGGGCGGGAGGCGGGAGCGCATGTCTTCCATCTTCGAGAATCGACGAGGCTGGATGCCGACACCAGGTGATCAAAATCAGCTTCAACGTGTGCGCACCTCGGACCCACGCACCTCCTGAGCCTTTGCAGCGCTTATCTTGAGCGGACGAGCCGACAGACACAAATCAGGGTCATTGCACGGACAAAAAACATGACGCAGCACGATTAATGAGACATGGAGGGCTACAGCAAGATGAGATGGGCCGTTGGCCCCGATGGGCATAAGTCGTAAGTCGTATCATCAGATGGGTCGTAACGTGTGAACCATGGGGCAGCGGGCACCAGGCAGGTATCTCAGTAGGTATGGCATATTTACAAGCTCAGTAGCGTCCGAGCACGAAGACTATAAGGAGACCGTAGCGTGCAGATAGGGGATCGACGATAGCAATATAAAAAAAGAGAGGAGTCGAGCAGGAAGGAGATCGGGAGTAGCCAGAGGAGGAGTTAGTGGTGGTATCGAGAGGCGGGGTACGTGAACTGTCCTTCGGTCGGGACGAGTGTATCTTGATAGAGATCTGGTCGATAACCACGTCCGCAGACTACCGTCGTGCGACGTTGCTGGTGCTCCGGTTCCGGATCCCACCCGTCACCGTTATGTCCGTCCGAATCCGCCCGTCCTCGTCCGGGAACGCCAGGCTATTCCTGTAGCTCGGTGCACCCAGGCCACCAGCGATGCCTACGCTGCTCACGCCCTTCTTCGTGTCGAGAGAGAACGTGTTGTTGATCACGGGCATACTCAGGCGACGAATCCATCCGCCTTTGGGCTTCTCTGGGCGTAGCTGGATTGGCGGCTCTGGTGGGCGCGTGTCGCGGGGCGAAGACGGATCGCGGGCCTTGTACTTGCTCGCTGAGCACATCTCGCACCCACAATACGGCGCATGGTCGGCAGGTGACGACGGTTGACTGGAGGATGACTGCGCGGCCGACGAGCGCGAGACGGGCGGAAGAGCTAGGTGTGTAACGCTCTGCGAGTACGATGACGGATAGCGATCCATAGACGCGCGCTGCGCTGTCGACACCCGGGGCTGGCCCACGGAGCGCCCACCGTCGCTGAGGTAGCCATCGGTGCTGCCGCGGGCGCGTGTATTGAGAATCTCCATGCGCTCGCGCTCGAGCTCGCGCGTACGCATCTCGATCTCGCGCTCCTTCATCCGAAGTTGGTGGGTACGTTCGCGCAGCTCAAGTTCTTCAAGCTCGTCGATGCGCTGGCGGCGAAGGGCAATCTCGTCCATGCTCGGCACTGGTTGTGACGTAGAGTACCGGGAGACCGAAGGCAACGTTGTCGTTGTGGATGGCTCCGGTAAACGATGGTAGGAATCTGCCGAGGTCCGCCTTTGAGTTGGGGAGTCGGGCTGGCGAGAGGGAGAAGTCGACTCGTAACGAGTAGCAAGGCTTGAGACGTTGTTGGGGACCTTTGGCAGCTCCCTGGGACCGGGCGATTTGGGGGGAGGTGACGTCTGCTCGGGCTGCATACTCTGCGTCAGTACAAAAGCATGTAAATGAGCCAATGAACACTCACGCGAGAGACGTAGCGATCGCGTAGGGCTGCAACCATGCTCCCGGTACTCCTTCCGGTGTCCGTGCGTTCCACAATCTTTGCAAGAGGGGGTTCGTTTGACAGGGGTGCTCGAGACCTTGGTGCGTCGATGCCTCTGCGTACTCCGAACTCGGCCTCATCGATATAATCACCCCGCCTGTATGAGGAAGACGCAGGGAGACCCGGTCTGGGAGAGGATATAAGGTCTGGACTCGGCGATTCAGGATCTTGATCACTGCGGGACGCGTGGGAGTACGAAGACGGAGGTGCAGAACGATCCTCATCGCGCGGAGGTTTTGAGTCCTCAGGCATCGTGTCCGGTAACGGCGCCGAAGATACGTCCGGCGTAATGAGTTCGGTGCGTGATGACGGCAGCGAGACGCTGTCTTCGGTCAGATTCGGTGTGCGTCCAGCGCTTTCGGGGAGGGGGGACTCCATACGAGGGAACGGCGTGAGGGAATCATCTTGCTCCTGCGAATCTGAACGGACTTCCTGAGGAGGCGGACTCGCCACTGAGTTGAATCTACTCCCGCCGGCTCGAGGTGTCGGTACATGCGTTGGTGGTGCTGGGAACGCCGCGAGGTTCGCGAGGGTGGTGGTTCGAGCGGAGGTTTGGGCGGACTCCGCGGACTTGCTACTATCCTCCCTGGGCGACTCGCGCTCCTGCGACGCGGAGACAGGCGACGGCGCGGACGCACGAGGGAGGGGGGCGGGGTCTGTGGGAGAGGGGAAGTACTGCGGAGGCGGCATCGGTGACTGTCCGGAAGGGGTAACTGCGCGCGAGGTAGGTTCTTGCTCGGAAGCATTGCGCGACGAGTAGTCCGGAACACCCTTCTCGGACAAGGCGTTGGCGAGCTGGCGAATGCCATCGGAGGAGGGAGGGAGGTCTTGCTCGTTGCCTACGGGTGCTTGCGAGGTGGTATCTGACTGATCCACACTGGCTCCACCTGGGAGATCGGGAGGCATGCTTCCTTGCCATCCGCCTTCGCAGAGGGCCCTCCACTGACCTAGCTGGCCGACGGTAGGGGAGAATCGACGGACGCTTTCGCAACTACGCACCCACTCTGAGTCTGCCACGCGAGAAAAACTTGAAGCGAGGTTGTACATCGTGGCCGTATGCCGCTGCGTGACTAGCAATGCATGGTTGCTTGATTGGTGAACCTGTATCAGAGAGATACAGCTCAGAAGACGGAAAAAATACGCACTATTTTTCCCTGTTTACCTCTGGTCCAAGCGCGCTGAGCAAGTTGATGTAACGTGTGTGCTCGTCAGCTGCCTCCCGAGGGTTCTTCTTGGCCTTACGTTCGTACAACTGGCCAGCCTGTTTGAGCTTCAGGTTTGCAGACGCGATCTTCTCGTCATGGACCCGCTCTTCTTTCTGTGCTCGCACAACGTGAATATATGCGCACGGAAAAGCCGGATTGAATAACTAGATGCCTACCGCGAGCTTCTTAAACCACTTCTTGACCTCCGAGCTCACGCTGTCGCACTCCTTGTCCGCGAACTTGGCAAACTTGGTATCCACCTCCGTCATCGCCTCGAAGATCGTAGCACTCGTGTTGAGGGCATTTGCTGGAGCATATATCAGAACCAGAACTCCGAGATGTGATGCACGAGGCGTATATATGCATGCCCGTTGCCTATCTAGCCAAGACGCACATACCTGGGATGTCTGCGACACACTTCGCGGATGCAACCTCTCGAAGCGCCTTCGCGAGCTTCTTCTGCAGCAAAACAATGGCATTCGCGGCTTCGCAGTAGTCATTAAGGACGTTCACGGCCGTCTCGAGCGTCTTGCACGACTTGTGGATGTCCGCCCGCTCTGCGAGCGGCTGGGCAGCAGTCGCCATGAAGCGCAGGGTATAGTCGTGGCGGTAATCGGGGGTCGTCACAGACCTTCGCAGGTCGTGCGCGCGTGCGAGTCTTGCAAGAGGGGGAGTGTATGAGGTTGAAGCAGCGCGGACAGAGAAGGGAGAGATATCGAGAGGACGGGCGCTCGCGCGACTGCGGGAGCGGACCGTGAGGCGCGTTCTAGCGCGCTGCGTCGGACCTCGTGCGGAGCCTGAAAAACTCGCTCAGAATTACCCTGGCGGTTTGCACTCCGCCTTATCTCGCGAAGTTCGAACGGACGACCGCTGCCACCTTCGTTGAACCTCGCAAAGTCGCAGACGACGGGCCCTCCCTAATTGATGCTTGCGCTCGTGGTTTGTAACACTATGTCCTACTGGACGTCCTGCAATCCTTCATACTCCTTCCGACCCATCGGCGCCGACCCTCTTCGTTCCACGCGACCCGATCTGGCGAACTCACCTGGCCAGCCATGATGTGCCTCCAGCCTTGCTATAAGTACACTCCCCGCGCTACCGGCTGAGTTGGCTACACACCTAGTTCGTTGCACCTACGAGCTTAGGATATGGTGTGTAGCTATGATCAGGACCTTGGAATAATCACTCAAGCTGCCAAATTGCTACGTACCATTCACTCCGTACTTACACAGTTGATTTCAAGGACAGCCTCGTACCTTATGATCCAATTTCCAACAACAGGTATCTCAAGGTGCGGTAGCTTCCCTCAGACGGGCCAGTACACCTCGACAAATAGTAAAGGTTACTGGTCCTGTGGCCTTGAAGTTTATGGATCCTCTCCATGCGCGTGTTCAGCCGTCAATACCAGGAGGTTGAGGACCAGAATTCACTGGAATATTCGGGATGCCATATGACCTTCCCAGTTTGCAAGCGACATTACCAATTCTACCATGGTGGTTTTGGGCTCGTGTTGGAACTGGAGTATCACAACAGACTCGTCGCGATTTCGACGTATATGATGGCGCATGGGAGTATTCCCCCCCCCGTACACCTTCCTAACATACCCGGCGTGCTGCATATATGCACTTCATTATACTGGTTCCGTGGGCTCCTACAGGCACCGATGACGCGACGACGCGCAGCTATTTCGATGCACTTTTTCAAAGTACTTGGCCTGCCATCCGCATGCCAAGTACATGTCTCACGATGCCAAATGCTGAATATTGAATGCGCCTCGTCCGTGAGCGCCTGTTGTGCCTCGTCTCCCAATGCTCCCTTCACCTCCCGCTGTCGGACTTCTCAGGGACTTCTTCCCGTGTGTCCAATATCCCGCCTCTCTGCCTGCTGTCGGCTCGAGCGGAACCCCCACGATCTCCTTGCCCACTGTCGTTGCGCCTGCGCTTGTGGCGGGAAGCAACTATGGTTCTGCGGAAGCTGCGGACACAATAGACCCTTCGCGACGAAGTCAGGGTTCACCTCTGGGGTGACCGTGAACACTGTAGCCCTCAGGAGATGGCGCGGGCCACGACAGAGGAGATAAACAAGCGGTGAGCACAGACGGAGCTTCCGGAGCGCAGGTGTGTCCCTCTTTGTGCGTGAGTTGGGCGCAGCTGACTGAAGCTCTGCTGGCGGATGGTAGCGTAATGGCCGCCACGCGCCCAGCGAAACCGATAGATGGCTGATTCACAAAGACTGATGGTGGTTGTCGCCACTCAGCCGCACTTTCTTGCCTTCCGAGGGGCCCGAAAAACCTGAAGTCGCACATCAATGCATCATCCCCTGGCCCCCGATGGTCTCGAACAGCAAAGTTCAACAATCAGGTCGATGCCATTCCCACATCGATCCTTCGCCCATGAGAGGCATCTTCGGGTCCCGCCTACACGGCCGTTGGGCTGAACGTCGTTTCACTGCATCCGTACGTCCCTCTCACTCAGAACCATCCCGGCTATATCGTACAAGGGGCAGCACAACAGTACACCATTACACGAGAGGTAGTTTACACAACGTTGTCGTCAAACGGCAGCCCCCGCTCCTTATCCAAAACATGCTCCTCGTACCCACGCGGCTCGTACGCGCCGTCATGCCACGTCTCGTGCTCCGTCGTCGTCGCGATCTGGATCGGCTGCATCTTGTACGCGCTGCTCGTCTGGTTCGTCGCGAACGACTCCGTGCCCATATTCCGTTTCGTGGGGCGCCAAGTGAGCACCGTGTTCGAGCCCCCGGTGCGCACCGTGCTCGGCACCCCGGATGTGCCTCGTCCCGAGGACAGCGTCTGCACGCGCGACATATCGTCGTGAAGCGTGATCTGCAGGCAGATGAGGACGATAATGATCGTTGGGTATATGCCCTTTGGAACGCATCTGCAGTCAGCCGGTGCTCTGCGCGCGGGATGCCGGTCGGGCGTACCGTCAAATGGTTCAGCATGTCTGCGATAATGTAGACTCCGTTGTTGTCGACCAAAAACAGGGCGACGGTGATTATCTGAGCGCGACACCGTCAGCGCACGTCGAGGAGCAGCTAGGAGCAGAGGACGAACAAGGGCGACACAGTAAATTGCACCAGACTCGACGATGAGCAGGACCGCGCTGACGTATGTTCCACCGGAGATTATGACTTTCATCGCTCTCATGGTGCGCGCATTGGTCCTGTTTTATGTTATGAGTACCGATCCCTTCGTCTTGAACATGAGCACTGACCATGCTTTCCAGGCTATCATCGCGACCGAGTACAGGTTCGCGATGCACGTGAGCACGCCGAAGAACGCGAACCACAAAGTGATGCTCCCTGAGAAGAGCTGTCCGCCGGGTGGGGACCGCGCGAGTGCGATCGTCATCCCAATACCAGATACTGATGCGTTTGAACCGCTCTTAGCCCAACATCGGAGGACGCAGGTGACAAGGATCACGTACCAAGACCACCGACGATGCAAGTCGCTGGGAAAATAAGAATCTTCCAATTCCTGCTATACAACACCCACGTCCTCCAACATACAATCGAGTCTCCGAGCAAACACTGCGTGGAGCACAGATCAGGTCAGTACGCGGAATCGAGTGGAACCGCGTACAGGGCACTCACGTTAAGTAACTCCAGGCCGATCTGGACCCACACCAGTGGGCTCCCTTGGTCGTCGAGAATGGTTGTGCCGCCTTCAATCGCGTGCTGCTCGAAGAACGCAATGAGGTTCACTCGCAGGGCTAGGGCGATGTGCACCGTCGACATGCAGTACATGAGCACGGTGAGGACTATCATGATGATATTGGTTCGCGCCATCCTCTGGGGCCGTCGTTTGTTGCTGATCGGACATTTCAGATACGAGTCCTCGGTGAGGAGCATGCTACTTACAGCAAGAGGTATAGCGCCCCGCCGGTGAGCACCGTGTACGCCCCTGACGTCGGTTAAGCCATAAGACTCAATACTGACGGCATCCAGTGCTTCGCTTACCGTGTAGAATGGCTTCGCAGAACATGGCGATGAAGTACGCCTTGGGGAGGGAGATGCCGCTCATGGTTGGCGAGGCGCCAGGCCGGGCGACGAGGGGGGAAGGGTTGTGCAGCGGTGGGTCACCACTTCGTACTCAAGGGGGGGAAGTGCGGAATGGGGAGAACCTGCGGCTGGCCAGTGCGTGCAGATGATATGGGCGGCGCGCCTCTGGGAGTGGCGAGGCACCCCGAGGCTGGGCTTGGGGCTACGGCACACACGGTTCGCACGAGGACGAAGGCTGCGCAGGTGAGCAGCTGCTTTGACGCAACTGACAGCGCGGCGTAGGTGCGGGAGCGTCAGAAGCGGGACTCGCACGATTTGCGCAACAGCGCTCATCTGTGGGAGTCGTGGAAGGACAGTTGAGAGCGCTGATGCAGAGATGGTCGAGAAGCGGGCCAGCGCGCACGACAACCAATTGCGTCCGTGGTCGCACGGCCAGCAGACAGACTTCTTGACGTGCCGCGCTTTCCTGGGCTCGCGTTCGCTCTCTCTTTGATGGTGTGCGAGCGACATGCTGCTCACCATCCAGGAGCGCGTCCGCTTTCTGCCCACGTTTTCTCACCAAGACCTTCTTCTCCCGTATGGCCGCTGCTTTGGCTCTGACCTGTTCCCATAGCTGTTTCCCCCCAGGACGACGTCACATCATGGCTGTCCCGGACTTTGACTCGCCAGGGTGCGGGAGAACCCCGACCACTGCAAAGTGCTGCCTATAACAGTCGCATCAACCGCACGCCCCCCGGCGGCCCTGCTTGCACGCCAGCACCTAACACCTTCTCAACCACCATGTCGTCCTCAAACGCTCCCCCGCTTGACGTCGCGCTCAACGCCGCGATCTCTATGCGCAAGAAGCTCGCGGTGCCAACCCCTGACCTCAATGCGCCTGCACCCTCCTCCGCCCCCGACCTCTTCTCAAATGACTACCTCTCCGTCACCACGAACCCGAAGGTGCGTGAGCGATTCCTCGCGCGGATCGTGAAGGAACCTCGCGTGTTTGGCACTTCGGGCTCGCGCCTCCTCTTCGGAAACAAGTCGCCGCACGTACAGTTCGAGCAGCGGATGCGCGCCTTCTTCCGCTGGCCCGCTGCGCTGCTCTTCAACTCGGGCTATGACGCGAACCTCTCCTTCCTCCACTCCGTCCCCCAGCCGGGGGACGCGATCGTCTTTGACGAGCTCATGCATGCGTCTACCCGCGACGGGATCAATATGTCTCGCTGCCGCCACTCACAGTACGGGTTCGCGCACAACTCCGTCGCGTCCTTCCGCGAGGTCCTCCAGAAAACGCTCGTCCGCCACCCGAATATCGCCGCGGGGAAGAGCACTGTGTTCATCGCGGTCGAGACCCTCTACAGCATGGATGGCGACTTCTGCCCCCTTAGGCAGATCATCGAGACCGTCGAGGAACTGGTGCCCAAGGGCTCCGCGCACATCATGGTCGACGAGGCGCACACCTCTGGGCTCTTCGGGGACGGCCGCGGCCTGGTGCCCGAGCTCGGTTTGCAAGACCGCGTCCACAGCATCCTGCACACGTTTAGCAAAACATGGGGCATGAGCGGTGGTACGTGCTCTCCGTGTCGTGTGACCCCACATCGCACGATTGACGCGCTCCCACATTCTCCCAGCCGTCTTTCTCACCACTCCTCTCGTCCGGCACTACATGATCGGCTACGCCCGTCCCATGATCTACTCCACCTCCCTCCCATACTCCCACCTCGTCGCCCTCAACACCACCTGGGACTTCGTGTCCGGCCCCGAAGGCCAAGCGGTAAGCCCGCACTAATCCCTCCATCAGCCCGAGCCCGCCGCTGACCCCGCCCCGCACAGCTCGTCCCCCGCCTGCGCGCGCTCGCGGCGCACTTCGAGTCCGCGCTCCACGCCGCCCTCGCCCGCGCCCAGGTCCCGTCCGACCTGCTCGCGCTCCGCCCCCGCGCCGTCCCCGCGGACTTCCCCGCGCACGTCTTCTCGCCCGTCTTCCCGGTGCTCACGCGTGCGTCCAAGGCGCTCGCGGACGTGCTCGACGCGGGCGGCTACGCGCTCACGCCGATTCCGTTCCCGGTCGTGCCCCGCGGCGAGGAGCGCATTCGCGTCGTCGTTCACGCCGGGAACACGGAGGCGGAGATCGACGAGTTCGTCGCGCGCATCTGCGTATGGGCGAGGGAGTTCGCGGCGCGCGAAGAACAGGAGAAAGGGGAGCCTCGCGCGACCGGCGTCCTGGCCCGCCTCTAGGTTACTTGTCTATTAGAGCTGTTTGGAAAGTTGCGATAGTGCAAGAACCTGACGCCACTTCGGTGTCTCCACCTCTCCACGGCATATCGGCCCGCTGGCCAAACACCCGCCGACAGTCACATGGAGCAAGGACTCCAACGTTCCAACTCACGATTACTACGGTGCACTATCATAACTTTCCAAACAGCTCTATTATAGGTGGCTCGGCCTCTAGCGAGCGAGGCCGACTTGCAGGTTCTGACGCTCAGCCCCCCTTATCATCTTATCTCACCTGCGTCACTTTTTTGGTTGTCCTTATGAGCCTCCCATGAATGTTCTTCGAATAGTGCCGAAAGAGGCTTTACATTTCAGAACCTTGGGTTTCCGCATACGCTCCGCAATCATACGTACGTACACGCGTAGAGGGAGAATCACCAGACTCCTACCCAGCTGCAGCCGGCCTATCGTGTTCTCGTTCCCAATCCGAGAGCGTGACGCGGGCTTGGTATATGCAGTGGGAGGACAAGCGGGAGGATTGCGGGTGCCATAGAACATAGGAGCCCGTTATATAACAAAGTTAACAATATTCACGACGTGCACCACCGCGTTCTCGGGACATGAAAAGGCAAGGAAAAAGTCATTCGCAAGTGAATTTTCCGACGCTGTTTTTGGATGTGAGAAAAGGCGACATATTTGATGGATTATCGGTATTCTCCAGGCAAAACGCCTTCGAAAGTCGTGCTTTCCTTGTCTTTTCCCGCCTTCTTTCTCGTCCATAAAATTGGCGCCGGAAAATTCACTTGTGAGTGACTTTGTCTGAGCCTTTTCATGGACCAAAAGCTCGGCGGTGCATGTCGTGAATGGGAAGGTCCTATCGTGTTCTCATCCCAAGCACTGTTCGTGATATATTAGGCAAGTCTCCGCGCTGTCTTATTTTCTGACACATCCGTATATTCTCCTACCTGGTCTCACGCCTTCTGGACCCTCGCTACACATACATAACACGTCCCGCGCGCTAGGAGTGGAATCGAAAATAAGATAGGCCGGCTGTATAGGAGCCTGGAGAATTACGAAGCTATATATAGGCCGAACGTGCACAACAAATCGCTTATATCTCCCTTGATCTTCGTTTCGGACAAGGAAAGGTCTGCTCACGCCTCCGCGCCAGCGCAGAACACGCTTGGACTCGCGTGAGTAATAGATCGGGTTCCGGGGCCCGACGAATCCCACCCGACCCCGCCATCCAAGTATGAACGTTTGAACTCCTCCCTCCCCGCGGACGTGTGGGATCGGATGCACCTTGGACAAAGCTGCGATCTGCAAGAAGAGACGTCCCCGGCGCGTGGCAAACCGAGGTCGTCGTTACTTGTTCCGAGGGAAGCCCAGCCGGGAATCCTGACGCTCGGTCCCGAGCCTAGGATCTGCCAGCCTCCAGGCGCTGCGAGAGTCCATGCGCCTCCCCGCGCTGAGCGAGGCCGAGAGAGGCACACGGGTCTGGGCGCTGAGCTTTGACCCACACCGCCCGATGCTGACCACCGTGTCTTGTAAGTACTGTCCGAGCGTAGAGACAAGGGTCTCAATGGATGAGGGCAAACAAGACTGGACTCCGTCACGCGGAGGATGTGGAACCAAGGATAATGCATATCCAGCCGTCGGCCGTTTACGGTGCCGACAACCTGATGGGGGGAGGGGGTCTCGTCTACATGCAACAGTATCGTGACGAAGAGATGGGAAGGTGAGTGCGTGCAAGGATAGATGAGAGTCTGGTGTCTTGAAGGGGACGATGATGGGGGCGTATGCAACTGGGGACGGGGTGATGGTGGGGCAAAATTGGGAAATACGTGAATGGACACGGAAGAACGGAGTCGGCGTGAGAAGCAGTGCAAAGGATGATATTGGACGAAAGATGCAGCAGATTGGTGATGAAAGCGGAGGAGGATTGTAACACGAGATGAAAGATGCGACCTTACGCGACCTTGGGCACCTTTATGAGTGCGGCGTAGGTTGCTGGAACGGCATTGGTGGTGGCCCGTTCCCCTCCTACAACCAGATGGGTACCTGGATGCGGCGATAGAGACGATGACACGTACCAGACGCTGCTTTTTCACCGGTCTCGGACGGACGCCCGGTACTCCTGCCTTCGCTACCCTCTGGGCATCCGGTCCCGGTACTTGCGACGCTGGTGGAACATTACCGTTTGATTGCAATGCGCCTTCTTCCCTTTCTCGTTTGGTTCCTCTTGCAGGAGGAATTCCTGGTTGAGACGGGGGCTGCGGATGTTGTGCGGGCGGGGCCGTGACGGGGACAGAGCCCGGCGTGGATACCGACTGAGGTGTGCCGATGCCCACAGGTGTCCGACCTCGTGCTGGAGGCTGCTGCTGTTGCGTCGGAGGCACTTTTGCGGTACCCGGCCGTGGTGTACTCGTCCGTGGAGCGGCAACAGCGGCAGGGGGCGCACCAGGTGTTGGTGCCGCACCTGGGGTGGCGGGCATGCCTGGCGTATTCGGCAAGGCCGCGGGGGGAGCCGCAACAGCCTGCACGAGGCTCTGGCCTTGGGCCTTGGCGAGCTTTCTGAGCTCTTTCTGCAGAGTGGCCAGGGTTTGAACGAGGTCTATGACGCAATAAGTCGCGACTGGGGCGGATGTACGCACCCGTCTCTTTCGATCCTCTCTGGCTTGCGACGACTCCGAGACAAGGGTGTGGATGTTCCACTGGGGCGAGGTTAACGGGGATTATGCAGCACCGAGGGGTACTTACGCCTTTCAAACCCTCCAAGCTCACAGCAAAAGCTTCTCGCGTCGTCTTCTGGCTGAAAGGCTTGATCTCCATCTTCTGCTTCGGTGGGATGGCCATGAGGGTGGCCAAATAATCGTCCTTCTTCATCGAATGCTTGCCTGAGGGGCTCCCGTCGTATCGCGACCTAGGACAATAGCCCGAACCACTCACCAGGGACCGACTTGATCAAGTGCTTATAGTTCTTCATCTTCTTTTCGCCCTTTCCCCCGTCATCGTCATCTCCATCTCCTCCTGCCGCCGGTGTTCCTGCAGCCGGGGACGAAGCTGCTTCCCGCAGGGGGATCTCCTTGGCCTTGCCTTTGTCGGCGGCGCTCAGCTGGGACACGGGTGGTGCATATGGCCGGACATATTTGTCGTAGGCTGGAAGGAGCTGGAAACGGCGGAGGAGGTCGTCGGTGCTTCGGAAGTATGGTGGGGGCTGGGGAGGGCCTGGAGAGAGGAAAGGTCAGAGGGATCAGGAGGAGACGACTGAGGGCGAAGGGGCGGACCGGGTGGCGGGAAGTAGAGGGGAGGGATGTCGGGAAGGGAGGAGGGGCCGGCGACGGCGTTGGCGTGCTGGCGAGGCGGGGCGAAGGCTGGATGGGGGTCGTCGCTGTCCATGGCAGCGACGGGGAGGAGGGCGAGAGGGAGACGCGGTGGTCCGCTCACGCCTCGGACGACAGCGACGATGAGCGTTTCAAACTCAGAACGGTTCGTTTCGCCGCGCGGCCGCCCGACTAGTGCGTGGATAAGCCGGGTAAGCAGTGCATACAATGCTGGTAACGCACAGATTTAGCTGAAGTAAGCGTGCGTTATCTATAGTACACGACCGGCCCGCCTGCGTGGCTGATGTCATCCCCATCCCGGCATAGGCGCGACGCCACGCTGCGCCCGCAAGCCTTGTTCGGTCTCAAACCTCTCTTGCTTCCTCCCTCCACCTCGCCCGCCCTCCATGGCGAGCGAGCACCCGTACCAGGCCGTCGACGCCGTCATCTCGCCCAACTTTTCTCTTTATTCGTCCTCTGCCTCCCCCGTCCGCAACTCCGACCCCACCTCCGAACCTGGTTCCCACCCCGCCATGCCTTCCCCACTGCCCACAGAGCGCGACGGTCTCCTTGGAGGCGCAGCGTCGTCCAAAAAGCCTTTTTACCGTCCCAGGCCACTGTGGTGCGTGCGTGCGTCTTCCTCGCCCTCCTGCCCGGCGCAGATCCCGCGAGTCCGTCGGCCGTCGGTCCGTCTTATCTTGACTTGATGCCAATCTCGTCGACAAATCCCCTCGTCTGCCAAAAATACTTCGTGGATGACCCCCGCGCGCAACATGTGCTGCATGGTGCTCCGCTCAGACGACAACGCCTCTTGCATACGACCCAGGCGCATTCGCGCGCATACACTCACCCAAGGTGGGTGTATGCGCGTCCCCTCGCCCAAGGTGGGTGTATGTGCGTCCCCTCTGGATGTTTGTCTCATTCGCTGCGCTTGGCTCCGCAATTCCTCCACCGCAGCGGCTAACTCGACGTCCATGCTCCGATGACAGCGCCTCTCTCAGTCGCGTTCGTGAGGGGGCGCCCATACACCCACTTCGGTGGGTGTATGCGCGCCCCCTCTGAAATCTTGTCTGCTTGGCTCTCCGCAATGCCTCAACCACAGCGGCTAACTCCGCGTTCACCAGGCTTGTCCCGTTCGCGGTCATTGCATCTGTTGTTGTAAGCGCTTTCCTCAGTCAGCACTGATCCAGGATCTCACTCCCCGCAGCGCGGCATGACGCTCGCCCCCCGTGTGCAAGTGTACACGCAGCTCTCTTGCAATGCAGTTTACGGCCACGACGGCTACAATCACACCGTCTTGGCCACCACGCTCCCTTCTTCCCTCCCGCACGCGAGCAATAGCTCAGACTTCGCACCCACGCTTCATGCGTCATTTCCCGATGGTTCGGGGCCCGACTCCGCCCACTCGATAATCATCAACTTTGAAAATGATGACAATGACGAACCAGACCCTCGAAGTCCGCCCTCGGAGCGCTGCCTCAAGGATTCGGAGGTCACCGCCCGGGCGGCCAGCCTGCAAACCCTCATGACGGTCTCCATGGGCGTTCTCTCAGCATTCACCACAAGTTGGTGGGGTACTATCAGTGACACTTATGGTCGTACACGAGTACTGGCCATAGCCACTCTCGGTCTATTCATGACGTGAGTCATGCCGAATTCCGAATACCCATCGCTGACCCTGGCCCTGTACAGCGACCTCGTGTTCATTCTAGTCTCGACGCCGCACAGCATCTTTGCCGCGCACGGTCACAAGTTTTTGATCGTTTCTCCCATCATCGAGGGCCTGTGCGGAGGCTGGGCCACCCTCCAGGCGACCACCTCCGCGTACATCTCAGACTGCACATCGGACGGCTCGCGCTCGCACATATTCTCTCGGTTTACTGGCGTCTTCTACCTCGGGTTCGCGGTTGGTCCCATGCTGGGCGCCTTCCTCATCCGCCACCCCATCTTTCCCGTTCCCTCTTCGAGCGTCGGCATGCACAACGGAGCCCCTACGGTCACCTCCGTGTTTTACGTCGCCGCGACTGCGTCATTAGTGAACCTCCTATTCGCCCTGTTTTTGTTCCCGGAGTCCTTGACGAAGAAACAAGCCAAGGTCGCGGCGGCAGCAGCAGCAGCAGCTGGTGCCACTGCTGCAGGCGTTGGCACAGTTCCCTCTGGTTTAGTTTCTGATGTAGCGACGCAGAGCTCGCTTGTGCGGTTGTTGGGTCCCCTCGCTATCCTCCTGCCCAAGACCGTCACTGGTGCCAACGGCACGAAGTACCGAGATTGGAACATGACGATGCTCGCGTTGGTGCTCCTCGCATACATGCTTTCCCTGGTCAGTTGCCTCATACTTGGAGAAGAGCATCGCTAACACCGGGAACCCATAGGGCTTGTTCCAGATCAAGTATCTCTATGCTGGTCATATCTATGGTTGGGGTGCCGAGCAGGTCGGTTCATCAATTATTTGTCTCTTGCGCTCCGGTTCTGACTTTGTCATTAAGCTGAGTTATTACATTTCTACTATGGGCTTCTCTCGCGCGTTGCATCTGCTCTTCATGCTTCCCTGTAAGTGGTTTCATTCCGTTTGTGATCCGTGCTCATGGCCTCATCTTTATCAGTCCTCATCGCGATCTTTAAGCGCAAGCCTAAGCCTGGCCCCGTACATGGCCCTTCCGCAAATGAGGCCTCGGCCATCTCCAAGGAGATGCACTTTGACATGGCGCTCATCCGTGGCTCTCTCTTCATTGACTTCTGCTCGCACACTCTCGTCGTTCTCGCTTCGCCTTTCGCGGGCCCGTACGACGGCCAGGCGATCTTTGTCGGTGCTACTGCAATGAGCTCGATCGGCGCCGGGCTTGTTCCCGCCGTAAATAGCCTTGCGCTCTGTGTCATGAAGGCGCGCGGTGAGACAGACACCGGCAAGACCTTCGGTGCCTTCTCCGTCCTGCAGGCCGTCGGCCAGATGATCCTCGGGGTGCGCACTTCCTCTCATGTCTCCAATCCACCTTCATCTTACCCCTTCTTGCCCCACACAGCCCATCATCTTTGCCCTCGTCTACAGCAATACCGTCGCCAACTTCCCGAAGACGATCTTCTTCATGGCCGCCGGCCTCGTCTTCTCCGCGCTCGTCTTCACTTTCCTCCTCCGCCCCGACGCCGGCCTGCGCCCACGCACGACGTCTCACCGGTCCGCGCAAGCTGCGCTCAGCGCGCTCGAGGCGCGCGTCCGCACCGAGCGACACCGCGGCCGCTCCACGCGAAGCAAGGACATCCGCCAGCCGTCGTTCGGCAGCTCCGCGTCTAGCCTCGCGATCTCTGGCGGCCCTGGCTCGTACGGCGCGACAGGCTCGAGCGCGAGCGCGAGCACTGGTTCTGGCTTCGCCGCGGGCTCAGCGCCCCGCTCTGGCCCCAGCTCGGCTCAGTGAACTGCGCTGTGAGGAGCGCGCGCGAGGGTTTCGCATTTCGTGTGTAGAGGAGGTCGCTATCTACAGTCCCGTTATCTAATAGAGGATAGAAGTGAACAGCTACTACCTAATGTCGTATTCTGTGTATAGTAGAGGTTACGATGGCACATACCTGTTTTCGCGTCTCAGTACGCCTCGTCCTCGAGGGTGGGCGCAGTGCGGAAACAGTGATCATGTTTCGAACACGCGTGTTCCGATCTGCGTCTCCTCGGTCTGGGTTTGGACAGCGGACATGAGTAAGAAGTGTGATTGAGCGCAGATAGTGTACAGGAAATACAACACATGACGGCGGCGCTGACAACGCGCCGCCTCAGTATGATACAACGATGGCGTGCGGGGCGTGATCTCGTAAGTAAGGGCGGCACCTAGTACGTGTACCGGAAATCGGGGTTCTCGCGGTCCGTGAGGTCGTCAAAGGCGTGACTGTGCGCGACGTGCTCGCCCTGAAAACCCCACTCCCATCAGCGCGCGCGCTCGAGGTCAGCGCGTCGGCAGAAGAACGCACCTGGGGACGCGCGGCGCGCCGCTTGAGCGCGTTCATGCGCATGAGGTGCACGCGGAGGAAGAAGAGGACCGCGATCTGGACGGCGTAGACGACGATGTGGGCGACGAACGCCTTCACGTACCGCGGGCCGTCGTCCGCGCGGAACACCTGGGGCCCGATCGCGTTCCCGACCGCCCAGGCGATGAAGACGAGGGTGGAGGCGACGACCTGCTTTGTGCGCCCCGCGACGTTGTTTGACATCACCGCGAGGTTGAGTACCGCGACGGCGGAGAAGGCCATCGTCAAGCTGTATGCGTGGTCAGCCGTCGTGTGCTGAGGGGAGGGAGAGAGGCGCACTAGAAGGAGATCAGGAGCCCGACTTTGGTGTCGTGCCTAGTGGGGACCGCTGCGACAGAAGACGAGTCAGGTGGGTGCGCGCGTGAGGCGAAAATGCGAACGAACTGAGGAAGACGATGGTGCCAACGACGCTGGGGATCGAATAGATGATCGCGAGCAGGATCTTCTGGTTGTAGCGCTTCGAGAGCCATGCACCCGAGAAGAGGAACGCCATGATGATCGCCCCCTGCGCGATCGCGAGCAAGTACGTCTGCAGACGCGTGTAGCCGAACGCGGTGATAATGATGTTCGAGAACGCGCCGAGGCCGCCTGGCGGGAGGCCGTTCGTGAACTGCCCAAACTGTTAGTTCCTTGGGTGTTCCCCAGAGCATCAGAACGGCGCACCGAGACGACTGTGACGCCAATGACAGTTGGGTCGGTCATGGCCTCGCGCACTTGGTACCACTTGAACTCCTTGTTCTGGATTCCGGTCTCATTTTCGCGTACGCGCTCTGCCATCAGAACTCTGTCCTCGGGAGAGAAGCACGTTGCGCGCATCGGCGAGTCGGGCAGCCAGTACGCGACGAACAGGCCCCACAGGAACGTCAGGACTCCCAGCACCTGCGTGAAGTCTCATCAGCTTCACCAGGCCATCACAAGGGGAAGACGACCGCACCGTAAAGAGGAACTGCCAGTTTTTGATGTGGGGGCTCTCGAAGTGCGCGACGCCGTACGCAATCAAACCGCCAACGCACTGCTGGAGGCCGTTCATGGAGTAGAACGCGCCGATGACGAGCGCCTGCTCCTCGCGCTTGTACCACATTGTGGAAAGGAAGACGAAGGCGGGCTGGCAGACGCACTCGAAGACGCCGAGCAGAGTGCGTACGATCACGAGCCCGGTGAAGTTGTGGCACGCGGCAGTGCACGCGAGGACGATGCCCCAGCAAGCAATGCTTGATATGCGTCAATCCAGAGTGCTCGTAAACAGGGGATGCGCTTACCAGAATGCGAGGTATTTTCCAATAGGAAGGCGTTGAATGAGACGGTTCGTCGGGAATTCCCAGATCAAGCTGTTGAGCCTCTTTAAGCCGCGAGCTCCTTCGTTGTGGTGACTTCCACTCACATGGCCAGGTACACACACGTAGTCAACCACGAGTACTGCTGACCGACCAAATGGGTGTCCTCGATGATGCCCATGATAGACGCAAAGTTCAGGGTACTTGCTATATGTCAGAATGCGGTGCGATCAATGAGGACGGCTGAGGGTACGCACCCCTTGTCAAGCGTTTGGGCAAAGTACGTGACTACCATGACCACCTAAGTTCCACCTTCAGGAGATTTGGAGAGCGTCTATTAACGAAATACTCACCAGAACGCGCTTGTGAATCATCCAACGCAATCGCCTATCCGTCGCCTCGTCAATCTCCACCGGTGCGCCCACACTATGACCCTGGGCAGCGAAGAAATCTGTGGAAGTTGTTTCAGCACGTCATGCATGTAGTGCGAGAAAACATAGACCGACCCGCGACCTCCCCATCAATACCAGGAAGAGTTATGCAGACGAAGACTGGTCAGTCGCGTTTCACGCGCGCAAGAAGCAGCACATACGACGAAATGCGCCCCCGCTCGACACTGAGGCGATGTCTTTCTCGACGTCCTCCGTGCGATACTCCACCCCCTTGATCATGTCGGAGTGTGTCATTGCTGGGTCGGAGGATACAGGATACCGATCCTGCGCGCGATGCCAGACGAGGGGAGGTGAGGAAAGGCGGGTTCCCAGTCGACGCGTCGACTCTTTACCTCGCGCCCGGGGTTTATAAGGGCATCGTGGCCATTGCGCGCGCACCAGCTGACCCCGCCAACTGGCGGGACGCGCTCAAAGCTGTTACGCGCGCCGACCACTCCTGCGGCTGCCCCAGTCGGCTACCCCGCACGAGCCCTCACCTGCTTCAGGCACAGCCAAGCCCCCGCCGCCTCGTGCGGGGCCCCGCAGCGGGGGGTCCCGGACCGAGGCGGACCGCTGCCCGGTAGCGTGCATGGGTGATACTTTGTGCGGGGGCGATCGGTTTTCCGCGGGCGACCATAAAGCGTCGCTGCTCATGTGGACGCCTTTAGTCTTGTCTTCAGGAACCCTCTCTCCGCCCTTGTCTCTTCGAGCCCGGCATGTCGTTTAGGAACGTGAACCAGGCGAAGGTGGCGACGATAAAGCACATCAACAACCTGATCACATGCCTGGTCAATATCAAGGACGAGACAGGCGAGTTCCTCATGCCGTTAGCCGATGGAAGGATCATCGACACCAAGGGCTGGGAAGATTGGGAGGTGGGTCATCTTAGACTTTGCGATCAGCCACAAACCGGAGGGTACTCACCTGTTCTGCAGTGGACGCATGGAATCGGTACTTCATACTACGCTGTCTGGATGAGATCGGCACTCAATCAAACTGCTGATTTCAGGGCTGTATGGGCTGCTGAAATTCAATGAGATCACCGGGGACAAACGCGCGCTCGACATCGCTCTTGCTTGGTTCCGGGACCGATTCGAGGTCGGGACGACGAAGGTATGCTCACGTCCAGTAATCGATGCTTGATGATTGATCGACATAGTGCTATAGAACGTCAACACCATGTCGCCTCTTTTGACAGCCGCTTACCTTCACCACAAGGGCGCGGCGGACTACTACGTCCACCTCGACTCGTGGGCGGAGTGGGTGATGTACGACATGCCCCGCACCACGGAGGGAGGCCTGCAGCACATCACCTACCTGCTCGACAACCCAGAGCAGTTGTGGGACGACACACTGATGATGAGCGTCCTGCCGTTGACCAAGATCGGACTCGTCTTGAACCGGCCGCACTACGTCGAAGAGGCCAAGCGTCAGTTCCTCCTCCAGTAAGTGCGTTTGAAAGCCCCCGCACCTTCGACCGCTCATCCTCGCGCAGCATCAAGTACCTTCAAGACCTCCAAACCGGACTCTGGTTCCACGGTACGGCCTCCGGACTCTCTCGCCTCCTTCGCATCAAGACCGCTGACGTTCACCCAGGCTGGTCCTTCGACGGCCGTCACCACTTCGGCAAGGCCCTCTGGGGCCGCGGCAACTGCTGGGTGACCGTCGCGATCCCGGACTTCATCGAGATGCTCGCACTCCCCGAGACGGACGGCGTGCGCCAACACCTCGTGTCCGCGCTCGCCGCGCAGATCGACGCGCTCGTCGCGCTCCAGGACGCCGACACCGGGCTGTGGCACACGCTCCTCGACGACCCCACCTCGTATCTCGAGGCGTCCGCGACGGCCGGGTTCGCGTACGGGATCGCGAAGGCGCTCCGGCTCCGGCTGATCCCGCGCGAGGAGCGGTACATGCGCGCGGCGAGGCGGGCGATGGAGGGTGTGCTGGCGCACATCTCGGAGGAGGGGGAGCTGCGGAACGTGTCGTTCGGGACGCCAGTGTTCATGGACTTGGAGGACTACAAGAAGATCCCGTTGACGAGCATGCCGTACGGCCAGAGCTTGGCGTTGCTCGCTCTGACGGAGCATCTGAGGACGTTCTTGTAGGGGCCAGTAGTCGAATCGAATGTACTACATCGAAGTGTTCGAATGTTCACCCTTGGTGGCTTCGAGGTTTGTGTTGGTGGCAGGGGGTAACCACCCGAACTGAAGGCAATTGAACCCTGCGAACCTTGTTTCTACTCCTGTAGAATACATGGGCACGCCGCCGCCAAATATGGACGGCATCATCCTCGTCTACAAAGCACTAAGCGCTTTCTGGGCGTCTGGCATTCTGACATCGCGTGCCGTTCACGGCGCCTTGTAGGACGACGCAGGGCGAGGTGGCATCTCCGCCTGTCGACAACGTATGAGAAGACGAGAGATATAGAGCGATTGCGGAGACTATACCTTCTCATATATCATCTCGACACATTCCATCTTCGTGATCGTCGTCTCCGGCGTCGGCCAATACTGCGGGGTCCGTCCGCGGACCTTGTCGACGAACGCTTCCAGCTGGTAGCGGTACCTGTGCGGATCACGCCTGTCAGCCTAAAAACGCGAGTTTACGGCTCCCGACGTACGTGCTCCAGTAAGGTTCCCCATACCCGTCCTTGCTCACATACACGCGCTCCGTCCGCGCCTCCCCTTTTGACGGGCGCACAGTGATGGAGTGGTACAACGCGGGAACTATGAAATTGAAGTACTCGACCTTCCCGCCTTCGAGCGTGACCTCGGCGTTGAACTTGGGCATGTGTGGGAAGAGCCCGAATGGCCCCCAGCCGGGGTCCGAGAAGTCGCAGATCGTCTCGCCCGTCAGTGCCTCGCCAGCAGCCTCAGCACCAAGCGGAGAGGGAAGCTTGAAAGCGGCGTGCATGGCGCGGTCGACGCGCTTTGCGTCGGATGGCATTCCAATCGCCTTCGCGAAGGTGACCTCGGGGAGGACCTCGTCCGTTCCGGTGAAGTATCGGATGGCGGTAAGGGGATACACTATCAAGGCAGCATTAGAGACGTCGTAGAACGAGAGCAACACACTTCTCGCGTACCTCCTTGATCCATGGTGGAACCTCCACCCAGGTCAAAGTCGTAACGAATGTCGTTTTTCTCCCAGATGAAGGGGCCCATGAGAGTGGGTACTGTGAACCACGCCTTCGCGCTCTTGATCTTCCCGAGCTCTCCGCTGGCCACGATCTCTCTCACCCTCTGAGTCGCAGGATGAAAACTGGAGCGCAATAGCATATATCAGTACAGCGGTGAGCCGGCGAAGATGAACAGGTTGCCCACGTGAAATGCACGGCCTCGAGCACAACGACGCCTTTCTGCGCTGCCCGAGCGAATATTGCGCGCGCTTCGTCCGCGGTGTTCGTGATGGGCTTCTCGACGAGGACGTGCTTGCCGGCGTCGATCGCGCGCATAGTCCACTCAAAATGGAGCCCGTTTGGTAGCTGCACGTCTCAAGAGTCAGCACAACGGAAGCTCTACGAGGGTGAAGAGGCCTGACAGGAATGTACACGGCGTCGACATCCTTGTCGTCGAGAAGGTCTACAAACGTGTCAACCAACGAAAGAGCGCGGAGTTAACGACACCTGCCTTGGTAGCAGGTTTGCCCGGCGAACACCTTCTCGACTTTGTGTTTGTTGGCGTACTTGTCGCCGCGCGCCTTGTCGCGGCAGGCGACCGCAGTCACCACGACGCCTGGATGCGTCTTGGCGGGAGTGAAGAGCGCGTCAGGACCGATGCGGGCGGCGCCCAAGATCCCGAACCGCAACGGGTCCTCGACCTTGGGTAGGACCGGGGGATTGAGTGCCTGCGAACGACCAAGAACATCAGCGCTCGGTGGCTTGGGGCAGTCAAGGGCGCGCACCTTCAGAAACCTCTGCATCAAGGAAGTGCCGACTTGTATCGAGGAATGCAAAGGTGTCGACGACGGCGATGCTGGGAATTGGAGGGACGTCCTCCATCATGCCCATGGGGACCACGCGGATCCATGTGAACGCGTTTGCCGGAATCTGACCGTCGTCAGCATCTCTGATTGGTTGGTTGAATTGAAGAGGCTCTGCCAGTACATCATGTGACCGCGACGCGTCGACGCGTCAAGCCACCGGCTTCTCGGCTTCTGTGATCACCTTCTCCTCATCAGGCTGGTCAAGAAGCTCGCTCACAGAAGCAGATCGCGCGCAGGTGGTTTGAATACACCTGCGTATGGTCGAAGCCACACCCTTCAGCGCATCGTTGTGTCAAGTCACCGATGAGTGATACAACCGTCCAGCTATAGCTGAGCACATAAATTACTTCTTTGTTACCCGATACATACGAGACAGTAATGACAGTAAAAATAAACAGCGAAAGCAAGCGCAGCAGCCATTCGCATCGCCTCAACAACGATACCCATCTTACACGCCTTCATAAAAGGTTGCCCAGGTAGTCGTTCAGACACCAAACTGGACCTTGCGCCCGTTTTCGTAGCCATGGTAGTCCGACGACTTGAGCTCCAGGACCTCGACTGTCCCGACGGTGGTTTGCCCTTCGACCGTGACGTTCCCATTCATGGCGGTCTGATGCCGTCATGGGGAACAGGGTTAGTGCGCGGCCGCAGGAAAGAACATCCGAATACCCGACGCACAGTAGGCCTGTTCCAGGTAACGCTTCCGTGGGAGAGCGAGTGCACTCCGCTGACACCGAAGGGAGAGGTATCGGTGACGCCGACCTCGCTGGCTAGGCGGTCGTTGATGGCACGGCGGGAGTTCAGACTGGACGGACGCGGGCACTGTGAGCATCGAGAGAACTCGTGGGAGTGCCGACTCACGCTGCGAGGAGAGAGTTGGAGTACACTTGTTACAATACGTCAGCGAGCGAGCGAGGGTGCCAAGATTAGAGGATACTGACATCGAACACCGACCACAACCGTTCCAATGTAGATCAAGTCGTGTGGGAGAGCGACAGCCTGTGCGTTAACGAAAAAATGAGAGGAAGTACGCGTGAAACTGGCAACAAAGACTGACCGTGGCGAAGCAGACGGCGTTGTAGACGCCAGTGAGCAGACCGGTGCTAATCGCGTAAAGGGTCAGAGTGTTCAGCATGCCGTCGGTCCTGAAGACGGAAGGCACATTCAGCGGAAGATCAAGGGGCGTGACAAAGCGCCGTTACTTAGTGATACCAGTCCGGCTCTTGCGGAGACTGTTGATGAGAACGGCGGTGAGGACCAGATCTGACACGGTGGAAGCCGCGTTGTGGATGGAGATCAAGAACTGGTAAAGGTGTGAATCCAGGCTAGTGCTGCTCAGAGAATGAACCCACAGTCCACTTCGAGAAAGCATCCCAATGCATGTCTTCAAAACCCTTTATGGCGGCGACTATAAAGGCATTAACACACATCGGATGGCGAGGAACGATGCGCGGCTCACCAATGCAAAGCACTACAGTGGGTAAATAGCACTCGTTAGACAGCTCGCCGTGAACAAGGTAGGCGAAATGATATACCGAACTCAAGGAGCATCAAAATAGACTGACAGATCGCTCAGCTTCATGCTCGACAAGGGAATAGGATACTCGACATACTGCAAAGATGACGAGGAACCGCCACTTCTTTCCGACTGCGAGGCGGTGGGGTTCAGCCTCGGTGAAGTTATCGGAAATTGACAACTCACTGATCCAAACTCGATAGCAAAAGAAGCTAGATAATAAAAACATCTCGGCTTCAGGATCATATGGACCATACCCTCGAGACACACCTTTGAGTAACGATGATCGTGAGACTCTACGATGACCCTCGTTAAAACGTGAATGACGACAACAAGACTGTGAACGTACACCGACGAGAGAAAGCACCTATTACGAGTAGTTAGCACCAGAAAAAAGTGAACAAGATGCTTGAACCACCGCACCGGGACCGAGACCACGATGTCGTTGAGCTTCAGCGGATTGAAATAGTTCTGCACCATGTAGAAGTAGCTGCGCGTCGTCAATCGTTGGCACGAGCGATGATAAGCATACGAAACTTCTCACCATGCCTGCATCGTCAATACACCACAGACGAGTTCGCAAAGCCTACAGAACTCGTTGAGTACACCACATAGTACTAGCGTTTGCAGACACACAGGACAGTGATGACCTGTATCATCGTAGAGTCAGTGCTCGAGGACGCAACATGTGGGACGCGTACGTACGTAAAGCTTCAGCCGGATCTTGTCCTTAGGATACGAGACGAAGTAATGGTGGCATTGGTGGAGCAGGACGCCGAGCAAGCTATGTCAATGAGGATCAGACGCATGCAAAGCCAGAGCCGCTAAGCGAGCGAGCTAAGCACGCGAGCGCACTCACACCAGCGAAACAAAGGTCCCGATAAGCACCGCGCCAAGCGTGTTGTCCAGAGCTGGGAGCGCAACCGCACCCGCCGTCGCAGGGGTGCTCGATGCAGTCGGGGAGTCAGACATAGTCGGTCGGCGTTGACGGGGAGAGGAGAAGGGGCGGGTCCAATCCGAATAGACATTGCTGCATTAAAATAGGCGACTCGAAGGAATCGGCGGGCAGAGCCTCAAGGTCCGAGAAGCTGCCAGATGATCACAGTCGCGGCCACGGCTCAGTGCCGTGGGACATTGTCATAAGATGGCTCCACGAAGGTCAATTGAAAAACAGCGCTAGGACATTCTTCCAGCAGTTACGTCCGCACAAATTACGCGAGTTGCCAACCATAGCTCGATGCTAGATGGAAAGAAACACAGAAGGCTTGACATGAGAAGTGAAAAGCCTCAAGAGACGTTGATCTGCTGCTTCGGAGATGCCGATCGGATGCTTGTCCCTGGTTCCAGTGAGGTCGGTACCTTTACATAAAGGTCAAGGGGGATGCCGCCGGAAGAAGCAGACTCGGAGCAGATGGCGAAGATGATCATCAACAAACTGTGGGCGGTGGGTGACCGCTCCTGCTGATGTCCTGATGTTCGCATCAAGCTATCAGCACCAACCAATACCACAGTCCCCGCCTTGAGGGCTTGATCCACCATGGATGCCGGACCAATGCCGGCGTACATCGAGTTTGGTCTCCCCGCCATGCACAAGACGGGCAGACGTACAAGCCTGGTGCCAACATTTCGACCCGCTCTCCCCAAGTTCGGAAATGCGTTTAGAGCTCACATCATGCATCGATTGATTGCATTTGAATGGCAGCTCCATTCTCCAACCGGTATATCAAACTCGGCATAAGCACCAGCGGGTATGTGTTATAAACAAACGTCAATCAGTGCAAGGAGGCGTCAAATGTGACTGGTGGACTACTTGATCTTCAATCCCTTGCTCCCTCCGCAGCAGTCAGTAAGTAGCATATTCTGTCTGAGCTGTTTGTCGTTGTAGAGGAGGAAATCAACATCACTGTGACGCGCTGCTGAAGCGCTGACCACTGCGTCCCGGCGCCAACTGAAAGATAAGATATCAAGAGAGTATAGGCGCGCGTAGATAAGACGAACGCCGTTCGTTTGATATTTTCTACTGCGACTCAACACTCGGTCCCTCTAAGTCTCTCCCCGAACCCTTTGAAAGCGTATGGCTATGACTGAAAAGAGTCGAAGATCCTAGAGTCATCCAAATGTGACCGGGCGACGTCCGTGGTGTCATGCCGCGACCTCCTCGTCGCCACAGGCCGCTACAGTGCTTTACTTCCTCTATGCTCCGTTTGGAGTACATGATGGACGCGAGTAAGCTGCCTAGACATGATCAACATGTCCATTTTCTTACATCGTAATTACAGGCCTCCATCATGAATGGTTACCCAATGTCCATGATCAGAGGTCATCTCCAATGCTGTATGCGTAACTTGAGCTACCACTTCGGAAGAGAAAGCTCGAACTCCTATGAACTGCTTTGGAGATTTGGGCAGCAGTTGAGCACCTGGTGCGTAATTACACCGACGGTTCCCTACTAATATCATTACGACATTCCTACAAAAGTCGTTCAATAGCATGATGACGTGTTTTCGGCGCAGGACGACGCTTTGAGCAGGTACCACGCGTGCGTATTTCCTATTCTCAGATTCTCCTACCCATGCATTCAGTCAACGGTCTCACATGTGCTGTGATGAAGTGCCTGGCAGTTCAGGCACCACACCCTCCCAACAGATCATCCACCTCATGGGCCTTTCTGTCGCGTAAGCAACCCTTCAACTTCTCTTCCACTCCGAGCTCGGCGTGAGATATGGCCGATCACGCGTTGGTGATTCCTCGGACCAACGAGTATCACTGACTTCAGCCGCCTCGTGACGAGTCCTTCTGACCGTATGCCTCCTGGGGCTGGAACAACCCTCATCCGCTGATCCGCCCCGCGTGTCTTCGCGATTCGCTCCCCCCGCACGGACAAAGACGTCGATCCACACCCCTCAGCGCTGATGAATGGCCAATGGCTCGGGACCCAGACCGGCTACCGCGTATTCGAGCGTGTTTATAACGCGTGGTCGCTGAAGCGCGGCTCTCGAGGCTCTCCCGACCTCTACGCTTCCGGCACCCAGGTCGCGTCTGCTCTCGTCGACCTCCAAGGCACCCTCCCCTTCGCCTTGCTTCTCGATGGCTCTCAAGCGTGCTGCCCAGCTCGGTCTCGTGTTCCTCGGCGCCATCGGCGCGCGCACCGCGGCGCTTCCGTCTCCGCTTGCCAACCGGGCGAACTCCATCGCTGCGCTGACGGACAGCCAGGTCGCCGTGTTCAAGCCGTATTCGTACTACGCCACGACGGGCTACTGCATGCCGAACACGACCATCACGTGGAGCTGCGGCAAGAATTGCGACGCGAACCCGGACTTCAAGCCGGTCGCCTCTGGGGGTAATGGCAAGAGCGTACAACGATGTGAGTGCCCCTGGTCCGTAATCTCACTCTGATTGGTCTGATGCGATGACAGGGTATGTCGGGTATGATCCGCACTCGAAGGAGGTCATCGTAAGCCACCAAGGAACCGATCCCAGCCAGTTGTGAGTGAGGCGTCACCGAGATGGAGCAGTTTAATGATTGGGATTTTCGTTCCATTATCAGCGAGCAAATCCTCGTCGATGCGGATATCGGCTTCCAGAACTTGAACAGCACCTTGTTCCCGGGCGTCAGTAAAGACGTGATGACCCACAGCGGCTTTTCTGACGCGCAGGAGAAGTGAGCGTCCCGCCATGCCTACCGCACACCCCGTCTGATCCAATCTGTCTCCCCTAGGGCCGCCACGGAGATCCTGGCTGCGGTAAAGAAAACCATGAGCATGTATGGAACGAACAAGGTGGTGGCGACAGGCCACTCCCTCGGTATGTATCGTCCTTCGTCTCGACGTTCCCTTGCTCATTTGCTCATTCACCACGATGCAGGTGCCGCCATTAGTCTTCTCGACGCGGTATACTTCCACATCAACCTCCCCCAGGCCTCGGTGCGCTTCATCGGCTACGGTGTCCCGCGCGTGGGGAACGACCACTGGGCAGATTACGTCGACGCGGCCGGCTTCCCGGTGACGCACGTGAACAACAAGCAGGACATCGTCCCGACCCTCCCATACGTGTTCCTCGGCTTCCACCATCCCTCGGGCGAGATCCACATTGTGGACCCCGAATCCTGGCTGTCTTGCCCAGGTGTGTAGCTGGTCATCATACTAAAATAGTCATGACCGTACGCTCAATGTTCTCCTCTCTTCAGGGCAAGACAATAACGACAAGCTATGCTCGAAGGGCGCAGTGCCGAACCTCTTCGTCGGAGTCGCAGACGACCACGCAGGACCTTACGACGGTGTCACGATGGGTCAAGACACCTGTGACGACTAAGTCAATATCTTGATGTCAGTGTGCAGTAGGCTGTACGTATGGGCGAGAGCACACCGAATGTATTCTTGCTTCACGTCACATGAGATCCCTTTCGGGCATAGTTGGGAATCGATATATGAGATTCTCACCCCCTGGCTTCTTTCCTCATCATCTACCCCGTCTACCGCTTGGAGTTCCCTGCAGCGATGTCGATGAATCCCGAAATGGAGGTCGCAGCGGATCTCATCGTTCCCCTCGACCCCAACATCCTATGTATTTCAGATGAAGAGAAGGATTTCCTACTGAAAGCTGTCCATCCAGACTGTGATGTTATTCGAGCCCGCATCTTCGAGGTTCAGAAAGAGTGAGTGGATCCCTTCATTGATTCGATCACGGCGCGGAAGTTGACAAGCTCGCCACCGGTCACAGAGCCTAGTAAAGCAACTTTTCAAATACTATGTGGTTCTCTTTTGTGCTGATCAAGGGCTAGCGAGAAGTATCCGTACCCATGCATACGGGCCTTCCATTTCGCCAATCTCATGATGCGAAAGAACGCGATCTACCCTTCCGTAGTTGAGGCGGGCAGGAAAGGCGATACTCTCCTGCTTGATTTAGGGTGCTGCAGTACGTGGATCTCCTGTCAACAATGAAGCTCTTCTCACACGATCCTTCAGTGGGAACGGACGTGCGCAAGCTCGTTCTGGATGGATACCCAGCGACAAACGTGCTCGGGTGCGACCTCCGGCCCGAGTTCATCCAGTTGAGCCACAAGTTCTTCTCCGACTCCCCCGTCACCTGCAAGATCCGCTTCTTCGCGGACAACGCCTTCGACCTTCCGCTCGGGACCACCGAATCAGAGCCACCGACCGAGGTGCCGACCGAGGTGACCAGCCTCTCCCAGCTCCAGGGCGCCCTGACGCACGTCTACACCGGCGCGTTGTTCCACCTGTTCAACGAGGAGAATCAGTACGCGCTGGCGCTGCGCGTCGCGTCGCTGCTCAAACGCGTGCCCGGTGCGGTTGTCTTTGGGCGACACCAGGGCCTGGAGAACGCAGGGACGATCGACGACCACCTCGGAAGGTATGTGCGCACGCACGCGGGTTTTCTCCGAGTCCGACGGTGACTTCGACCAGGGTCTCGATACCGGGACTCACGGCCAGATATCTCGGCGCTGACCCTAATGTGTCCCAGAGACCGATACGGGCACTCGGAGGCGTCTTGGACCGACATGTGGAAGAGGGTGTTTACGAAGCTCGAGTGCGATACCTTCGCAACGGAGCGCGTGGTGGTCCAGGCGCGCCTCACGGAGGGATTCCAGAGGAACATCTTTCAGTCTCATAGAACCCATCGCATGTTGTACTGGAGCGTGTGTATTGTCTGACGGCAGAACAGTCGTTGATGAGAGGCAATACAATATCCAGTAATATCTAGTTATGCACTTACAACCCGCGACCCGTACACAGCCGTCTCCCGACGCTGCCTGTGCGCACATTGTATCCTTCGTCAGAAGGTTGACCTCGGAGAGATGAGTCGACGACACCTCGCCGGACCTGGTTCCGCATCGCGTGGACGAGCCACGTCTTACATTGCGCCTTTGATCATCCTAGGATGCACCCGCGATGTTCTCCCATTCGCTGCCGCGCCGCCATGCCCATCTGCGTGCTGCAGCCATAGTCCTTCTGACACACGCAGCCAACCCTCTACTATGACCTTCGCTCATCATTTGTGCTCGCTCTCGCCTGCTCTCGCGCGTTGCCGTCTTGCTCTCATCCAAATGCGGGGGCACATGGCAACCAAGTGGATCTGATCATCCGCGTGGATGCATCGAGTCTCGATAACCTACATGGTCGTCCCGATCACAAGGAACTAGGCTCCTTCCCTCGCCGCCTCCCATGCCCCGTTGTTCCGCTTCGCCGCTTCGATCAGCGTCTTCATCTCCTCCGCGCTCGCGTTGTCGAGGATCCACGCCGGCAGCAGATTGTCAGATGCCCACCGGACCATCGCGTGCACATGCCACGGCGCGAGCACCCTGCTCCCGTCCTGCGCGCCCGACAGCCGGACGAGGTTCCGCGCGAGGCTGTTTCGGTGCGGGGTGACCAGGCTGACCGGCATCGGCGTGAGGTGGCTCTCGCAGTGGACCCCGCCGACGGCGAGGTACGCGAAGCGAACCCCAGTTGGCGCGCCGTCCTCCTTGGAAAAGTATAGCTCGTCGTTGTCGAGCCCACGGGCGAGGGCGCGGAGGTAGCCCTTCGAGGCGGCGTAGATCGGCAGGCGGGCGGGGGCGATGTCGGCGGTGATCGAGCCAGTGAACTGGACGAGGACGGGGCCGCCGGCGGACGCGGCGCGGCGGAGGGTGGGAAGGAGGACGCGGATGAGGTGGGTCGCGAAGAGGGCATTGCGATTGGTAACCTCGATAATGTACTCTTGAGGGCGTTCGTCGAGCCTGGTAGCAAGTGTAAGTGGTGGGCATACAACTGGAGCTTGGGAGCCGAGGGTGATAGAAGGGATGGATAGGGGTATATCCGCAAGGGTGGAGATGTATGCTTGAAGGACGAAGATATATGCGGGAAAGGCGGAGGTGGAGACCGAACACACAGACATGGGGGCTTACCTCTCGGAAGTGGTGTCTGAATTCCCCACGTTATGCAACACCCAGGTGATATGTAGGTCTTTGAAAGGCGCAATCATCGTTTCAAAGTTGAGGTCGCTCTTAGACGCGTCCGCGAGGAAGTACTTGATGTCCAGGTCCTTGGCCGAGGGAACTTCCTGGCGCAGACGAGCAACGGCCTTCTCCATACGAACCTCGCTTCGACCGTGAATGATGATGTTGAAGCCACTTTTGAGGAGCTCGGCTGCAACAGAGCTGCCTATGCCGTCGGTGGCTCCAGTCACGAGGGCGTAGGGGCGCTCGCCATGGAGGTAGCGTTTGATGGAGCTCGGGCGGAGGTAGTAGGTCCAGACGAAGCGGGTGAGTCCGTACACTTTCGGGATGAGAAGGGCGACACCAATAGCAGCGAAGACGTCGACAGCAATGAAGTTGGACATGGTTCTTGCGCCGTGGTCGTAGGGATCCGTGAGGTTTATATTTCAGAGGCAGGCATGGGAATGCGCCCAAGAACCGTGAGATGAGAAGCTGTTATGAAGGCGGAAGGTGGAGAAGTGAGCCGGAGTCTGGAGACTGGCCAGAGTCTCATCAGTCTGAGAGAGCGCGACGCGTGGGCACGTGCCTCTATAGTGCGCGGATTAGCTACGCTTCGTTTTTGGTTTTGTGCCCGCGCGCTTTGCCCACTCGCCCGGGCCGTATTGTTCCGGCTCCCATTGTCTCGTCCGGCGGTTGCAGACAACGTGCAATCTCTTCCTCCCGTCGCCCGATAGCACTGTGACGCCGACCAGCCTTCGAGCATGTGTTGGGTATGATGCATGAGCTGTGGGGAACCAGAGTATGGCCTCCACAAAGTGCACCACGACGATAACGAACGCGCAGCGGTGTGCTGTGCCACTGCGCATGCTCGCAGTGTGCACAGCGCCGTCCCTATCCCCGTTACCTGGGGCAGGGACTCGTTGGGGGCGTTGTTTGTGGTTGCAAAATGGCTCGCGGCCGTGCAAGTCGCGCGTGATCGATGGTGCGTGTATACTACATGACGTGATCTGCCGCCTGCCTCCTCCCTCCGCACGTTGCATCTTCCTCCACTGCAGTCTAAGAACCCTCTCCCTTGTCCCGCGGTGAAGTTTTCACCCACGCACGCGTGCGCACCACCATCTTGAGCCCCTCACACCCGCCGGCAACACGCCCCCGGATCAGGGCAGTGTGGCATCCACGACACTCATCATGAGCACAAGCGCGGACCTCGATCAAGTGCGCTCACTTCGGGGTTCTACTCAAGTGCTGCAGCACCGTAAGCCAGTGCGACCCTGACACGGTGATGCCGTCACTGCCCTCGTCGGAGATGTCCTCCATTTAGATATACATGGCAGGTGCTGTGTCCACGGGGCCGTGCTAGGCGCGTATTGTCCGACGGTATGGACGCATTTCTCGAGCAGCATGAGTGCAATAGGCTCTGTGATGCTCTGGGTCTCAACCTTCTACCGTGTTCGCATTTTTTATCCCCGCTTACCCCTGCTCCTCGTGCTCGCAAGGGTAAGGGTAAGCAGGTGGACCGATGTGCTGACGAGTATTGGCTGGAGCCTGTCGACAACGAGAGAGGTCGTGTGCGCCCGGGACACGGCTCTTCGACTCCGTGGGGGTATGTGCAGGCTCAAGGAACACAGCCCGGCGATTCTTGCTGCACTCGCTGCAGCACCTTCTGGGTCGGAGTTTAGAGCTTGTGTGAGAGGGAGCCATGGCCAATGTCGAGAGGGCGAAGGTGTGGAGAACGGGTGATGCGCGTGGAGGCTTGAAATGATGCACTGACTCACTTTCACACACAATCGTGTCGCGCACACTCTGGAACTACCTCGCATTAACTGCAGTCATACTGAACACACTCTCGCGCGACTTCGCGCTGGTGCGCTGATGCGCACGCTGCGCGCTAGCCATGCGCGCATAGCGCCCATCGTACCAAACCACCGCCGACGCAACCAACTCCAACCGCACTGCCAACGGTCCGCGCAACGCACCAACCGCTCCATAACCGCAACCCGCACCACTATCTCACCGAGCCACCCGCGAGCTGCAGCTGAAAAGATCCCGCGCAACGCGCATCGACATACGCGCTGACCGACATCCCCGCAACCACGCCGCCTCTCTCAAGCCTCTCTCTCTCGCGCGCGCGCCCACAGCCCCGCTGACAGTCAAGCCCACTACGTCCTCGGATATCCCCCACACACACAAGCTCTTCTCGCCTCCCCGCGTTCCATGCTTCGCTTCGGCACTTCCTGTACTCCTCGATGCCCTGCATCTAGATTCTGGTCCGCTGGATCCGTTCCCACTCCCTTCCGTCTCACTTTACATCCCGGCTCCGTCAGTACCTTCTCCATGCTAGAAACCACCTGCCTATGTCTCGTGATCATAGCTTATGAGTCGTGACCACGCGACCATTGCACGGCGTCTACTGTACACTCTCCCATCCTCCTCTCAGCATTTGTTTCGATTATTCTACCACATTTCCTCACCGACATGCCTATTCTGTATGTAGCCTCTCGGACTTCGTTGCTACGCCTCATGCGCCCTCGTCTATATATTATAGCATATTTTGCGCTCTATTGACAGTTTCGACGCCGCCCCATACAGTGTATGCTACTCAGGGCCCAACATCCGACCGTCCACCTCGCCTCAGCCGTTCCGCCATCCTCCCCGTCTTCTCCGCTTGCACCTCTCTTCCTCTCTCCCTTTCACGCGCTCGCCTTATCCCCCCGTGCCGGGCCCCCTTCGCATCCTATTTCGTTCGCCTCCCAGTGTTCGCCTCCCATCAGTGCGCCGTAGGGATGGGCGCGGGAGTAAGGGAGACCGTGGGGTCACACAAAAAGGATTAGTCATCATCTATTGTCTGCGGCCGGCACAGCCGGCACCGGCCCGATGCCGCGTCAGCGCGCGCAAAACCAAAAACGAAGCGTAGCTAATCCGCGCACCTTAGTGCCTCCCACGTGGACTTCGAACTTTGCGCCCGACGAAGCTCGTCCCGTCCTCCGCTCTTTCTCCTTCCCCTTCTCCCTTTCTCTCCCCCTCCCCTCCGCTTCTGCCCCCCTCCAGACTGCCCGTTTCCCTCCTTTTTGTCCGAGCGTAGGCTCGCTCATCCAGAAAACTGAATAACGAAAACTGTCCGTACATTCTCAGTACTGTCGCCGTGTCGCCACTGATCCTCACTCGTCTCAATTTACAGCATCCACGCTCTCTTTCGCCCCCCTCCCCCTCTCCTCCCACCCTCGATGACCGCTCCGACTCAAGTGCTGCCTCCATGGCTCACCCTCTCCAGCACTGTCATCACTATGCCTGACGGTCGTCTAACAACCGCCGCCACAACCATTCAGCTACCTCTCACCTATTACGGGCCGAGTGTGAGTCGTCATCTTCCCCCGCTCATTGGTATCGGAGACAGCGTTTCTCTACCGCTTGTCGACGTGGGGTGCATTTCAGGGTGCATATATGCACTTCTGGCTATGCGTTAGGCGCATATATGCACGGGCTCTTGACTCTTACATGCTTATATCGCTGTTTCGTATCAAGTACAGTTTGCTCATACTCTAATCTAGATACCACTAGGCACCGACGGTGTCTGGGTCTACGGCGGGCTGACCTCTCCCCCTCCTTCCTCTGCGACACCTACCTCCACCTCCGTCTCCGCCATCACATCATCCTCCGCTACCCTTCCCACCACATCCACATCCATCATCTCATCGTCGGCTGCAACAAGTACGACCACTCCCCCGTCAACCACGGCTTCGAGCTCCTCTACTTCAACCGTCCCCACCGCTGTCGCCGGATCCTCCCGTATCTCTCCGACTATTTTGGGTGCCATCCTTGGCAGTGTCCTTGGGACGTTACTACTGCTGGTCCTCCTTGTCATCATTTATCTCCTATGTCGTACCCGACGCCGCGAACCCTCAAGCACCCAGCAGTCATCAAGCTTCTGGAATCGGTCGACCACTTTGATGTCACTGCGCAGGCGGAAGAGCTCAGCAACACTTCCGATCTGGACCGGCTGGGAGATAGTGCGTCCGGGGGATAGACCCGTTGGCGGTGGGAGCGAGCCTGGTACCCCTGGCGAAGGTTCCCCTCGTGGTAGTGGCGACGAGGTCGATCCTTTCCTCACCCGACGCAGCATCCACAGCGGCACGGAAGAGATGGGCCAGACTCGCACCGATACCGACACCCTCGTCAGTCTCCCTGCTATCGCCCGTGCCGGGTCCATGTCGGGCCATCATTCAACAACCAAGGCTGGTAACTACATCATCCCACGCGACGTCCAGATGCGCATTGCGGACGAAGAAGCCGGCGAGTTCCCGTCATACGCTAGCGTGCGAATGGTCGAGCGACGGGCCCCCCATGATTACCAGTTGCCCCTTCTGCCACCTCCGCCCCGCGAAAGCGGCCGGCCGTCGTCTCACCCGTCGTACACATCGGAGAAGTCCAAAGCTGCGCGGTCCGTTATTTCAGAGAGGTCGGGCGTCAGCAACGTTACAGACGGCCAAGAACCTGAAGCCGAGGTGCTCACTGCGTGCCGAGTTCACGTCGGTCAAGTACAGCCCTTCGCAATTCCTGGCCCCAGCTCGAGCTCAACAGGTGGCGTTCTTGGACTCAACCGAATAGGAAGCATTACACGAACAGCGTGGTTCCGAAGGATGCCTTTCCTTGGGCCTCATGACGGTGCGCAGCCTGTTCCAACCAGCGAAGAAGCCGCCGACGGCTACACCCGTACCCCTCCCCGCCACTCGCGTGCCCACTCTCGGTCTCAGCCTGGATCCCCATCACGTCCCAGTTCCTACGCCGCTGTTCGCATGTCTGGCTACGAGTCAGGTCCGGACAGCTTTGGACGGCGAGTACGCGGAGAGTCCGGGCTAGGGTTTGCACTGGTGGGTGAGCGGCCCATCTCATCCGTGAGTGCTCAAAGTGCGGCCAGTGGTGGCACCCTCTTCTATGACGCCAGCTCCCGCCCAGGGAGCTCGATGGGAACGCGCTCCACTCAAGGAGGTCCCTCATCTGCTGCTGTCCCCCCCGTCCCTGCACTTTCCCCAGCGCACCTTCCCCACCCGTCGCCTTTGTCGCAAGAGATCCCCAGGCCTTTGACTTCTCCGGAGCACTTGTACAGCGAAAGCACACCCGACGCGCCGCCGACCTACGATGCTGCCACTTCGCACGTTGACTTTCTCGACATGCCTGTTCCCCGTCCCGCGTCGCCGTTCCGCTCTGTCTCTGGCCCAAGGATGTCACCACCGGGTCTTCCCGACCCGACCGTCTGGCGCAACTCGCACGCAAGCAGCAGCACGCGAACCCCGAACACGGACAACACCTCCAGTGTTCACATTGACGTTCTCGAGGATGCGCCTCCCGTCGCTGATGGTGGTTGGATGATGATGTCTGGTGGGGGGAGGGCGGACGGTCGGCGGTTAACTTTCGGAGTGGTGAGTACTGCGTCGCTCCCCTTCCGTCCTTCCGCTGACGTGGCGTTGAAGCCCATGGTCGTTCAGCCTAGGGATGCCATTCGGTCAGAACAGGGCTCCCTCCACTCTATGCGCTCTCATCTGAGCCCGGTGTCATCTCGTAGTCCATCGGGTTCTGCGGGTGCATCGTTGCGTTCAGGTGGCAGTCACTCCCGCGGGCACACCGGCAGTAGCGGCGCGTCCCTCGTCCACTCCAACTCCATCGGCCACTCGGACCATCGCCCAGGAAGGCTTCGTGCAGATCCTGGTGAAGTTCCCTCCCCTCCGCTGTCCGCCGTCTTCCCTGGGAACGGTTACCCCTCTTCATCGTCCCCACCGATGCACGGTGCGGACGTCCTTGCTCCAGTGGCGTCCGCTCGCCTGGTGGTCCCCACAAGCGCTCCCATGCCCGACGATATGCCGGCGCGCCCCCAGCCGGCGACCATCTCGGGCACGATGACGTCGCGTGCGACCGCGGAGGAGAGCCTCACAGATCTGAGCGTCACGACTTCACAAACAGACCCCATCACTGGTGCAACAGTCCACATTCCCCGTGTGCCGCTGCGCAACGGCACGGAACGAGCTTGGGGTGAGGGACCGTTGCGCGAGGATACCATCTGGTAGTATACCGGTGGTATGCTTTCGTTCTCTCCCTCATCTCGTTTGGACCTTGCTCTGCTGTATTCTCCATCGGACTGTTCTGCCATGCTCATCGCTCTCCTGTGCTCCCTGGATGTCCCGTTAGTGCTTATGGTTTTAGAGCGCCGGCATAGGCCGGTAGACGACCTGGTGCTCCGTTACCTTACGTCCCCTTTGGATATGTGAAATTATTCACTTCCTTCTCCCCCGCCCCGCTTTTTGCTCCGTACATCTCTATCTCTTCGTCGCTCCGCCCTCCACCCTCCTCTCATCGCGTCACCTCTCCCCCGTTGGCGGGCACATTCCCATGTCTATGCTTCCCTTTTCTCACCGCGACCCCCTCCACCTCACCTCGCGCGCTCACGACCACTCTGCGATACCTCCTCTCCTACCTCCTCCCCACCCCGGCCGTGCGCGGCGCTCCGCCTCCCATCGTCTCCTGTGCCATGTATCCATTACTCGACCTACTGCTCGACGTTGCTGTGCTCACGCTTACGACCTGTTATGATCACGACCCGGAACCAAGAATCGATTGTGCTCCGCCTGTGCGTCTTATGAATGACTTGTGTGTCCTCTGGCCGGCGTTGATATTGCAATGTGGACAGATGCAAGCTTATTATCGATTCCGAAAGCGTACGGGCCTACGCGACGGTCGTATATTTCCTCTATCACCATGAACGACATCAAGTCAATCCGCCCAGTGGCGCATGAGCGCAGCAGGATCCTCCTCCGCGTAAAACTCCTCCGCAAGCTGCTCGATGGGCCGCTTCTGCAGGTCTGGGTAGAGCTCGTACACGTCAACGTAGCCCTCGGCCAGCGCGCTCTCCACCGTGCTCTCCTTAAGGTACACGATCGAGCGCATGAACCCCACCCAGGCCCTTTGGACGTACGCCTCGCGGTCCGTCGGGTCCTTCGCGATCCTTGCCTCCGCCTCCGCGGCCCACTTCTCCATGTCTTCCGGCCGGACCTGCAACCGTGCACAGCAGCACTCCCATCAGCCCCGATCCCACGAAAGAAGCCGCAGCCCGACGCACCACGACCCTGCCCGCGGCGAGCTCCTCCGCCGCGCCCGACTTCGCGAGCGCGACCGCCCACACGTCCGCCATTGCCCGCTCGTCGTCGTACGCGACCACCTTCCTGCCGAGCGTGCGCGGGTCCGCGACGATCCGCGCGACGAACGCCCCGACCCGGTGCAGGTCCGTGACGAGCATCTTCGCGTCTTCCTCGAACGTCCGTCGCGAGAGCGCCGCCCAGCGCGGGACGGCCGCCGCCGCGCGCGGCGGCGGCGGGAACGCGGCCTGGGACCACGCCCCGACGTTGACGACCGTGTAGGGCTGCCCGATCGTCTCGAGGTACCGCCAGACGTCCTCTTTCTGCCCGCAGGCGCCGAATCCCGAGTCAGCACCACAAGAGCAGTCTGCAGAGGAGGAGAGGGGGACACACCGCGGGGTGCAGGGGCCCATGCTTGCCGGGAGGGGCGAAGTCGGAGGGCACGACGCGGCGGACGCCGACGGCCTTGGCCGCGCGGAAGAGCTCCTTCTGCTGCGCGACGACGTGCGGGGCGACGGCGCTGATGAGGGTGTCGACCCCGGCGAGGACCGCCTTCAGCCGCTCGAAGTCGTCCGTGAGCTCGCCGACGCGGACCTCGACGCCCGCGGCGCGGAGCGCGTCGACCTCGGGCTTGGAGGCGGACTGGGCGCGGACCATCCCCGCGACACGCTGTGGGGGCGAAGGTTGAGGGTGAGCAGAGATGACGGGGAGGGGGGTAAGGACGGCGTACGAAGATTCCAGAGGCAAGGAGGCCGTCGACGATGCTCTTCCCGGTGTTTCCGGTCGGTGCGACGACGAGGACGAGAGGCTTGTTTTCTGAGGAGGACATGTCTGGGGTAGTATTCGGTTTGTGGAATTGAGTCCGATGTTATTCCTCATGGAGCCGCATGTCTTCTTATACTCGACGTCGTCTTTTCAACGACCTGAAGGAAACGGACGCGTCCTCCCACAAAGCCCGTGATCGGACAACTCCGACGTCGGGGCTCCAGGCTGAGGCCTGAGACGCCGTGCCGGAGCGTATGTATGCGTCCGGCGGGACTATGGATGCAATGCGGCTCCCGAGTCGCAGAATACATAGGCGGCTGTAAACATATTGCCAATGGTACTGCGCGCAAGTGGGCTTCCATCAGGAAAAAATGACCTGTCTCGGGAGTGCTCCCGAGGCTCGAGAGCAGTTCGAGCACGCTGGCGTGACAAGTCCCCCTCTCTGGAGGCACAGCGCCTCGCGGGCACTCGGGAGACACAGCCGCCTGCTCGGCGAGCACTCCGGAGCAGCGTCGAGTTTCGTCTCGGAGAATGCGGTCCTGCTGGAGAGCTGGGGCGCGGAGCCGAGCGTGGAGAGTTGTCAGTGGGCACCGTATGTGCGCAGCAGAAGAGGAAATACTCACAACAAAATGGGCAGTATGGTGCGCAGGGCAAACCACAAGCACCAGCATCGAAAGACGGGGCTCCAGAAGAGCCGGGTGGAGGTGGAGTGACGGAGAGCTTGACGATTTTGCAACACACATGAAAATTGTCAGGTCTGGACCTACTGCTTATAAAAGCCTTGACGTACCATCGTCCCTATCCAAACATTCCCCACACAGTGGGCTTCGAGAGCAGTGGTACACCGCGCGCGTACGACTGTAAAGCCATTGCCAGACAGTAGATACAATGAGATCCGGCAGACGGCGCACGGATGGGAAAGGACACACCGTATTCAAGCGCCTCCTGCGTGGTGAGCATTCGCGCGGTGAAGATGAGGTCCTTGGCCTTCGCAAGACCCAGGAGGCGCGTGAGCCGCTGCGTCCCGCCCGCGCCAGGGACGATCCCGAGCCTGACCTCGGGCGGCCCAATCCTCGTCACGGCGTGTCCTAGGGCGTGGACGGATGAGCGACGAGTCTCACCTTAGGAATCGAATCGCAATTCTGGTTTCAAACCGGAGTTAATCGCAATGTCACCGAGAACACATGTTCTGAGTGGACTCTGCCCGCTTCAGCGAGGCTTGAAGTGTGAAAGCGGTCACAACAAAAGGAGGGCAGCCTTGGTTCAGTTGAACGCGGCGGCGGGGGCCAGACGGGTTGGACGTCGTGCGCGGTTGTCGTGTCAAGGAGTGTGCCGTGGGCGACGCAAAGGGGCGATACCCCGGTCAGCATGGGGGCAGCCCGGTGAGGACTGTTTCAACCAGTGTATGAAAGACAAATGGAGTCTACAACTCACGGAGAGGCAAGTGCAGTGTTTCTTTTTTTCGCCGACTCGTCAGGGCAACTGATGATGTTTCAGGCGTAACAGAGCATCAATGAGGGTCGGGAGACCATGAGTGGCGTTGGGCTTGACCGTCGTACATGACCTCGCGGCATAGGCTCCAACTCTGGTTGTTGCGAGCGAAGCGAGCAATTTGCAAGTGTGTTGTGAGCGAGGAGCAAAACAAGTACAAATTCCGAAGCGGTACAGCGTCTATCCTCGGAATCGTCAGTCTTGCATCCCCACCTCCAAGTCCATACAAAACGCTCCCTGCCACTGCCAGTAAAGTGATATTCTTACACTGTGCGGCTTCAAAGAACGTTGGAACAAATCCAGTCCACCTCTGCTGTCGTGCCCGGTGGCCGTCACCGCCCGCGTATCAGGCATTAGACTTGTTTGGCACCCGTCACAAAGTCCACCTTGATGAACACGGGCTCAAGGCTCGGTATCTGCGAGTGAAGAGGAGATCAGCGGAGCACGTGGGTGCGGAAGACGAAGACGAAGATGCAGACTTTAGGGACATTCCAGACGTCCATCGAGGTGTCCTCCTCCGTGCTGAACAACTGCCAACTCGCGCAGAGAGCCTGATCCGGAATCTCTACGTCTTGGATGTCATCCTGCCGAGCGTTGAGCCTAGAATGCCGGAAATATCAGTGGATCAATATATAGTACGACACGCTCTGGCGCACATGCTCAGCACACAGATCGCGTACACTGTGCCCACACGACGACGTTAGCTCGAGAGTTCGAAGATGAGGGCACCGACGCTCACCTCTGGCTGTTACAACACTCAACGCAATGTATGATAAGCCATTATTTTCGGAAACCGCCTATTTACCGCAGTTGGTGAGGTATCGTCATATGTGAGATGCGTAACATCCTCACAAAACCAAGGGTAAGCACGTTGAAGAAGCTGATGTGCGCATATTTAATAGTGGAGCTAATCATATGGAGTAGTGTCGAAGTACCTGGTGAGAAGACCTGTCCACGAAACGAATTAATATGCGTGATGCCCCCCTTTGAACAAGAAGTTCGCTGGTGCGTCGGAAGCCCATACCTGTGTCGACCACGAACACTTGGAATCGGTCAATCAGAGGCTCTGAGGAGCTGCTACGACGGGAAGGTCAGCAAGGCCCGGATGGAATCGCCGTCATGCATCGACATACCGTATGTTGCGCCCCTCCCGAGCGCGTTTGACGGCCATTAGCATTGTGACTGACAACAGCGCTTCTCCCAGAGTAGCCAAGAGCAAAGCGGGGACGATTGTATTCTGCGAATGATATTCAGTGTCTGACATGGCGCACAGTGTGACGAAGACGTGCCGTAACGATCTGACGTTCATCGAACAAGAACCTAGGTCGTGGTCGGTTGGGATCACCATGCAAGTGATTGGAACAAGATCGCTTACGCCACTGAAGTCCCCACTATTCATCAGAGCGTTCCTGAGCCAATCGGTATGTTTATGCGCATGCCGTGACGACTCACCGATCGCGATTGCTACAGGAACCATTTCATGTGCAATCACGTCAGTGGAGTAAGGCAAGTACATTAAAGTCATACCTGTCTCTGTGGTGAGAAGGACGATCTAGTAAGGTGCGCATTAACTCAAGGGTGATATCGCGCTTCAGCGACGAGACTCACTGCCACGCAGACAATTATGCGCTGCTTCGGACCGACTGTCAAGTCTAGCGTAGGCTTAGGCAAAACCGTGATGGACTCTCTGAGACGTACGTAGAGACACCCGTCGAGCCAGTGTCCTGCAGAACGTCAGCGTCGCAACCTGAGCGCAGTGAACGAGTACCTACAACTGGGATACCAGCGCGATAATTCCCTGCATGTCGCATGAAGAACCAGTCTGAGAAAGGGCAGACGAAATGCTCACCACAGACGCGGGAAAGATCTACAGGAAATAGTTCACTGATCAGCATAACTCCCTCTCTCAGAAGCTTGGACGTACATCGATCGCACTGAGAGCAGGACTTCATTCAATGGAAATCACGGGAGAGTAGAACCGGTCACTCACAAAGTCCCCGAACGTTGTGATTGAATATTGCCGTAGTTGCGAATGAGGTAGAACCACCTAACAAAGTATGACGACCAGTGCTTCTTAGAAAGACCCCCGACGTACACGATGTATATTGTGAAGATAGCATGCAAGGTTTCCAGAGCACTGAGCCGAGCGAATGATGAAGCAGTGGGCTGAGAAGCGCAAGAGCGACTCACATCATGACGATGACCTGCGGACGCTCAACAACGCTTCATCGGGGTCGGGGAGCGAGTGAAACACTCACCAGCATCTTGACGACGCGACTGTCCTTGGGAAACGAACGCGCATAGCTGTATCCTTGCTGTAACGTGGATCCGTATAATCTGAAAGGCGTCGGAAGTCGGTTCCGTGCTATAGCGGAGATATTGACGCACAGAATGCCAACAAAAGCGCCAACAAGAAACACGGTCGACGGAGGAGGCACCTGGCCAGAGGGAAGAAGGTCTGAAGAGGGATCAAAGGCCATGAGAGCAATACCTCGCTCGATAGCACACTGGGGGTGCCTTAAATACATCGAGCGCGAATAGAAGCACCTGGTTGTCAGATGGTAGTTCACGTTGAGATGGATGAACAAAAGTGCTTCCTCCCCTGCTCGAGAGAATCCTGAGACCGAGTAAGCAGCGTCTTAGGCGGAAGATCACCGCGCCCGTTTCAACGTACCATTCAATACTGTGAACGCGGGTATGCTAGACGGTTGCACGTTTCAAGATGTTCACAACATGCCATAGGGAAATGAAGACAGGCTGAGCACCGCCCACGCTACGCGCCCATCTTCACTGCGCGTTCTCCGCCAAGCCGCGCATCTTGATGACGACTGCCGGCGGCTGATAGTAGCAACTCGAGTGGCGATTGCGCCAAAGAACCGTCCTTCTCCTACACAGTATGATAGGAGTCCGGGGACCTCGTTGGGACGTGATCATGAGCCGACTGGACGCGATCATGTATGGAGCATGTCTCACCTCAACCGTCAAACGGGAACTCGGACGAAACATTGACAAGGCCAGAGGCACCACCGGAAGAAACTGAATACAGCTAAGCAACCCTCACCAGCCAGTGGTATCACCAGCCAGTGGTATCGCCTAAAAATACAGGTATCAATATGAGTCGCCCTCAGCGTCCGCTCTTGGCAGCGCTTCAGGGACGAGTGCGGGGTATCACAAAGGTAACGAAAGAAGGTTCAGGCGATATGCACGACTTTGTCAGCCATCGACCCGCGGTTCCGGTCAGTGTCGGTCACCATTTTGGCCTCGACGAATTCGAATTCGGGCTCTAGATTTGGGAGCTGCGAATCGAAAGCACATCAGGAAGAGACTTCCGTGGGGGAGTAAGTTGGCGCTTGCCTTGGGGACGTTCCAGATCTCTTTTTCGGCGTCTAGCGGGGCGTTCGAGAGGATGAGCGGACGTGGGTCCATGAAGATCTCCATGCCCGCCAGCTTGATCTCGCGGCTATTCAACCTGTGCCAATGGCGCGTCAAAACAGCCCGCTTAGGATGGAGCACAGATACGCACATCGCTAGGACGCAATTGGCGTACACTGTGCAAGTCGGTTGATGTTAGAACATGGTGATTGACCGTGGTGAAGCAGGAACGTACGTCGAGTCGTGATGACCGTCATTGCGATGTAAGCGAGACTGTTGGGGGCCGCTGCCGCCTGTAAACATCAAATAAGCTCGCGCGCCATACGGCCGAACGACGCAACTTACCAGGATGAAGGTGAGGAAGTTGAAGAAACTAACAGTCACTCATCAGCACATGAATCACAATGACACGTCGTGGCAATGTACCAGGTGATAGCACCTAAGAAAGCACGATGAGCCAGTAACACGGAAAAGATAGCAGTATGGGTCTAACCAGTGTTGATGATGTACATCTGCCACTTGTCTAGCGGCGACTCCTGCGACCTAAACATACCATCCATCGCTTAAGCAGGTGTCCGCGAGGGAGTATGGGATGACGTACCCATCTCGGTTGGCACGGACTTTCCTAAATGCCATGACCAAGGTCACCGACAACATCGCCTCTCCGACGAACGCTAGGATCAGGCCGAGCACAGTGATGCTCTATGACGATACGTGAGTGTTCATTCCGTTTCACCACTGGACAACACTCACTGCTACCACTGTGCGTTTGTCGAAAACGAAACTGGATGCCCATCATTACACCATCTCCAAACAATGGAGAAAGTGGCTTACGCTATGACAGTACCGACTAGGGACGCCGTGATTAGATTAGGCGTGACGTGAACGAAAGTGTGAATGACTCACTGCTCGCGAGTGCTGAGAACGGAGCAGATGCTCGACGTCAACGCTGTACAGTCACAGAGAACGGCAGATCCATACCTGTCTCGGCAGCGAGGATAATGATCTACAACAACGCGCGTTAGCCGCGAGATAAGCGACGATATGAGCATGAACTAGCGCACGGCAATGATCACGATGATGCGCTGTGGGATGCCAACTGCGAGACATGATTAGACTGCGCTCAATGGCAGCAGAACAAGGTGACGTACTCAAAGAAACACGTCGAGCCAGGATTCTGACATACATCAGCGACAAGAACATCCCAGCAGTGTGAGCACGCTCACAATTGTGATGTGAGCGCGATGACCCCCTGCGAATGCGTAAGAAAATATTCCAAAAGTGTCAGCGGTAATGTGCTCACCGAAATCACAGACAGAACCTACGGCAAAAGAAAGTTAGGAAAAGGAGCTTTAGAATTACATCGAGCGAGACTCACGTTAAGCGACCTAGAACAGCGTCAGCGAAACCCCGATATCGACATTTAGCTGCACTTCACTTACCACACTCCATGCAACAGAGACTCCGGACGGAAGTAGTTTTCGATGAGGTAGAAGTAGCTGTAAAGCCATTAGCACAAGGAGGTATCCACGGCACGACGATACGTACATGGAATGCACCGTCAGGATGGCATGGAAAGTCTCGAGCAGTCTGAGATGGGGTGAGACATGAATGACGGAATGCCACGTTCGTCATGGGACTCACATCACGAGAAGGACCTGGCAACGGAGCAGCGCATTCAACAATCGATGCCGCACAGCACTCGGCAGATGCTCACCAGTAGCTTGATGGAGATCAAGTCTTTAGGGAACGAACGGGCGTACTTGTACGTCTGGTGGAGACTTGAGCCATACAGCCTATGACGCAATCCGAGAACGATGAGCGCGATAGCCAAGACGCGAAGGGTCTTACAGTGGACTCACAAAATGCCGAAGAAAGCCGCCACGAGGAAGACTGTCAAAGCCGTCGGCGGCGGGAACAAGGAGGGCGCGGGGCCCGAGGGAGGAAGAGAAGGGGATAAGGAAGAGCCCGTCGACATGGGGGTGGTACCTGAGGACCCAAGCCGGGCGGGGAGGCGTCGTTATATGTGTCGGCGGGAGCGGGGAAGGCTCTTTGCGTGAGGGCGAGCAGTCGAGCCCCGCCGCGGTCAGAGCTGTCAGATGGAAGAAGACTGCCGCCCCCACCAGCAGATCAGTGTCTCGAGCCTCCGCCGACTCTTGACACCACATGTCGACAACGCGGCAACTATTACGCTTTCGCGGAGGACGCTGGCCGTTCTCCGCCCGTCCGCGGAACAAGGGCGCAAATTGGGGGGCGGAGAAGCGCGTCGTCGCCATGTTACGATGCCCTTACTTACCTGAGCCTCTGGGGGACCAAAATACATACTTGGCCGTGTCTTGCAAGTCTGGCGCCAGCATTGAGCGTGTGAGAAGAAGTGATTGATGAGCGAGATGATGCATTGACCTTCATATCGCTCGGCGGTGCAGCAGGCGCGCTGGTATCTGTAAGATCCACGCGCAAGGACTGATAGATGTCGGCGGGGTGGAACAATGTGCAGAAGCCCGCCTGGATAGAGAGAAAGCTTGAGTTACCTTACTCCCCCGCACAGTCGCGGCCGCCATGTCCGTCCGGGCGGGTGGCAATCGCGTGTGAAGATCTCAAATGAGTGCCGGCGGAGGCGGCTGCGAAGCTGATGGTCTCCGTGCGGGAAATGAAGACCGAAACGACCGAGCCACGCTGTCGGGAAACAGCCTCGCACTCCGCCATGTCCCTATAAAGGACTGATTGGCTGCCATCCTACGCCAAACATGTTGAGCAAATTCCGCGACAGGGAAGTCGATGATGGATTAAGTATGGGCAAGGAAACTGCGATAACCACTCCAAGATTCGGTCCGGAAAAGCTGGTCCAGAGGCAAGAACAAGGCGAGAAGTAAGAGCAAGAGGCGGCATGAGCGAACAGATTCGCAGATGCGACGCGTACGCGTCGTGCCACGTGCCGTCATCACGTGCACAATTTCGGTGAACGCCGGGATCATCCTCAAGTCTGATCTGCTCTGATGGCGGCGCGTTCAAACATTCCGTCCTCCTTCCACGATCTGCTTTCCAGGCACGCGCGAACCTGCGATAAAACACAGCTCACCTTGCCTGGCCTCCTTCTGCAATGCATGTTTTACTGGAGTCAAGTGGCACCACCAGAGAGGTACCAAGTGCGCCGGGCGTTCGTTGGACGCTAGGAGAAAGGTAGTACGAAACAGAAAAACGAGAGCACCGCCGAGCGCCAGGTACTCGGCGGTCTTCTCGTCTTTCTGACCGGACAACTTTCGCACTACCCCTCTCTTAGCGTCCAACTAATACCCGGCACAGTGCACACTAGGACCCCCGACATTCCACCCAGATGCCTGATACCAATTTTCGAAAAAGCGCCAAAAATGTCCTCGGGGATCAGGCCTCCCGGCGACCCTGTCTTGGTCGGATCGCTGCAGGCCTCGGCCGTCCGGAGCCTGTTTTGGTCGGATTTTCGGAACAGGCCTTCGGAGGGCCTTGAAATGTCCGGATTCCGCTTGAACAGGCCTCCCGAAGGCGAATTTTTGCTCCAGAGATGTCAATACCTCTCAGATCGTGTAGAAGTGACATCTAGGATTCGTAGCAACTTGTAAATACAGGAGGTCGTCGGCAAGAATGCATGGGGACATAGACATGGAGCGACTGAAGCATTAGCGCCGGTGCCATCCACCTCAGCACCACCCTCCAAGCCATCTTCATCATTGCCTGCCTTGTGACGCTTCTCCATGAGGGACTTGACAACAGAAATGAGGGAACTGTGCTTGGGCGGGGAAGTGTCAATCCAGAGGGCGGGCACCGTGTACGGTTTCTGGCTCCCTCCAACGTTCAATGTGGTGACGCGGGCCGATGAGATGGAGAACGAGTGCGGCCTCGCGAAGCCCGGCATAGCCGTCGGCGACGAGGCACGCGGCCATGTTGGCCACGGTGTGCATGAAGTGTGCGCAGGCTACTATATGCTAGGGGCACAACACCTCCCAGGGTCCGCGGGCTTGCCGCATGTGTCGTCGTTCTCGTCCCCATTGTCGGGCCTGTCTGCCGCCTCCAGCGCGAGTCCGACCACCAGCTGCGCCAAGGTTCCCCCGTGTAAGCCTTGACCGCAATTTTGAGTGTGCGCATCGTGCTCTGCACCCCATCCAGCTTGATAGAGTCTAGACTCATCACTAGTAGTAGCAGCATCCTCGCTTTGTGCCTACACAGAGACCACAGCGCGGGTGAAACTCTGTGGTGCATGGGGAACTAGAGGAGGGGGCAACAGCATGACCAAACCACAAACGACGTACATCTTGAAGCTATCACCTCAGCTGCGCGCACTCCGCGTGCAGTTGCACGTTCTCCGCCTTGAGCACGTCGTTGCTCCCATTGAGGGAGCGCCAGAGCGCCCGTCTCCGGGGCGCGTTTCGGTGCGGTCCGGGACCGCCCGCCGTCCGTTGAGGAACAGGCCTTCCGGGAGCCCCCGCCCGGCTGGTCGGACGATGGGCTCAGGCATCGGCCGGTCAACGCCTGTGAAAATGTCCGAAAAGGCGTAAGCGCCTACAGGCATTGACCCCACAAAATCGCCATAAATGTCCGAATTTGCATCAGGCATCTGGGTGAAATGTCGGGGGTCCTTGCACACTACGGTCACTGGCCTGGCTATACCATGCAGGCTCCCTTCCGCCCCACGCGTTCCTTATTGTTGGCTCTCACATTCGCGCCCTAGGCACACCATCGCACTTGCTTAAAGTCTGCGCGCCCATGGACCGTTGTCTCCAGTTCGCTCGCCATCGCCGTCCTCGGTAGGCCGAACACGTCCCCCACCCCGTCCCATCGACATCGACTCCAGGGTTTTCACACCCGCGCCTCTCCTTACCCGTCGCTCGCTCAGCATTCACCATGGTTTTCTCTCGGTCCGCGACGCTGCTCTTCGCTCTCGCCGGCTTGGGTGCCCTCCTCCTCTCCCCTGCCGCTGCCGCACCTGCACCGGCGTTCAACACCACCGCCTCTGTCCCCGATCTCATGCGCCGCTCGACGACTGCACTCTCGACGGCGCAGGAATCGGCTTTCCTCCCGTACTCGTACTACGCCGGTGCGGGGTACTGCCAGCCCGCGTCGATCAAGGCGTGGGATTGCGGCGTGAACTGTGCCGCGAACCCTTCGTTCATCCCCTTGGCCACAGGGGGCGACGGGTCGGTGACGCAGTACTGTGAGTTCAACGGGCCTTGTGTACGCGCTGGGCTGGCTGTTGACCCACTCTGAAGGGTATGTCGGGTACGACACCGCACTTCAGGAGGTCATCGTCGCCCACCAGGGCACGTTGACGTCAGCTATGTGAGACCTTCCAAGTTTCTCATACCGTATGTCATGGACTGATCCCGGCATCTAGTCTCCCTCTCCTCGAAGACCTCTTCATCGCGCAGTCGAATCTCGACAGCAGCATCTTCCCTGGCGTCAAAAGCAGCGTGAAGGTCCACTCCGGCTTCAAGAATTCTCATGCCAGGCGCGTCCAGCTCCCGATGTCTCCGTGCGTACTGCTGATCACACTCCCGCAGGTCTGCGCACGATGTTCTCGCCGCGGTTAAGAGCGCGCTCGCAACGTACAAAACGACCAAGGTCGTCGTCACCGGCCACTCCCTTGGTCCGTCCTCTCGTCTTCCCGCGCGCGGGCCCACGAGTAACCCTAACCTCTCTCTTTCCCGCTCTTGCTCCAGGCGCGGCGCTCGGTCTGCTCGACTCGATGATGCTCGTGATGTCGCTCCCGAGCGCGAGCGTGCGTTTCATCGGCTACGCGCTCCCCGGCGTCGGCAACCAGGCGTGGGCGAACGCCGTCGACGCGCAGGCGTCCCGGCTCTCGGTCACACACGTGAACAACAAGAAGGACCTCATCCCGACCCTGCCCGGGCTCTGGCTCGGCTTCCACCAGCCGTCGGGCGAGGTGCATATCCAGAACGACGAGTCGTGGGTCGCGTGTTCCGGTCAGTGCGCGACTTTGCCGTTTGCTTGTCGGATGGAGGACGGGAGCGCTGATGCGGGTTTTTGGGGACAGGCCAGGACAACAAGAACCGCAACTGCATCCTCGGCGCGGTCCCAACCATCTTCAGCGGGGACTTGGACGACCACTATGGGCCGTACGATGGGGTCACCATGCGCACCGAAATGTGCAATTGAGGACCCCCGTCCAAGTGGACCCCCTGTTATTGTGCATCGTTTATGGGTGGCCCTGGAGACCGCCATTGCTTGTCACGCGCTTTTTGTTCGACTACAACAGCGACCTGTTTTGTGTTGTGAAATGGGATCCGGGAGATACTAGCCTTCGTGGGACGCGACGTAGCTCGCTGCGCAATCATAGCAGCGGGGACATTACAACTTGTGCCAGCTTTGGTTTCACGCACCGTCTCGCGTGAGCGTATTAAGTACTAAGTGATGGCGCATGGCCGCATCACCCACACAACTCGAACTTTAACTTCAAACTTTCAGAAGTCTTACAGCTGTTTTCATAACGATAGGCCCTTCGGCTAATCGTCCTCGAATAGGCCGTTTAAAAGTTAAAACCCCGCCCGCTACGCGCGCACGGCCCGATGGCCCCATCACGCTGCCGGCTGCTGCCGGGCAGGCGCTAGAGCCTTGCGCAAGCGTTCTGCGCATGATGCTGATGGGTCGCATGTTTTGTTAAGACTCCGACTCAATTCGCTTATGCGTCTACAAGGGCCCATCGTTATGAAAACAGCTGTAGATGCATGGTTCTTTGGAATAGCGTACTTGGCATTGACTGGTTTCTTCGGCCAATGCAACGGACCACATGGGCGACTTTGCTTCAATAAATGTGAATGCACACTGCCGGAATCGAACTCACACAGTGCCTCAGGCGTGAGCGTCTTTTCTTCTTCCAGTTGGGCGGTACTTAGCGGCTAATAGCGTCTCTTGTTGACTCACGGGCAGGTCAGGCAGCATGTCTAGACGCACCGGTGGTGTGTTAAATAAGCAGTGGACGTGGCGATCATAGCGATACATGGTTGCGCGGACGCGCTAAATCGTGAACGAAAGGGAACAAACACAGTGTACACGCTCAGACCAACGAGGCGACACGGTCCTCCTTGACCTGAATCACCCCCGAACCACCGACAGGGCTCTCCGCGCCCGGCGACGTTGCAAGGTCGAAATACGACACCCGCTTCTCCCCACCCTCTCCCCCGCCGCGCCCACCCTCGTCCCTCTCGCGCAGCCCCCACCGCTCGTCCAGGCTCTTCTTCATCGGCACCTCGCGCATCAGCACGACCGAGAGCAACCCCGCGCCCGCAACAGCAACCATGACCCGCCAGACCGTCTGCGTCGCGCGTGCGAACGCGACGCGCACCTCGGTCCGCAGCGGCTCGTCCAGCGCCGCGACCGTCGGGATCGCGGCGTACGCGAGCGACGCGCCCTCAGGGAGCGAGGCGACGTACGCGGGCGGGAGCGCGCGCTGGAGGCCGTTCTGGAGGATCGTGCCGGCGATCGTGATGCCCCAGCTCTGGAGAGACGCGCGCGCGGGAGTCAGGACGGGTGCATGTGGACCGGGATGGGAGCGGGGAAGAGAGCGGGCGGAGACGCACCTGCGCGAACTGGCGCGTGAAGCTGAAGAACGCGAGCGCGTGCGCGCTGTTCGAGTAGGGCAGCGGCGCGAGGACGGGGAACGTGGTGCAGATCCAGAGGATGCCTGTGGCGATCGCGGCGGGGGTTTGCAGACCGACGTACGCCGCGCGCGGGCTCGTCTCGGTGAGGATGGAGAGCACCCCGAAGCCGACGAGGGCGAGCACCCATCCGATGATGTTCAGAGGAAGATACCGCTTCGTTACTTGTACAGTCACAGCGGTAAACATCGCGGCGATGGGGATTAAGGCGACGATAGGGAGCATGTCTATCCCGGAGGTCAGCGCGGACGCGCCTTGGGTTGCTTGGAGGTAAATGGGCGTATAATCTAGGAACTGACGTCAAGGCACGTATGTTAGACGGAATACAGGTGAGGCTTACAGATGAGTGCAATGACGACAATTCCATGGAAGAATGTTCCAAGATACCCGCTCAGGGTAGTTCTGCTAGTATACAGGAAACTAGGTGCCTGGTACGCCGTCAGCGTGGAATGTTACACCCAGGAGAGAGAGAGGACATACCGTGGGACGCGGTATCCACAGCGCTTCTATGACAAAGAACAAGACAATCCCCACAGCTCCTATTGTCAGTGGCGCGAGAACCTGGGCAGAAGACCAGGAGAATTGCACGCCGCCCCAGGTCATGCCAATGAGAAAAGAGACCGTGCTTCCGACCACGAGCGTGAGACCTCTGGGAACGGCGGTAAGCGCATACGTCACTCGGCCGAGAAGCACGTCCGACGCACATCAGGTCCATCTCCTTGATCTTTTCTGCGAGGGTGGTGGTGGGATTCCGCACGCGCAGGAAGGCGGTGCTCAGAGTGAAGGAGATGCCGCACAGTGGCAGGTTGATGTAGAAGAGCCACCTCCAGTTCCCGCCCCTCGCGAGACCGCCTCCGATAATGGGCCCGGCCGAGCTTGGCATGGGAAGAATTAGGCTACAACGTGCTTTCAACGTGCGGGCTGCTCACCATGCGACCGCCCACATTCTGCGTCAGATAGACTGAGCAATGCATGGCACACGGAGACGGTGCGATGGACGTACACAGCCGCGATGCCTTGGAACTTGCCTCGCTCTGGGAGAGGGATCATGTCGGCGTTGATGATTTGGACGGCAGACATGCTGCCTCCGCCTCCGAAGCCCTGAATGGCTGCATGGGCGGGCTTGAGGCCAGTGTGAAGCGTGAAAACTAGGTGCTCACCTCGACCAGCAAGGAACATAGGCATGCTCTGCGCTGCCCCGCAAAGCGCCGAGCCGAGGGCGAAGATGAGGATCATTGCGAGGAGAACGGGTTTACGCCCGAATGTCGACGCGAAGTGGCCGATGAAGGGGATGACCGCGGTCGCGGCGATGGTGTAGGCGCTACCCGCCCAGATGAAGTCATTGCCATGCAAGTCGGAGACAATCGTTGGAAGTGTGGTGGAAACGGCGGACTGGGGAGCGATCCATGAGCAAAGTCCGTAGTAGCAGCATAGGCACACGCGACCAGACGATGCAGTAATGCTCACCAAGTCAAGTGCAGATAGGACTTCGACCAGCAGTCCGGAAAGAAAGGTCATCCAAAAGTTGAAGCCCCGCGCGGGCGAGGGCCCGTCCGCGCTGCTGTTCAAGGCTTGGTATGACTCGCAAGAGACAGGTGTGATGAAAGACATACCTGATGACAGGCTCTCGCTGCATCGCTCCTGGACCTGGACGGGAAGGGTTTGAAGGGGACGACGCAATGAAGGGCTAAGCGAAGCTCACAAGCGCGCCTGCGGGAATGCGGGGAGAGAGGCGATGTCCGACGTCCGCCACCCAGTGCGCCCCGCCGTGTGAGTCTCCCAAGCGTGTTGACGGAAGGCGCGAGGGGGGACTTGGCCGGACCAAAATAGTAGACCAGAGCGTCATTTTCTTCGTAGGGAGATGTCTGAGACTAGTGATGTTGTCCTCACTTGAGGTGGTGCAGGGCTTTGTAGAAGGTCGTTGCCCCGGGAAAGGCGACTGACAGATGATGGAACGTGAGAAGCCGCTGGTGACCACGGCGCTCAAGACAACATCGACCCGCCTCCGCCCTCCGGATCTCCAGGCCTGCAATGTTTTCAATTGCAGCGATGTGGTCGTCGAACCATGTCGGAAAGCTTCGCTCAGGCTTCGCAGAGGCACTTAAGTAGAAGGGGATATTGTTAAGAAACGAAACATTTTATCTTCAGGAACCGAAACCGTACCCTCAGCGCACATGTCTCGTTGTCGGCAAAAAATCCCAGGAGAGACACGAACCTCGATTGAGGTCAAAATGCGGCATTTTGATGGCTGTAGCCGCATGCGTTGACTGCTTGTGAGTGGCTTGTTGCTGCAGACTCGGTGAATAGGATACGCGACACGGAAATATCTTTTGTCTGGACGTAAGACGCAGACGATACGAGGACCAGCGTAGCGCGAGTCCTCGTACGTGGAAGGTCTAGTGGTGAATGTGGAGGTGATCTCACTTGTTGGAGTCTTGCGCCAGCACTGGGGCGCGGGTTTGGGCGGAGCTGATCGGAGATGGGACTTGCCACGAGCTTTCCGGCGGCAGCTTCCGTCACGCAACCCGCCGACGACCCCTTTGCGCGTTTCGACGACTCGCACGCTCGTCCTTCGTCTTGCCATCTTCTCGGAAGGTGGGTTCAGGATCCTAGTCTCTTCTTGCGCCACACCTCTTCCTGCATCCTTCTCGGTGCCTAGTCCCCTTCCGAACCGTTGCAACCGGCCCGACCACGTCTTGGCGCACTGACCGCAGTCAATATGGGCCTCTCCGTCCTCGCGCCTGTGCTCGGAGCTGCCTTCGTCGCCTGCATCACATACGCAGTCAGCTCGCTCTTCGTGAACAAGTGGGACCCGCGCGGAAAGGTCTGACCACCCACTTCCCGTGCACCTCCTTGGCACTGACGTGTTACGTTCCCAGCACTGCTTCGTCACTGGGGGCTCGTCCGGCGCCGGCTTCGCGCTCGCCCAGCTCCTCGTCCGTGAGGGCGCGCACGTCTCCATCGTCGCGCGCAACCAGGCGCGCCTCGACGAGGCGCTCGCTGAGCTCGAAGTGAGCGCGGTGCTCCCATCCTCGTGCCTCCGCGCGCGGCAGCTGACTACGGGTTCGCGCAGAAAGAACGCCAGAGCCCCGATCAAGTCCTCAAGGCGTACCCTTTCGCCGTCAACTCCGAAGCTGGCTCCGCAGCCGCGCTCGAGGCAGCCTGCGAGTCGTTCAAGGGCCGCGCGCCCGACGCCGTCTTCACCTGCGCCGGCGCGTCGCGACCGGGCTTCTTTGTCGAGCTCAGCGAGGAGTCGCTTAGGCAGGGGCTGGAGCTCACGTACTACGCTCAGGCGTTCACAGCTTTGGTGAGCGACAGCTTTCGCGTCTTGGGCGGTATATGGGCGCTTGACTACCTTCATATCAGGCCGCGACCAAGGCCATGGTGAGGACCGGGGTGAAGGGCAAGATTGTCTTCGTATCTTCCGTACTCGGCTACTTCTCCATAGTTGGGTACGCCGCCTACGCGTCTGGGAAATTCGCTCTGCGAGGTGAGCTGCTCCATGCGCATGCGGCATACGCCGTCTGACCGCCTCCTTTGCAGGGCTCGCCGAAACCCTCCACTCCGAGTTCAAGCTGTACGGGATCGACGTCCACATTGCCTTTCCCGGCACGATTTACTCGAAAGGCTACGAGGAGGAGAACAGAGTCAAGCCCGCGGTCACGCTCAAGATCGAAGGGACCGACAGCGGGAACGCGCCCGAGGTCGTCGCCGCCACCATCCTCTCAGGTGCGCCGTCGTCGCGCCCGCCGCGCCCTCCCGCACTGATCACGACTCCCCGACGCCAGGCGTCCGCACGGGCAAGTTCCACATCACGGACAGCCTCATCGGGCACGCCTTCCGGTCGACCTCCGCGGGATCGTCGGAGCGCAACAGCTACGTGCTCGACCTCGTCTACCTCCTTATCGGCTACGTGAGTCTTCTTGCGCTCATCGCGAAGCTTGAACGCTCATGCGCGTCGCGCACCAGATCGGGCTTCCCATTTGGCGCCTCGGCGTGGACAGCACCGTCAAGGGCCATCGCGAGGAGCACCGCGGCTACCTCCGCGAGCGCAGGATCCTTGCGCCGTGAAAACACCCTATGCATCTGTGTAGAGTATCCATGTCGTCGTTTGATCTCCGCGTAATGTACCCTTTTGGTTATTCGTGTACCTCTCCACACTTCGGTCTTTCGCTGACCACTTTACGACAACGCCTGTAGGCACTGGAAGAACAACATCTCGTCGGGCATGCCAGATCGCCTCCCGCGGTGAACACTCGTCACCCGTTAGATGTCCAGACTGATCACAGAGGGTTTCCTTGGGCGCGCCTTCCTCGAGAGCACAGCAGGCTCATCTGCGCGCAACAGTGGTCCCTCTTTATACCCTCTATTGAGTGCTCGCTCACGCGTAGTATGGTACGTCGGCGTTGTTAGTACGATTAAAGTGTATCGCTTGGAGTATCAAGGCTACCCGTACGAGCGTGGTCCGCTTCATCCGCAGCGGGCCCCGAGTCCCATCACCGCGGAACATGCTCCTCGCTCTCGGATTTCTGCGCATGTGACTGACGGAGGCATTTGCCACACCATCCATTTTGCCTGACTCTTCATGCGGCACAACTCCCGCCGGTGGGTTCTAAAGTCGAATATTACGTGAGTAGTCACTGCACCACAAACAATATCGCCGTCGAGGCGCGAATGACACGCTCCGCGCACATAAGTAGAAGCCCGCCGGCAGAACCCTTGCACACATCGAACCCGAAGCCCAGCACTGCCAGACACCGCCGCCGCCCGAGCTCCCCGTGCGCGCTCACCACGACGTCCGACTGTCCATCCCCTTGCGTTCCCCGTGGCCCGGTGCGCTCCGGGTCTCGTACGCCATGCTCTCCGTCTCGCCCTCGACCTCCTGCGTGATCTTGATGTCGATGACCGCCGGGGGGGCCTCGTTGGGGAGCTGCGTTTGCGTGAAAGACATCATGTTAGCTCCAGAATGGAAGAAGAAGAAGAAGAAGAAGAAGAAGAAGAAAAGGAAGAATGGGGCTCAGGGGCCCGGACTTCACCTGCGGCACGTTCCAGCGTTCGACCGTCGCGAGGCGCGTCGCGCGCGCGAAGGTGTGGCGGGCGTACGGGCTCGAGTCCCCGCCCGAGCCGTCGTCCATGACGGACTGGCGCGCGTTGAGGCTGGCGGCAGGGCGTTCAACTCGTCAGTGCTGGGGCGTGCGTGCGTGCGTGGCGGCGAAGCAAAGCTTACACGCTCAGGAACGTAATCACGTGCACTGTCGTATTTTGTCGTCAGCACAACGCTGAAGAAGGTGTAGACGGGGCGCGCGCACGTCGTACGAGAATCAGGTAGAAGAACCCCCACCACAGGTCTTGGGGCAGGGACACGGCCTGGAGTTAGACGCTCGTCAGAAGGCGGCCGAGCACGCCGGAGTAGCCGAGCAGACGGCCCACTCACCAGGACGAGTGCCACAATCTCGCACAGCCTGTCAAACGTGAGCTGCAAATCCCGACGGCTTACGAAAAGACCCGACTTACACGATGAGCGAGCCTAAGGGAGGAGAACGCAGCGGTCAGGGACGTCGTGCCACCGGGCGCGAGCGTCGAAATCGACTCGATGAAACGGGGGCGGAGAGCTCACCGGTATTGACGACGTATATCGTCCACTTGTCTGCCAGGGTCTGCGGCCGCTTCGACGCGTTGTGCGCAGGCTCGCGAGCGCGCGAGCGCGAGCGCACGATCACGCTGATGAGCGAGAGGGTGACCGCCGTGTTCGCGATCAGCGCCGCCCCGAGGGCGAAGCCGGAGAGCAGCTGCAGGCAGAATATAGGCGCGTGAGCGATGGTGTCCCGTAGCCGGAGCGCGAGAGGGCGCACCCTCTCGTTGAGAAGGAACTTCGAGGAGTCCGTGGTGAATCTGAGGCCGTGGTTAGAATCTGTGGGGCTCCGAGAAGACGCGTAAGGGAGAGCTGCGTACCCCCTGTTGGCGAAGACTGCAATCTGAAGTCAGTCCAATATCCCACGACGTTGTTTGTGTGCGTGCCTATTGTGCATCCTACGGGAATGTCGTTACAGTAAGCAGTGCGCTCCACGGCACTCATAACACAACCATACCTGTAGAACCGAGGAAGAACAGCGCCTGGCGTCACCAAAATCAGCAAATGAAGACGCGCGATGTGCAGTACTATAGCGCACCGCAAATACAGCCACGAGCGTATATGTATAGGAGACTACCCAATCGTTAGCTCTTGGATATGTGGCCAAGACGGAAGGTCTTTACTAAGAGAGAGGCGTCGCAGGAAGAAACTACGTATAACATGAGCTGACGAGATCGTATCGAGAAAGGATAACGGCACGTACCTTTGAGAAGTGCATGTGACGGATGCCTATGGGTGGATCATCAGTCCGTGGAATTACTAGTGAGAAACGACACCAACATACCCCGACGAGTGGGATCAGCTGAAAGGGTGTCAGACTGTATCAGCACGCGCATTGAGAGCACGCAGTCTTTTCACCAGAAACTCACGTTCAAGGACCTGAAGGGCGTTTAGAGCATGCAAACCATTTTCGTAGACGTGGAACGTACCAGACCGACCGAGTAATCGCCGCTGGGCTCGCGTAGTGGGTTACAAGGAAATAATAGCTTCCGCGATGGTTAGTACGGCTACTAAAAGGCACGAAGGGACTCGCGCGCACTTGCTATGCATGATTAGGATCATCTGCGCGAGATCGAGGGTGCTGGGCGGGGGGCGGGTTCTATGAGTGTCCTGAACGTGGCCAATCTGAGAACGAGCTCACAAAACTACCGCGACCTGATGATCGAAGACAGTTAATGTTAATCCGTGCGCACATAGATACGGATTTGTGCGCGCCGTACCAGGAAACCTATGATCGAGGCGTCATTGCGGCGATTGCGAAAGTACCTGTACCCTTGATGCAAGGCGACTCCATAGAAACTATGCGTGGACCATGTCAGATGTTCACGAAGGCGCATATGACAGTGAAACGTACATGAGACTGACAAACGATCCGAGAAGATGTGCACCGAACGTGTTGTCAAGCGACGGGACGGCGGTCGCGCTCTCCATGGTGCTGCAGAGGGGAAGCGACAGCAGAGCGTCCCCTCATCGGGTTATAGGGTACGATTAGAGAGGCGTCTGCGGATGAGTGGGAACGAACCGCCTTTCCCGATAGAAGACGCCAGCAGCAATTGGATTAATTCTAGGTGTCTGCCTCTGACGACCATTCGTGATGCCTGATAGGTTACATCGACGCCCGGCCGGCTTCGAGATTGATCAAGCCTGTGAGAGTGCGGACACCATACGTGGTATGGCGGGAGGTTCACTTGCTTCCCCAGGAGGTATCCGGGAGCCGCCTCAGTACACGATATGCATAAAACCCTGTTAGAGTGCCCCGGGTTTATGCATGCAGTATATTATGCATGAACAAATATATGCATATAATCCCTTCATGCATACATTTATTCTGGAGTTAATGCCTGACAGCAAAACAGCACAGCTAGGGAATTGAACCCAGGACCTCACCAAAGCTAAATGTTGTGACCTCATTGACCACTACACCAAACTGCCATGTCTTGCCTCCCACACTTATATATTATATCCACTCTTTTCCACCACACACAATCATAGGTGGCCTATCTCGCTAGTTCAACAGTGCCTCTATGCATACAACCTGTCTATGCATACATCCTGTTTATGCATAAACCTGTTTATGCATAAAACAGGTTTATGCATAAGATTGGTTTATGCATAAGATGTGTTTATGCATACAATGTGCTTATGCATAAAATGGGTTTATGCATACAATGAATTTATGCATATGATGAGTGTTGCAGTCGCACAGGCGAGGTCAAGTGGGTGTGGACGAGGGTAGGTGCATGCACGCAGGAGAGGGGTCAATTAGGCAGGTACAGATGTTGTAGATGGGTAAGGATGGTAGTGTAGAGCTGCGAGTGTCCTCGTTGGCTTGCAGAGTGGGAGAGGAGAAAGAGTGGTGTTGGAGTGTGTCGTCTTGAGTCGCGTGGTCGCCGAAAGTAGAGTGGTAGTGACAAGCGTGAAGTGAGAAATAAGAAGTGAGACGAAGCGTTGTCGTGAGCAGGCGGCTATCGGCTAAGTCGTTGGGTGGCAGCGAACGGGCGGGCAACGGGTGGACGGGCAGACGGGCAGACGGGCAAATGGGCAGACGGGCGAACGGGCGAACGGGTGAGCAATGAGCGAGAGTCGGGGGGAGGAAACTGGATTCAATGGCCCACAGGCATGTACATATATAAGAGGACCAGTGGGGCTCCTCATCACAGAGAATGCGAATAGAAAGCGAGAGAAGCTAGGACTAGACATTCGAGAAAGAGTCCGTGGCCAAAGCCCTGTCTGCGTACCCTCCTTGCCTGTCTCTCCACCAACGGTTCCAGCATTGTTTGATGCGTGTTGAGGGATATCTCGGGCGGAGCCAGAGCGGTGCAGCGCGACTATTTACAGAGCACAGGCTGCCCCCGTTCAGCCACGGTCACTCGCACTCGCTCTGGCCCGGCCCTACTGTCCCAACAGTGTTCGAATGGGCTCGCTGTGGCTTCGAGATGGCACGTCAGGTATGACAGACGCTACAGTAGGTACAAGGCATGTGAGTCTGAGGCCATATGAGTGAACAGGAGAGGATAGAAAGGTATATGATGTATGGATGTATGGTGACTTGAGTGCGGATTGCCACGGACGCGCCTCCTCCAACTGTCTTGGAATGAGTCCGCGATTGGGAATGCTGTCGACACTCTGACCCGCACGCGACGTGCCGCTGTTGACGCATGGAACAAGAAGCACGCTACACGTATCCGCGCCAATGGCTTCCGACCAGGTGAGTGGGTCCTTCTGCATGAGTCGTCGCTCGATACACAAGTCGCGGTGAAATCCGCTCTGGGCTGGGCTGGACCATATGTCGTTGAGGAGCGTCTCCCAAGCGGATCCTACCGCCTGCGTGAGCTCTATGGGCCACTGATGTGCGCGTCCGCACCCACGTCCCACTTGAAGTTGTTCTTCTTTCGGTCTGACTACCAATCTACCCTTGCGCCTCTGCCACGTTCACGCCACGCGGCTCCTCAATGGGCAACACCTGGGCGCCGCAACGCCGACTACGACCCGCTTCGCCTCACAACCATCCCACTCGTGCACCTGCCGTATCCTGACATCAACATCCACCACATCGCGCTCAACACGTGTCCTCACAACCTCGACAACCCCATCACCCTCGGCGCATGCTGCATCTGTATGCTCCCAAACCTCGCTGGTGCCATGTGCCCAAGCCCAACGCTGTTAGAAGTCGGCGGCTCGGTCGGGGTCGGACAAGGGGTTAAAGGCAATCGATACGACGCGGTTGGTCTCTATGGGCACCGGGAGGCGAGTACAGACGGACACGGGGGAGAACGAGGTGGTGGTGAAGGGCAAACGCGTGAGGCGAGTGCGGGATGAGGGACGATGGCTATCTACATGATGACTAAGCACAAGTAAGGTACAACCGAGCTTGCCATACACGTGAGCAGATTCCAACAAACGCCCAGCGCTGGCTCCATGCTCGACTATTCCTTCAATTTCCTCGACCCCGGCACGCCCTCGGCCATCGCCATGTTGACGAATATTGACGAGCTGTTGACGAGCTGTTGCAGGTGCAGGCGGGGTGTGTGCCCTGGGTGCAGTTGTTTCAACAACTTGGTCCCTTCTGCGCTTCCGGATCTCGGGGTCGAGATCTTTCGTTCCCCCCACATGTTGGGTTCCCCGTTGTCCTAACCGTTCACAGACCATCTCACATACAACTCGCACACGAAGCGCGGCAATCCGCACTCAAGTCACCATACATCCATACATCATATACCTTTCTATCCTCTCCTGTTCACTCATATGGCCTCAGACTCACATGCCTTGTACCTACTGTAGCGTCTGTCATACCTGACGTGCCATCTCGAAGCCACAGCGAGCCCATTCGAACACTGTTGGGACAGTAGGGCCGGGCCAGAGCGAGTGCGAGTGACCGTGGCTGAACGGGGGCAGCCTGTGCTCTGTAAATAGTCGCGCTGCACCGCTCTGGCTCCGCCCGAGATATCCCTCAACACGCATCAAACAATGCTGGAACCGTTGGTGGAGAGACAGGCAAGGAGGGTACGCAGACAGGGCTTTGGCCACGGACTCTTTCTCGAATGTCTAGTCCTAGCTTCTCTCGCTTTCTATTCGCATTCTCTGTGATGAGGAGCCCCACTGGTCCTCTTATATATGTACATGCCTGTGGGCCATTGAATCCAGTTTCCTCCCCCCGACTCTCGCTCATTGCTCACCCGTTCGCCCGTTCGCCCGTCTGCCCATTTGCCCGTCTGCCCGTCTGCCCGTCCACCCGTTGCCCGCCCGTTCGCTGCCACCCAACGACTTAGCCGATAGCCGCCTGCTCACGACAACGCTTCGTCTCACTTCTTATTTCTCACTTCACGCTTGTCACTACCACTCTACTTTCGGCGACCACGCGACTCAAGACGACACACTCCAACACCACTCTTTCTCCTCTCCCACTCTGCAAGCCAACGAGGACACTCGCAGCTCTACACTACCATCCTTACCCATCTACAACATCTGTACCTGCCTAATTGACCCCTCTCCTGCGTGCATGCACCTACCCTCGTCCACACCCACTTGACCTCGCCTGTGCGACTGCAACACTCATCATATGCATAAATTCATTGTATGCATAAACCCATTTTATGCATAAGCACATTGTATGCATAAACACATCTTATGCATAAACCAATCTTATGCATAAACCTGTTTTATGCATAAACAGGTTTATGCATAAACAGGATGTATGCATAGACAGGTTGTATGCATAGAGGCACTGTTGAACTAGCGAGATAGGCCACCTATGATTGTGTGTGGTGGAAAAGAGTGGATATAATATATAAGTGTGGGAGGCAAGACATGGCAGTTTGGTGTAGTGGTCAATGAGGTCACAACATTTAGCTTTGGTGAGGTCCTGGGTTCAATTCCCTAGCTGTGCTGTTTTGCTGTCAGGCATTAACTCCAGAATAAATGTATGCATGAAGGGATTATATGCATATATTTGTTCATGCATAATATACTGCATGCATAAACCCGGGGCACTCTAACAGGGTTTTATGCATATCATGTACTGCTATGTATGGTATCCGGAAGCGCTCCGTGTCAAGGGATGACTTCGATTTCCCAGCTCATTCTATATACGCCCCGAAGAAGCGCAGAAACTGATGTTTCAGCCGAGTTCCTGGCCGGCATTTCTTCTTCTTCCGCAGATTTTATTTTCGTCACACCCTCAGCGCGACTGAAGATGGCGTCCTTCACTGCTCTCGCCGTCTGGAGTTCCTCCTTTCACCCATAATTGCGCCCGTAACATAGCATCCGACTCATAACAGCTTGGGAAGATACACAAAGGTCTGGGGGATTGACTGGGATCGGCGCCTTCGGGGAGCATCACCATCTTCTTACGCCACTGCGCCTCACACAGGCTGTACGTTTTCCACACGAGAGCGCCAGCGACGGCCATACTGCGCACAGAGTGGTCGTCATGGGGCGTGATCTCCATAGGACAACCGGTGTTCCCTGCGACGACGGCTTCGGTGGGACGTGAAGCGGGATTACGTACAGCATTTATATTCTCCCCATCACGGTCGAAGAACCCAAATCGCTTCGAACTTCTCACTCAATCCGGGGGATCCCATGACGGCTCTGGCGACCAACAGATGGTCTTCGCTTCGCATCGTGGAATCTGGTTTGAATCTTTTATGAGGCGCAGCCCGGCATCACCTCGCAAAGAACACCTGCGCAGTGGGAGTATCAGTACATACCTAGTGCACGACGACAGGCAGATATCCACACCGTTTTTGACGTTTAGCATCCGAAAAGCTTAGATGAGGAAGCGCGAAGGTTGATCCGGATAACAATAGGCGTTGCGACCGCGAGCGAGTAAAAACAGAATAAGCATACACGAACAGCGCGCGCGCATAGTTTACAGCGTCCAGGCGTCCACTCTGTCCGAGCATTGTGGAGGTCCGTTCTAGGATGGCAGGCGTTGAGGCCCGTCAGCAGTTCGGCCGGAGCGGCCGGAGCTTGCGGTCCCCCTCCCGCGGCGCCATCGACGACAGCGAGAGCTCGCCGTCGTCCTTCTCGACTTCAAAGCGCATCTCCGTGGTGACTCGGACGTCGATGACATTCCGATGTCCCGGTGGAGACGGGTGCAGAGCAGGCTGTGGGCGGCGGAGACGGGCCGCGCTGAGCGTCTTGGCGCACGAACACCATCGCACTCACGGGTCGACATACCGGCAGCTTCGAGTCGCGCTCGCCATGTCCAGGCACCTTGAGCCCGAAGGAGCCCGTCTCGAGTCCTTCGAGGCCGCGGTCGAGGATCGACCGTCTTGAGTTGAGGCTGATGGCGATGCAGAGCCCATGTGAACGGTGACGTTCGTGCGACACAGAGGGAAGACCTACACTGCGAGCAACGAGTTGGAGTACACTGAAGAAAAAAACCTAAGTAGGTGTAGACGCATCGGATCTTTGGGGCGACGCACTTTTGCAAGCCACGATGTTGATGGCATAGTATATCAAGGTGGCAGGCGAGAAGATTGCCTGTACCTACGTCAGCATGTAGTCTGGATGAAGCAAAGACCTCCTCTCACCGTCAACGTTGACACTAGATTCAGGATACTAAGCAAGATGGACATGAGCAGCGGCTATGCCGGTCTTTTTGTTGATCTCACCCAGTGAGAAGCCCCGTGTTGATCGTGTACACCATCAGAATGTCGACCATAGAGTCCGTCCTGGGGAACGTTGATCACAGCGCGCGCATCTCGTGTTTCACGGAGAAACGTTACCTTTTGAACCCAGTCCGGCATTTGTGTAGGTAGTAGATCAAGCTCCCGGTAGTGGCGGTGTCGATTACTACCGCGGTACCCAGCGAAGAAGGAATGATCCACTATTCTGGAGTCAGACACTACGGGTCATGTAATTGCGAAGAGACGTACCCTGAACCGCTCAATGTATTGTCTAAACGTCACGGCCTTGAATCTGTTCGAAGGACATGAGACGGGAAAGCGGTTCTCGTATAATGCTAATGCTTACGTCGCCACAGTAGCAGCTTCGCCGCGTTCCCAGATCAGTAGCTTCGCAGAGACGTTTTACAAATCGGCTCACCCGTGCAGAAGCCTATAAGTCTCAGGATCAGCGCGCTATATACGAAAACCCTGTAATGATACGCACCCATCTCAACAAACAGTAAAAGCGTCTGAAAAGCACAATATAAGGCACAATATGTAGACGCAGTGATATAGAGCTGACCAGGAAAATGGCTAAACAGAAGTTGCGATTTCCGACTGCCGAACCACATATTCGTGAGTGACCGCCGCGTATAGTATCTGAAACATTACTTACTGAGGAATATCCTCCGTATGAAAAAACTGCTCGTTCAGTTGAGTAAGATAGGCGACACGTGTACGCGACACACTTACGCATGGGTGATCGCAATCACAACGCCCTGCAACAAATCCATAAAAACGTGGCAATGATAATGAAGACGCGGCGGAGTTACCGTGGTAATGACTGTGAGCTGAGTCGCAACTGAAATCTCAATCCCGCCCTGCAAATATTAAGGACTATGCTACGCACTCGCAGAGACCTGCTTCACGTCGGCATTGAGAAGCGTGTTCGAAGCAGATGAACATACCAAACGCCGTTCAGCAAGGTCTCCGGTGAACAGTAGTTGGTGACGAGGTAGTAATAGCTGCGAGGGATAAACGCGTCGAAGCAGTTCACGGCACTGAGGACTGAGAACCCACCAAACGTGCGCCGAGAGAACGGTGTGAAAAGTGTCCACAGCCCTGGGTCCCATAAGAGCCCAATTCTCAAAACTTCCCAAAGCAAAGCCCACCAAAGAAGGGAAACCTGAGGGACGGCGAGCGTTCAGTATGAACGAGTACTGCCGTCCAAGAGGCAGCGTACCATGAATTTGAAGGTGCGACGATCGGTAGGGTAGAGCCGGAAGTATCGATACGTCTGATGGCTCGTCAAGCCATACACCCTGCAGACCAGTGAGCACTTGCAAATACTGCAAGCGAGAAATTAAACTTACACGGAGCCTACAATCGTTCCAATAAAAACCGCACCAAACCATTTATCGAGCGCGGGGGTGATGAGCTCAGTGGGGAGAGACATGGGTGGACCGTCGTGCGAGGTATCGGGACCGCGGGGAAATCGGCAAGCAGAGGTTTAAAGTGCGAGGACGCCGATGGGTGGTGCATGCGTGTCTGTGCGTGGCACGCCTGCGGAAGAAACTGGAGAGCGCAGCTGTTGCAGGGCCGACTTACACGCCACCCCACGGTTAGCGAGTGTCGGGAGCGGACCGTCCCACGGGCCTGCGGTCTTTCAGTTGGCGTTCGCCGTCGAAAAGGATGTCGTTGGAACGATTTGCTGCGCTGGGGACGTGCAGTCGACGTCGCGCGCCCAATCAATGGGAGCAGCGTGCATTCGGCGGGCTTCATGACATCGCCATGTAGAAATGTTTTCGTGTCCGTGATGGGCGTACGCAGTGGGAAGGGCGCACACTGAGAGCTGGATGGACGCGGGAAGCAGCTGGTAATTAGGCTGGAAGGCCCGGCTGACGGGTGCAGTCGAGTCGTGCCGGTGAGGCACAGACGCCGGGCCCCGGGAGACGCCGGAGACGCTGGCGCTGCTCTGACCAGCGCGGTGGCTGCCCGCGTCGGCTTCCCATCTGCTTCCCATCTGCTTCCCATGGGCGGAAGGCTTCTGGTGCGCGTGAAGCACACACACGCTGCGCTCGCGAGAGCCAACGCATCGGACACATGTCGTGCCGCTTGTTCGGGACTCCCCGCTCCCAGCAGGCCCGTCCCACCCCTTCCCCCGCCGTCCGCTCCGTCATCTTGAATCCTCCTCTTTCACTCGCCCTGGCTTGAGCTCCTGCTCTCTCATTTTACCATGGCGTCTGCAGCCAATCCAGATCTGGTCATTTTCAGCAAGACAGACCCGGAGGATCCCAAGAACTGGTCACGGTGGCGCAAGCGGCTTGTTTGTGCCTACATCTCGACTCTTGCTTTCACTTCGTACGATCGCTCTGCTAGTACAGTCCAGAACACGATGCTCACATTCTCATGCATAGCGTTTTTGGGTCTTCCATCTACGTGCGTCATCCTGTCTCTCAGAAAGACTTTCGTCTGAACGCCACTTCATTCCTGCAGGCTGCAGCAGAGCTGCAAATCCGGGCCCGTTTTGACACGTCGGCTGATATCTCAAGCACTGGGCTCACTGTCTACGTGCTCGGTTTTTCCCTTGGACCGCTCATATGTGCGTGTCCATCATCGCTTCTCCCGCACTCTTTCATTTGACCTTCGATCGCGTGCAGGGGGTCAGGATCTAATATACTCAGCCGTGATACCGCACCTTCTCACGGTCGAACAGGTCCCATGAGTGAAATCTATGGACGAAAGCTTCCGTACATGGTGTCATGGCCTTTCCTCATCGGTATGAATTCCACACCAGGAACGAGGAGGCTTGCTCACCACATGTGTTTTCTAGCCATGAGCGGCATCGACGCTTTCGTGGACAATCTCGCGGTCATTCTCGTGTGTGAGTGTTATCTCATTGCTTCACCTGAGCCAAACAAACATACGCCACTAGTCCGGTTCCTTGCGGGAACATTCGCTGCGTGCGCCATCAATAAGTGAGCGCGCATGCACCGTTGTTCATTGTGGGCTTGAACTGACAACACGAATCATGTCAGTGGCGGCGGTATTATGTCCGAGTACGTTGTTAGGCCATGACACAGAAGACCTGAACCTGATGAATCTTAGCATGTACAACATCGTCGACATGCGAGGCCAAGCCGTCGGTACGCATGTTCCTCAATCTGTTTCCACTGAGTGCTGACGGAGTCTTTAGCCATTGCGTGGTAGTAAGTTCGTCCATTTTCCACTCAGATGAAGGCCGGCAACATAACTCATGCTGCGCAGCGCCGCTTTCATTCTGTCCGGGCCCTGCGTTGCTTTGGTCGTCGGATTCTTCGTCGTCGTCTACGCCGGGCCACAGTGAGTCGTATCATGTTGAGGTCGTTTCGTCGCGCTCAAGTAAAGGTCTCAGATTGTGGGCTCTCCGTGTCTTTTTCTTCCTCTGCATCGGAGTGTGGCCTGTAGTATTCCTCCTACCAGAATCCCACGGACCAACAATCCTCGCGGCACGGTCGAAGAAGTTGAGAAAGCAGGGACGTCCCAATGCGCGCGCTGCCCACGAAATGAAGCATCAGGCGACGAGTGAACTCCTTCGCGTGCACTTTGGTCGCCCCGCTAGTACGTCCTGGCCTTGGTACAAGTTGTTACATTTCTGATGGACTTCCTCCGCAGAGATGTTCCTCAACGAGCCCATAGTCCAAGGCGCTGCAATCTGGACTTCTCTGGCCTACGGCATCATCTAGTATGTTTCTTAATTATGCCTGCGGTAGCGGTAATTGATTATTTTGCGTTCCCAGCTTCTTCTTCGAGGTGTACCCCATCGTGTTCTTCCAGCAGGTATGCCTCCACAAGACCGTCTTCGTGGAGTATTTTATGACGTCCGCATAGCACCACTTCCCGCTTCAGCTCACTGGGCTTCCCTTCATCGCTGTGATCATCGGAACCTTCCTTGCTGCCGCCTTCTACCTGAAGCTGGTTGCGTTCTTCATGAAGTTCCCGCTTCCCGAGTTCATCGTTCCTGCCTCGACTCCGAAGGACGCACCGGAGATGCGCCTAAAGCTCGCTCTATTTGCTTGGTGCGTTGTCCGCGTGGAATCGACGACGCGACACTGAGCAGTCTGTAGCATAATGATGCCAATTTCGCTATTCTGGTTCGCATGGTACGAATTTCCTTAGCCCTTCTTTGGAAAGTCGAACTCATGCACGTGTAGGACAAGCGGAGGCAACGTCCACTGGATCGCACCTACACTCGCCGGTATTCCGTTCGGCTTTGCCACCATCACCATTGTACGTTCCTTGTTGCCTACAGCGAACAAATGCCCACTCACGTAATCCGTCATGTAGTTCTTCACCTTCCTCACTTAGTACGTCGCCCCGTAGACACGTCCCGCGACCTCGCTGACTATCTACTCCGCAGCACCTCGCAAACGTACACGATATACGCGTCCAGCTCCAGCTCCTGCAACGTCTTCGCGCGCTGCACGATCGGCTCCATCTTCCCGATCGTCGCGCACTCCATCATCGACAACGTCGGCTCAGAATGGGGCGGTGAGTTCGCTCTCCCCGCCCGTCGGCGGGCATGCCATGCGTTCGCGTCGCTCATCCGCGCCTCCCCCCGCCGCAGTGTCCATCTTCGGCTTCATCTCGCTCATCCTCATCCCGATCCCGCTCGCCTTCCTCCGCTGGGGCCCGGCCCTCCGCGAGCGCTCCCCGCTGGCGAAGGAGGCGAACGCGATCGTCGCCAAGATGCGCGCGCAAGCCGCCGCCGCCGCCAAAAAGGCGCAGGAGGCCGCAGCCGCAGCCGCCGAGGAGAAGGAAAAGTCTCTCGCGAGCGTCAGCGAGCGGTCGGCGTTGCCGGTGGAGAACGGCCCCCCTCAGGACGCCTAGTCCCGATCCTCGCGCGCCTCTGCGCCTCTTAGGAATTCTCTCGGGACTCGCTTCCTGCCTTACGTCGTCCGTGTTCGCATCTCGCTCATGCAGCCCCTCCTGGCGCATCCGGCGTCTAGCTCGCATCAGCATGTATGTATTAGTAGTTGTAATGCCTCTTTCCTGTTGCGTGGGTTCATTTCGAGAACAACTACGATGATGTATGGGTGATTTTATAGATGGGTAAGTGACTCCAGCCTCAAATCGGTGTGTCTATTCAAATTCGAAGACGCCTGGGCAGCCCACGTGGAGCCGCCGGCCCGTTGGCGGTGCAACACCTCCAGCTGGCACTGCTTGCCACCATCTTCCGCCGACAACATCGATGCCGAATCATTATCTGCTAGCGCGATCAGTCTGCAAACACCGATACGCGACGTCCCAGCAGTTGACGTGCAAAAGGTACGCCTCCTTATCCTAGCCGCATGCAACTCTCATCTGACATTGGCTGTTCCGGTGACACGCCCTAGGTTCGAGCTTGGACCTGGTGTCCCAAGGCCTGTAGCCCGCCGCCCGTCTCAATTCACTTCCCCTGGCCTGGAACCAGTCTGATAGGGCGACACGGCATCCCGTTCGTGTGCGCGTGTTGGAGCTGTTAAGTTTCCCCGGCCACAGCAGGCGCGCAGAACGTCGAGCTCGGGCTTCTGTGGACACCAGCTTGGGCGCAATCTGCTTCCTTCCATCGCTTTCTGCGGGCGGAAAAAGACCTTTAAATGGGAGAGTTTGCGGGCTGTGTAGGATGCGCCGAGATTATGTGTCCCATGATCCAAAGAGGTGCATCAGTATGCGATGCGCAAGTTCTTCTCAGCGCGCTCACACTTCGAGGTATCGAGGCCGACTGGTGCGCCTATAAATCAGCTCCAGATCGTGGGCAGAACGCAGGGTACACCCTGTCCTCCTCTCCGCACATTCACTTTCAGGTCACACTCTCGCTAGTCATGAATGTGTCGGACCCTTCAGTAGTCTCCCCTGTTCTCGCAATCCCAGGGGCTCTTCCGAGTCTTGGCGATACGTTCGGCTCGTTGCTGATCGCGACTTTCATCAGCCTCGTGTATGTGCACTGGGGTCTTATTCCTTGTTTTTTGTGCTGATCTGCAGCTTATACAGCTTGTACGGGATCGGGATGCATCAAACGTTTCGCTACTTCCAGGAGTATCGCAAGGATCGTCGCATACTCCAGATGTTCGTACGTCTTTTTTTCATCGCACTTTACATCTTTTGATGTTGACTAACCTTCGTTCCGACCACCAGGTTGGACTCTTGATGTAAGTATGGTGTGGATCGTACATTTTGATCAGGCTTCAGTTCACCCCAAAACAGCGTGGCCGATACCTTCCACACGTTGATTTGCTGTCATGTTTGGTGAGTTGTGCTTTCATACTACGAAATGTCGCTCACTGGTATGCTGGCCTAGCTATTATTATCTTGTGGTGGACTACTTCAACCCGCTTGATCTACAAAAAGGAATCTGGTATGCTAAGATCTCGATTTTAATTTTGACCGGGCTTTAAAATTGATTACAGGTCTATTCGTGTACGTCCACCCTGGTTCAAAAGCGGCGCAGAGCCTAACGCGTCGTAGTGCCTTGTCCCTGCAGTGGTATGAGCTTTCAAATATTCACAGAAACTCCATCTGAACACGAATGACGCAGACCTCGATAATTACGATCGCACAGGCGTACGACTTCTCTATCGCACCTCGAGCTCCTGTCATGGGTCTAAAATGTTTCTGTGCAGGTACTACATCCGTCGAGTCGTTCTGCGTACGCAACCTCGTCCAATTACTTCTCTCAGTGCACCAAATCGATAACGTCTTCGTAGTTGGCTCAAAGTATAGATACTTTGCGATATTCGCAGTATGTGGTGAATGTCTTCTTCTCCGAATACTGAAAGGATCAGAACACGCCTAGATCGTCTTCGTTTTGTGCGCCGTTGGTACGTTCTCAATATTAACATATCAGTTCGACAGTTGACTGGCCTCCTCCGTCAAGGATTTGGAGCCGGTAGGTACAGTGATCGAAGAGATCGATTAAGGCTGACGGCATTTTCAGTATCTAGTGTGAAGGGGTTAGAGATATAATTCTCGTGTCCCCCATGAATCATCGCTCACACGCCTTTCAGATATACCGCCGCAACGTTCGATGACTTCGCGAAGTTCGCCGTAAGTTATGTATAGATTATTCGCTGTATCGTTGCTCACTCCCGCCTCCTTTAAGTGGCTTACCTCAGCGGCATACGCGTCCGCGCTCGCTTGTGATGCTGTGACTACGACAAGCTTGATCGTTTTCCTTGCTCGCAACAAGACAGGATTTTCTCAGTAAGAGTCCATCACCGCAGTATTTTCCGTTTGGATGTTCATGCTACTATAAAAGCACGGATTCAATGATCAACACCATCATCCTGTACACCATCAACACTGGTGAGTCATCGATGTATGCCGTCTTCCATCCCGGACGTCTCGCTGAATGCGCTCTGACACAGGCCTCGTGACAACGTTGGTGTTTCGTCTCTTCTCATACTACTACGTGCTTACCGTTCTTCAACTATCAAGGGCCCTGAATGCCTTATGCGTTTCTTTCGTATGTGCACCGCAAACAGCGTTGAAGCGGTCCTCATTGACCGCGTCTGCATTCCTAGGCGCTTGCTGAAAAACAGAACTTGATATACGTCGCTCTAGGCTTTCCGCTCTGCAAATGTGAGCCGCACCCAACCCAGCAGCCTCCCTTCGCTCACGCTTCATCCACAGCCTACGTGAACTCTATGCTCGCCATGTATGCCGCTCTCCCTCTCTCTCTCTCTCTCTGTGCTTTCGAAACCCCGGGCTTACGCTATCGCTCGCTTTAGCCTAAACTCACGGAAGGGACTCGCGAACGCCCATGCGGACGCGTTCACCGTCCCTACCATAGATCTATTGAAACCCATCGGGCAGAGCACGACGAGCACCCACGGCGAGCACATGTTCTTCTCGGTGAGCCCCCCGGCTGTGTTCCTCATCCCATCCCCTTATACCGAGTCGCACCTGCCACAGGGAGCCATCCGTGTCAACGCGGAACGTTCCGACACGCTGGTTCTACGACCAGACGATCGCACATCGCGCGAGGAGGACTCGGCCGGACTCGATGTTTATCAGCTGCAGAACATGAAGGCGTGAAGGCGCTCCGGAGTTCATTTCAAGACTGGCGTCATTAGGGAGAATAAACTGCCTCTGCGCCAACTGATTTCCCTGTCTCTGTGTATGATACTGTTGTTTATTCTGTGATTGGGGCTGACCGCTGACGGGTCGTTTATGACGACTCTCGGAGGCGGTAATCTATATGTCGGAGCGTTCTGGCCTTGGTCCCGTAGATTGGTACGCCTTCGGAGAGTACCAAGGGAACGTTCTCGATACGCCTAGTATGAGCAAGAGTTCGTACATTTTGCAGTGCCTACCACATGGCGAGCCAAACCCCTTGAAAACGTGTAGAGCAACGGCTCGGAGGGGTATATCACGCGGGAATATCCTACACAAGTAGATGCTCCAAGCATGCAGCGGCAGACGGGACCAAGTCGAGCTCGTTTACCTAGCACTGGAGCCCTGTTACTTCCGCATGAGATGATGCACGGGGAAAATGAGGCAGCAAACCGCCGATGTCTCGGAACGAAGGGTGTCTGATTTCGTCGAATGAGAGGCATGGAATATGTTACGTAGAGAGACGCCTCACATCCACGGGACTTGGCACGCGTTCAAAGGGTGGTAGACCGCCCGAGCAAGTAGCTTTTGTGCTCCTTGCGATGGCCCTCGACGGTGCTGTCCACGCCGAGGCGCCAAATGGGAAGCCCGATCGGGCGTGCGACGCGCATGAGCGTTCCGCTTCGCGACGGGCCCCCAGAGGACTCACGTAGCCAATGAAGAGGTGGGCGAGGTCGAGCTCGTCGCTGTTGCGCTCCGACAATCCCGCGGAGGTTGACCGGAAGGCGTGCCCGATGAGGCTGTCCGTGATGTGGAACTTGCCCGTGCGGACGCCCGGCGTCGAGGAGTCGTGATCAGTGGGGGCGGGCGCGGCGAGCGCGACGACGGCGCACCTGAAAGGATGGTGGCGGCGACGAGTTCGGGCGCGTTTCCGCTGTCGGTCTCCTCGATCTTGAGCGTGACCGCAGGCTTGACCCGGTTCTCCTCCTCGTAGCCCTTCGAGTAGATCGTGTATGGGAACGCGATGTGGACGTCGATCCCGTACAGCTTGAACTCGGAGTGGAGGGTTTCGGCGAGCCCTGCAAAGGAGGCGGTCAGACGACGTATGCCGCATGCGCATGGAGCAGCTCACCTCGCAGGGCGAACTTTCCTGACACGTAGGCGGCGTACCCAACTATGGAGAAGCAGCAGAGCACGGAAGCCACGAAGATGGCCTTGCCTAGGACCCCGGTACTCACCATGGACTTTGTCGCAGCCCGAGATGCAGGCGATCAACACCCCGTACTGTACCCAAGACGCGAAGCTGTAGCTCGCCAAAGCTGTGAACGCCTGAGCGTGGTACGTGAGCTCCAGCCCCTGCCTAAGCGACTCCTCTCCGAACTCAATGAAGAAACCCGGGCGCGACGAGCGGGCACACGGGAAGACGGCGTCGGGCGCGCGACCATTGAAGGGTGCGTAGGCGGCCTCGAGCGCGGCTGCGGAGCCAGCTTCGGAGTTGACGGCGAAGGAATACGCCTTCAGCACATGACCGGGACTCTGGCGTTCGTTCTGTAGGAGACGGTCTCGGTGAGCCCTAGCAGTAAAGGTGCTGAGACCCAGGCGGCACGCTCACTTCGAGTTTAGTGAGGGCCTGGCTGCGTGCGACAAGGGAGACGCACCCTTGCGGACGGCAGCTTTGCTAGCGCGAAGCCGGCGCCGGAAGACCCTCCGGTGACGAAGCAGTGCTGTATAGGAACGCATGCGCATCTTGTGCGCATCGTTCAGCATGGACGAAGCGCGTTGCAGGGGTAGTGGGGGGTTTGGCAGGCTGACCTTCTCGCGTGGGTCCCATTTGTTGACTTGACAAGGAGGGACCGAGCCCCATGATGCAGAGACGCCGGGGTCGAAGTTGGACTCGAGAAAGACGACTGCGCTCTGCGAGTCAAGCTGGCGATTTGGGAGATGAGAGAGTCGAGGGGCGGGGAATGCTCTGTCGCATCAGAAGCAGGTTCAAAAGGGGGCGGGAGCAACAAGGGAGACATGCTGGTGGTTCATGGGCGAAGATTTGAAACAGCCTTGAGAACTTGAACATGGCAAATTCTGGCGCCGGCTTACGTAGGGCCGCCGGCCCGCTACCCGGGTGCAACGGCTTTTGCCACCATCTTCCGGCAACATCGATGTCGAATCATCCTCTGCCGGCAAACATCAACACGCGACTTCCCAGCAGTTGACGTGGAATCGTTCCGAATGATATAACGGCAAGGTACGCCTTCTTATCCTAGCTGCGTACAGCTCTCATCTGATGTACCTCGGTGGCTGCCACGGTGACTCCGACGATTCGAGCTGGGGTGTGGCTTCCCTGCAGCCCGCCACCGGTCTCAAAGCACGCCCCCTGCTCTGGGAATACTCCGATACTGGGGCGACTCGGTACCCCGTTTGTGTGCGCGTGTTGGAGCTTCCTCCCGCTCGCGGTGCTGAAAGTTCGCAGAACGTCCGGCGCGAACTTTTGTGGACGCCCTTGGGCGCAATCTGCTTCTTTTCCATCGCTTTTTGCGGGCGGCGGAATGGGAAAGTTTGCGGGATATGTAAGATGCGCCGAGCTTCTGAGTCCCATGATCACAAGATGTACATCGGTATGCGATGGGCTTCTTCTCACTGCGCTTGAGCTTCAGGGTATATATCACGGCAAATTGGTCGTCTATAAACCAGCCCCAGATCTCGGGCGGCACGCACGGTAGACCCCGTCCTCCTCTCTCAGTCGCTCCACACGTTCATTTTCAGGCCACGCTCTCGCCAGTAATGAATGCGTCGGACCCCTCAGTGGTCTCCCCTATCCTCGCTCTTCCGAGCCTTGGCAATACATACGGCGCGGTGCTGATCGCGACTTTCATCAGCCTCGTGTATGTGTACCGAGGTCTTTTACATTGCTCTTTGCGCTAATCTGTAGGTGATATAGCTTGGACGGGGTTGCGATGCAACAAGCGTTTCGCTACTTCCAGGAGTATCGCAACGATCGTCGCATACTCCGGATATTTGTATGTTGTTCTGTTCGCCACATCCCATGCCTTTTGGGACTGACAAATCTCTGCTGCCACCAGGTTGGACTTTTGATGTAAGTAGTATGGTGCGGATCGTACGTTCTGAGCAAGCTTCGACTCACCTCACAACAGCGTAGGAAACACCTTCCACACATCGCTTTGCTGCCACATTTGGTAAGTCGTGCTTTTATACCACGAAACTTCGCTCATTGGCAGGCTTTCCTAGCTATCACTACCTTATCGGGGACTATTTCAATCCACCTGATCTTCGAAATGGAGTCTGGTATGCTAACATCTCGATTGTGATATCACCCTTTGACATCGATTGCAGGTCTGTTCGTGTACCTTCCCCCTTCTTCAAAGGCAGCGCCCACGTTAACGTATCGTAGTGCCTTATCCCTGCAGTGGTATGGGCCATCCAATATCCACAGAACCTCCATTTAATCCCTAATGACGACGCAGACATCGATACTCACGATCGTACAGGTGTACGGCTTCTCTATCGCAGCTTGAGCTTCTGCTGAGTCTGAATTGTCTTCGTGCAGGTACTACATACGTCGAGTCTTTCTGCGTACGCAAATTCGTCCAGTTTCTTTTCAGGGTGCACTAAATTGACGGCATCCTCGCAGTTGGCTCAAGATACAGATACTTTGCGGCATTCTCAGTACGTGGTGAATGTCATCTTCTACTAATACCGAATGACTCAGAAAATGACTAGATAATCTTCATGGTATGCGCCATTGGTACGTTCTCAAACCAACATATCAGTTTGATAGTTGACTGACCTCCGTCAAGGATTTGGGACCGGTAGGTACAGAGATCGAAGAGGTCGGTCAAGGCTGACGTCTTTGTCAGCATCTACTGTGAAAGGGTTAGAGACATAATTCTCGTGTCCGCCGTGAATTAATGTTCACACGCCAGTCAGATTTACCACCACAACGTTCGACCAGTTCGCGAAGTTCGCTGTATGTTATGTGGATCTCATGTGCTGTATCGTTTCTTACTCCCTCCTCCTTCAAGTGGCTTACCTCGGCGGCATATGTATCCGCGCTCGCTTGTGATTCTGTGACCACGACGAGCTTGATCGTTTTCCTTGTTCAAAACAAGACAGGGTTTTCTAGGTAAGAGCCCAGCAGTACTTCCTTCGTTCAGATGTTGATGCAACCATAAAAGCACGGATTCAATGATCAACACCATCATTCTGTACACCATCAACACTGGTGAGTCATTGATTTATACTTACATTTTCAGACGTATCGCTGAGTGCGCCTTGATACAGGCCTCGTAACAACGTAGGTTTTTGTCGCTTTTCATACTACTGCGTTCTTATCGTTTTTCGACCATTGAGGGTCCTGAACGTCTTATGCGCTTCTTTCGTACGTACACTGCAAACAGCGTTGACGCAGTCCTCATCGACCGCGTCTGTAATATCAGACCCTAGCGCAAACACAGAATTTGATATACGTCGCTCTAGGCTTTCCACTCTGCAAATGTGAGCTGCATCCGCAACCCAGCAGCTTCCCTCCGCTAACGTCTCATCCCCAGCCTACGTGTGCTCTATGCTCGCCATGTATGTCGCTCTCTCTCTTTCTATGTGCTTTCGAAACCTATGGGGCTTACGCCATCGCTTGCTTCAGCCTAAACTCACGAAAGGGACTCGCGGACGCCCATACAGACGCGTTCACCGTCCCTACCATGGACTTCCCGAAACACATCGGGCAGAGTACGACGAGCACCCGCCGCGAGCACGCGTTCTTCCCGGTGAGCTCTCAGGCCATGTTCCTCGTCCCCCAATACCGATCCGCACCTTCTACAGGGGGTCATCCATGTCAACACGGAACGTTCCGACACGCTGGTTCTACGGTCAGACGATCGCGCGTCGCGCGAGGAGGACTCGGCCGGACTCGAGGTTTACGAAATGCAGAGCATGAAGGCATGAAGGCGTTTCGGAGTTGACGTTCGTTTCTAGTGTTCTGGGCCTACTTTCGTTTGCGATCGCCGGCCGCTGGTGGACCGTTGTTGGTTACTCTCAGAGGCGGAAATCTATATGTCGGAGCGTTCAGGTCGTGGTCCGGTAGAAACTCGCGAGCTTTCTCTAATGGCGACGAGTTATGCGTGCTCCTCCTTGCCAAGATCGCTCAACTGGATGTGATTCTGAACCAGTAAGCTGTCAGAAAATATCAAGATCGTATTCCGACGCGCCCGCCCCACAGACAACAACACCAGCCGAACTACTCAAAAGTAACAGACCGGAAGAGCACATTACGCGAAAATGACGCTCCTACCAAGAAGAATCATTGGGTACGCAAGGTGACTGGTCTGATTCGTCGAATGGGAGAACATGACACCATGGAATATGTTACGCAGAGCGACGCTTCACATCCACGGGACTCGGGACGCGTTCAGAAGGGATTAGACCGCGCTCGTGCAGGTAGCTTTTGTGCTCCTCGCGATGGCCCTTGACCGTGCTGTCAACGCCGAGGCGCCAAATGGGAAGTCCGATCTGGTCCGGGTTATATATGAGCGATGCAGCGGAGAACATAAGAGAGGAGGGAGCTCACATAGCCAATGAGGCCGAAAAGAGGGTCCACCACATAGCTGTTGCGTTCAGATGCACCAGCTGTGCTTGAACGGAAGACGTTCCCGAGAAAGGTCGGTGTGATGTGGAACCTGCCAGTCTGGACACCTGGGGAGACGAGCGTGTTGGGCTCACTTAGAAGAGCATGCAAATCTTTGAAGAGCGAGAGCTTACCTGAGAGTATGCCGGTCGCAACGGCCTCGGGCGTGTCCCCGCTGTCGGTCTCCTCGAGCTTGAGCGTAATGGCAGGCTTGACCTGGTTCTCCTCTTCGTAGCCTCTCGAGTAAATCGTCCCGGGAAAGGCGATGTGGACGTCGATCCCGTACAGCTTGAACTCGGAGTGGAGGGTTTCGGCGAGCCCTGTAGACAGGCGGTCAGACGGCGTATGTCGCGTGTACATGGAGCAGTGCACCTCGCAGGGCGAATTTTCCGGACGCGTAGGCGGCGTACCCGACCATGGAGAAGTATCCGAGCACGGAAGACACGAAGACGATCTTGCCCTTGACCCCGGTCCTCACCATGGCCTTGGTCGCGGCCTGAGATGCAGACGATCAATAGCCTGTGCGCAGCCCAAGACGCGAAGTTGTAGCTCACCAAAGCTGTGAACGCCTGAGCGTAGTACGTGAGCTCGAGCCCCTGTCTAAGCGACTCCTCGTTGAGCTCGACAAAGAAGCCCGGTCGCGATGCGCCGGCACAGGTGAAGACAGCATCGGGCGCGCGGCCCTTGAACGGCTCGCAGGCTGCCTCGAGCGCGGCTGCGGAGCCAGCTTCGGAGTTGACGGCGAACGAGTACGCCTTGAGGACTTGGTCGGGGCTCTGGCGTTCTTTCTGTAGGGAACGGTATCAGTCAGCCCTAATCAACCAAGATACCGGGATCCAGGCGGTGCGCTCACTTCGAGTTTGGCGAGTGCGTCGTCGAGGTTGGCCTGGTTGCGCGCGACGATGGAAACGTGCGCGCCCTTGCGGACGAGCAGCTGCGCGAGCGCGAAGCCGGCGCCGGAAGACCCTCCGGTGACGAAGCAGTGCTGTATAGGAACGCATGCGCATCGTTCAGCATGGACGAGGTGCGTTGCGGGGGTAGTGAGGGGTTTGACAGGCTGACCTTCCCGCGTGGGTCCCATTTGTTGACAAGGAGGGACCATACTTCGTATGCTATGATGGACAGGGTGAAGATGCCGAGGACGGATGCAAGGACGGCGATAGATGGGATAGAGAGCCCCATAATGATGCAGAGACGCCCGGGTCGAAGCTAGACTCGAGAAAGATGAGTCACGGTGGCACTCTGCGAGTTGGCGGCTCTCTGGGAGGTGGACAAGGTATGAGAGAGTCGAGGGGCGGGGGATGCTCTGTCGCGTCAGGAGCAGGTCCAAAAGTGGGCGGGAGCAACAAGGGAGACATGCTGGTGGGCCTTGGGCGAGGATTTGAAACAGTGTGCACATGGGAAGCCGCGACGACAAGCGAGGGCGCCAAAAGTTCAAAATTCTGGCGCCGGCCTAGCCCTCGATCATAGCTTGAGGCGCCATCCGAGCACTCTACAACCAACAGTAAACTACAAAGTCTAATATTCACTCATCCACCACCCCTCCGCCGCTCGCTCACGACACCCGCAAGGTAAACGTAAGCCTACACTCCATCGCCGCGGGGCGCACCAGCTGATTATATAATCAGCACGCGACATGAAGTCAGCCAGCAGGTAGAGGTAGAGGTCAAGGTCAACGGCGGACGAAGCAACAACGCAAGGAACAGACACCCACTATGGAATCGCGTGGTGCCATAGTCGTCGTGTTCGTCTCACGTTCGTCTGCAGTGATGTCGAAGTTAATCACGAGTGCGGCGAATATTGCGCGCGCGAGGAGGAGCGATTGGTACCGCCCCGGGCACACGCGCGTGCCCGCGCCGAAGGGCATGAGATGCTTCTGCATTCTGAGAGGAGTAAACGAAGACGGATGAGAGGATCATCGAAGGGAAAGGAAAGACGGAAGCAAGGAACGAAGGGATGGAGTGAGCGCTTACCTGGCAACGCGCGCGTCGTCGTCCGCGCGTTGAGGCACGGGGAGCCACCGCTCTGGATCAAAGCACTCCGGGCTGGGGAAAACAGTGGGTTCTCGATGCATGCTCCACGCCTGCGTGCCGACCACGGTTCCGGGCGGGAGCGCGTGGCCCATAACGTCGAAGACGTCCTCACGCGCGGGCACGACTCGTTCAAGCATGGATGAAACCGCGCCGTACATGCGGAGTCCTGCGTATCGGGGTAAATGGCGGGCGGCGGGCGGAAATCAGATATCGGGCTCGCGCAGGGACGCACCTTCGTTGAGAAACGCGGAGAGATACGGCTGTTTCTGCAGGACCGCATAGTCGGGGAGCGTGTGTCTGTCGTGCACGATTCTATCCAGCTCACTCCGGAGCTTGAGTACAACGTCGGGACGCCGCGAGAGCTCCCAGAGCATGAACCCGAACGTCGTTGAAGACGCGTCCACCCCAGCGGTCCTGAGCGCCTATCAGTGTGGGTACCAGGAAGACAGGGCGGAAATGAACTCACAAGTGGGACATACACTCTAACACCAGTTCTTGGTCTGAGAGCGTATTGTATCCTTTTTTATCCCGCTGCAATAGCAACCGCGGCATGAGGGGGACAGGTTCGTCGAAGGTCGCCTCGGTGTCATGTTTTCGCAGGTCTTCGAGGCTGTTGCGCACGAACTTGATAAAGGACACAAGTCAGCCATAAATATTCCGTATTCGAATGGTACCATACGTACGGCTGATAGAAAGCTTTCGGAGTGATACAGCGCCCGCCATCGGGAGCTAGGGAGGTATGCACAACATCTCCACAGCCACGTCGGCATAACCGCGCGCTTTCGAACCGCGTCTCCTATCAGCAATGTCGTGGGTGTTGAAGAAGTATTGTGGTTGCTCACAAAGATTGCCCGCATAGGCACATCGCGCGCCGCAGTAGCGATGGGGTCGTCACCGGCGGATTCCCAATTGTTCAGCGCTGTTGGGTCAGACCCGAAGATGGTGATGGCGAAAACGTCCACGAGGAGATGGCGAAGTACGTGGATCGAGTCGGTTGACCCCTTTGTTGAATGCCTCTCCAGCACCTGAAAGTGGATCAAGCATCGTCAGGAACACGCACCAGCAGACTTAACAAAGCGCTCACTTGGACAAGATGAGCAACACAGTCGTAGACTTTCGACTGAAAACGCGGAACATTCAACGGGGAGTAATGCGCCGCATACGTCTTCCGTCGTGCTGCGTGCTCCACTTCAGGAAGAATCGTCATTCTTAAAAAGGTAGGTTAGAACTCAGTGGACCCCAAGGGGAAATTCGAAGCACTGACGAGTGATCTTGATCTTCTCTGCGAATTCGATCACCATGAGCGAACCGGGTCCGAAGAAGCCGGAGCGGCTAATACGCACATGACAAGTGCCTTGTATACCGCGCTCTTCTCCAGCTTGTTGACGCAGTACACGCTCCGCATCGCGCATTGGTCGAGAAAAATAATCTTTCGAGGTCCGACGCGCACAACGGGCCCGTACCGCTCGAACAGGTTGTGCAGAGCGGTAAACTTGGTGAGCCGTGCGGACTGGAGCAGCAACCATGCGTCCGATGCCGCGGCGTACCATGGTCCAGGGATTGACGAGAGGGGAGAGAACCGTACGTTGTAGACCGCAGAAACGACGTTGTATAGCAGGATCAGCGATAAAAATCCGAAACACAGCCCTCCCAAGTCTATCCAAGACAGAATTTGGTTGCTAGTCGCGACAGCCATCGCAGCGGGGGGACGAGAGAGAAGAAGGGATGGTGTGGTGGGGGAGGAAGAGCCCCAATGCGGGAAGCAGGAGGGGGGAGCAAGGATTGATCCTGGAGGCGCGTCTGCGACGGGTCGGCGAGGGAAGGGCGTGTGACCGGACGAAGCATTAACGCTTATGATTGCGAGCAAGCTGCGCCCTGCAGTGAGCGACTGTGTGTGGCGATAAGACACCTGCCGGTAGGAGGATTCAAGCGGTGAGCAAAGCCGTACACGCGGTGATCCTGCTCCAACCAGGAACGTACCAGGTCGCCCACTCATGCCAAGCTGTTCAGATTCTCGAGAGGCCTCTATCTGTCCACAGGTTGCGCGGATCGTCACAAGAAATTCTATGCGTCTTCCATCATTCAGATGCAGGGCTTTGGCAGTGCCTACGCATGCAGCCCATATGTGCATCTGCGAACGGTCCCCTCTCCGGCAGCACATCGGGATTCGGAGGCGCCTTCCATCATGATGCGCGCAATTTCGGTTATTATGGGATCTTGTGCGCGTGGTTCGCCCTTAAACGATGGTAGTGAATGCAATGATGGCAGGTTATCCTTGCCGTGATTAAGATCGTGCGGGAGGTAACAGATGAACTTGCGCTTTCGTTCCGTGAATGAGGTCTTCATGAACTCGTCTGGGATCTTCTGCACAAGCTATCGCGTCCGCCGTGAGGACCACCATGGAGGTGGAGAGAAGTTGAACATCTAGAGAAGGCTCACCACATGGCCCGCGTCCGGAGGCTTTGGCAAGCGCGCGGTCGATCGTCTTCGCCCGCAAAAGCAGGAGGCAGAGGGTACACGTGCGGTTCCCGTACGCGATGTGGATCGACACTTTCGCTGGAAAGCCCGCCATGCGCTCGACGGCGCGTGTCGTTAGTGGTGTTGCGCAACCCATGTAACTACCACGTATCCTCAGCATCGTGCGCGAATGGCCCTAAAAAGTGGTGTGCGAGCTTCTTGGAGCTGGGAGATGGTGCGCGTGGACGGTATGGGTTTACAGTTAGATGGCCGATGGTGAGGTCAACGGCGTGAAGGTGGTGATCAAACGCGGCTGAGCAGCACCGGCGTGGGAACTGCTATTGAAGGGGACCTGGCTTACGTCATGTTATGAGCGCCTGCCCGATTGTGCATCGGGGGAGCTTTGAGAAGGTCCTTATGTATCTTATGCTTGTATGTGCGGTGTTCAATGCGTAATTTGCGTCGTCTGTTTAACTGCCACGGTGCGTTCTCCTCGCAGAATACCGTGCTCCTGCTCTTGAATTTCACTTTCGTCACCACGTGGCTTCCAGGCGGAACAGATATCCACGTGTGGCACTCGCCCATCAGCGGCCTCCGGAAGATGGAAGCTCGTGAATGCGCCTTCTTTGCAAGCACTCGCCGCTCAAGGGGTGTGTGTTTTGGCTCTGCTTGTTTGACGTTCTCCTCGTCAACCTCCTCAGCGCACTCGACCTCAACGCCCTCTTCACCACGTTCCCCAAGGTCGTCGAGGAGCTCAACGGTAGCGACAAACTCGTCTGGATCGGCTCGGCAGGCTGCCTACGGGCTCGCAGCTACCGCCATCCTACCCTTCTTCGGCCGGCTCGCGGATGTGTTCAGTCGTCGGCCCGTAGCGCCGCTGGCGATCGCAATCTTCGTCCTCGGCAGCGCGCTCGAAGGCGCAGCACAAGCCATGAACTGCTCTAGCCAAATACGTATCCATGGTGCTCATGATACACACAGATGCTGATGGGTGACACATACGCAGTTGTGCAGGATATCGGCGGAGACGCAATCGTCAACCTAAAATCTGATGTTAAATTGGTGACGGCTAGGCCAGTTGCGAATCAAGCAGTACTTAATCGTGCTCAGAAATCTCGTTCCGCTTGCAGAGCGCGACGCCAGGCCGTTCACAGGTTTATTTCGTTAGCATGGGTTCATCGGAATCGAAGCAACGACAACGGAGCACGCATCCAACGTCGATAATATGTAGTATGGGGAGCACAAAGTAGAATCTCTCGTGATATTGTCGCTTCTTCTCAGACCATGAGTGCTTGCTCGTTCGTCACATCCTATACGGTGTGACGACGTACTCATTTATCCTTTCGTGGCATAAAACATCACTAAATTTGATGAACACGTTCTATACTGATACTTTTGTCATCGATATGCTCGCAGGACCCACTGTTCCCATCTAGCCGGCTCGTCTGCATATTGCACTTTGGGTTCCACGGGGTCTACAGCGTTTGGTAAAGTGTGAGGCTCATGGTACCGCCGACTGCATGACCAACGTATCCTCAGTTTGGCGCAGACCTGTATCCGAATCCGCGCTTCTCACACACGCGACGAGCACAGAGCACTAGTATTTAGACTGCGTGAGAACGCTAGATATCAGAGACGAAGTCCGAAACAGATATGTTACATAACGCCATCAAAGACTCCTATCCGAGTTTGCTATCTAAAGGGCCATTCACGCTGTTTCACACCGGATTATCGATCGTATACCCGACGCTGCGAGCGGAGAACGACTTCAACTCGTACGAGTCCGACCGGAACGTCGAAGCGTCCTCGCGGTCCGCCGTGAGGTTCTTTGCCAGGACGAAGATGAGGACGCGGCACATACGAAGCGAAAGGAAAAGACGTACATGTAACACACGGGACTCCCTAGAAGGACCCAAGCTCGTCTTGAGCTCCTTGTCCCGCATGTTCGCCCGAACGCGCGCCTGCATCCCGGAACGAGGTCGCGGGGTAACTTGAGCGGAAGTAGAGACCTGTCCGCGGCGAGGTCTATTGAGAAATGTGAATGGAATAGTCACTGGTACCTGCTTACCGTTGTGACTCTCCGGGTTGGAGACTCGGCGCGTTGGGTCACGTCCATCCCGAAGCTCGCGAAGTTGTCCGACCGGGAAGCGAACCCGAAGCCGTTACGAGAGTTGAGACTGGAGCATCGGTCAGCATAGATCGATGCGAAAGATGGAGACTCTCACATGGCCAAGACAGACACAGGATACGCTGCACGAAGGTGAGGTGAGCGAACGATATGAAGACTGGCCGCTGTGTAGATTACTTACCCTTCACTGTAGGCACGCCAACTGCAACAAATGTCAAATTATCCGTGCCCTCATGCTTGAGACCCTGTTCGTGGCATTCAGCCATACAACAGAAACTCGTGAAATCCAAGAGACGCACGAAGATGACACAGAGGAGGGTTAAAGTACTGTGGACGCAATGTTAGCGATACAAAGATGCACGAATCGTTGACTTGCCATATGAGGAATCCTGTGCGATCGTCAATACAAGAAATCAATCACAGCATGAAGCTCGGACCTGTATTGACGGTGTACACGAAGAGCATGTTGAGAGCGGAATCCGTGCTATGACCAGGTGTTGAGCATCCGAGGTCCATCCAAGGTACATCATCGAATGTCAGAGTCAACTTACTTCTTGAAGCCAGTCCGATTGGTATGCAAGAAAATGCATAAGGATACACACAAACCGATGTCCGCGACGAAAGAGAACGAGAATCCCGCGGAGGTAAGCCACTGTCAATGGTTAGAAAGTTCGCCGTGAGCCTCCTTAAGATGAAAGATCACTCGATACCCACTGTGTATCCTGCCCATTCAGGAATTTCACGGTGACAAGCTCTGAAGGGCGTAAAAATGTCAAGAGTTGTGTTCCTTCATCAGCGGCTCACTCACAACTCGTAGGCTGCCACTAGATACTCAAGCCGTATCAGGTGACATCCGGTGTGGATCCTATTCCAGGAGAAACTCACCCAGTTCGAATGCTGAAAGGAAGCCATGAGCATGAAGCATTGCAGCAATAAAAACGCTCTCACCCACGAATCCGGCCATGAGGAGGGTCTAAAAGAGCTCAAAGAACGGCCGATGAGGTAGGCTATACGCATACGCACCGCTATAATGGCGACATATCTGCGCCACCCTCCCACTGATGCTTCGTATGAGCACACATAACGTGTTCAATAGAATGCCACGTACGTCTATAGACCCGAAGTGCGTAGAAGCTGAAGACAAAATGTTGATTAAGAACGGCATGTGCATGATTCATGGACTGGATCACTCACGCTTCTCCGATAAGGACGATGACGATCTATGACCGCGTGATGAGTCGTTGTGAAGAGAAAGAGGCAACCTACTTACTGAACTCGGCACGACCAGCTTAAAGTGTGCGTTCAGCGGTATTCAATTAGACGGTACCAAGGAGAGGCACGTACCCAGGTTGACCTATGTATGAACATATGTAAGTTGAGAGACTAAGGCGTATGCAAAGGGACGAACCAAACTGCCTTGGTGAGAACTTCAGGATGAAAGTACTTGAGGATGAGATAATGATAGCTGTGTGTGGTTGTTACCAGATGCACCGCATACGATCAGAGTATCACCTACCACGTATGCATGAACAAGACGGAATGGAGTGTATTAAATGCTCTGAAACGCGTCTAAGTTAAGAACCAACAGCAAATGCAGAGGACGTAACATACGTCATGATGATCACCTGTGGTGCACCTGGGTCAGCGGCGAGTTCGGCGTATGAGCGATAGGGAACGCATTACCGTAAGTCTGAAGACCAGGCGGTCGTTCGGATATTGGACGAAGTATCGCCATGTTTGCAACAGCGACATTCCATACAGTCTGCAAGGAAGAGTAAATGGTCTGTACCGCCCACAGGGAAGCCGCAATATGACGCACAACAAACCGGAGTAGGTCCCGATCAGGGAAGTCCCCAACGACTCCGGCACTCCAGGTATCTTCGGTAGGTCTGGCACCACGGACATGACGGGGACGAGCACGCTCCGCGAGTGAGTTTACAGAAGGAGGCAGAGTGAGCAGAGGAACGCAGCTGGGGGTCCCTGCGCGCGGTCGACGCTGATATGTGCTGACGTCCCGGCACAGCTCGAGCGCTCCCTTACTGGAGATTGATTCCGAAAAGAAGATCCGACGACGCCATTGGAGGGGACCATGTGGCCAGTTCACAGACGGG